GGGTGGCTGGCTGCAATCCAGCCCCTGAGTTCCTAGACGTGGTCTTGGGCCCTCACAAAGAAGTGAAAAAAGAGTGAGAGAGAGAGCGAGAAGAGGGAGAGAGTATGAAGTGTGGCTCTCTCTTCTGAGCAAAGCCTAACGTGGATCACCCCGTATGCCTCGGTAGAATCGAGTCCATAAAAAAAAAAAAAAAAAAAAAAAAAAATCCACACACACACGTGGAAATGACAACTTATCAAAGGCGGACAATAGTGCGCACGTGGGGATGCCCATGACAACATCAAGTCGTCGCAACGCCAATCACGACATTATGAGCATAAGAATGGCCTTGTCGATTCTTGTTGACCTACGGTCCTGCCCCAACTGTGAGTTTGACATCACATATTGTCATCCTAACTCAATACTTGGGAATCTATCAATAGTTGCAGGTTTCACGATCCTGGACGAATACCCAGATTGTGACCCCTACGAGCATGCCATTACCGATTTCATGAGCGGCCGACTCAAGCACGCGTTTTCATGGTGGTGCTCGTGGTGTACGAGCAGTTTCATCCTCTCCATCATCTCAAAAGGCTACTGGCTTTCATGGAAGGTTGCCCCTCCCAGTCCATTCTCCGCACCCAACCACGCTGGCGCCTACACTCATGCGAGCTTCACACGCGATGCGATAACAGACCTCTTGGCATCAAGAGCAGCTGTGGAAGCTCGCTCGGTTGGTGAGCTCACTTGCATCAGCCCCCTCAACGTTGTGGAACAACGCGACAAATGTCGGTTGATCTTGGATCTGCGTCGCGTGAACCAGCACCTTGTGGTTCCTAAATTCAAGTACGAGGGCCTTCACCGCGTGGCGGAGTTAGCTAAACGCGGTGACTGGATGTTCTCAGTAGACCTGGAATCGGGGTACCACCACGTGGACATTCACCCGACGTGCTGGAAGTTCCTCGGCTTTCAATTCGAAGGACGCTCCTTCCACTTTCGGTCCCTACCTTTCGGTCTCGCAACGGCCCCGTTTGTCTTCACTCAATTGATAAAGCAATTGGTTACGCGATGGCGTGCCAACGGCGTTCGGGTTGTCCCGTACGTCGACGACATTCTCTTCCTCTGCCAAGGTCACGAAGCCGCACGGCGCACATGCTCGACAGTTGTGGAGGATCTGCGGCATGTCGGGCTTGTCATCAATCAGAAAAAATCCTTGCTTATTCCGACCCAACGCCTTCGGTTTTTGGGTTTGGAGCTGGACACCTCGACATGCACCTTCGCAGTAGGTGAAGAGCGACGCACACAGCTGAACGCGACATTGACCGCCCTCGAAGCCGCATGTCATGCTCACCCACCAGTTCCCGTTCGCCAAGTGGCACGCGTGACTGGTATGCTCGCATCGATGCCCCTCGCTCTAGGAGCCACGGCACGGGCATTCAGTCACAGCTTACTCCAGACAATTCACAAAACAACTTCATAGCACCAACGGGTGGTGCTCACACAAGAGGCGGCGCAGGAGTTGCAGTGCTGGCGGGCCGAGTTCGACCACTTTAACGGAGCACCGTTCCACATTCGGCACAGCTTTGATGCGGTGCTGCACGTGGACGCCAGTGCCCATAGCTGGGGGGCTACTCTAGCGAGCTTCCCAGGCTCCACAATAGAAGCTGCGGCAACTATGCCTGAAGCTGTGCGCTCGACGTCGAGCACTCGTCGCGAACTCGAAGGCGTTCTTTGGGCTCTCAGGGCGTTTGAAGCTCACCTAAATGCCAAGCATCTACTCGTCCGAGTGGACAACCAAGGGGTGTTCTTCATCCTACGCAAAGGCGGGTCTCGCTGCTTGGAGCTCGCGCGCATCTGTCAAGCACTGATCCGTTTTTGTGTGCAACACGGCACTCGCCTCGCCATAGAATGGATCCCAAGATCGCTCAATACGCATGCCGACACAATTTCCATATTGCGAGACCACGACGATTACATTCTGAAGCGACCATGGTTTCGACTCCTCGAGCGGCGCTTGGGTCCACACTCGCTCGATCTCTTTGCGAACGCCACCAACGCGCAACTTTCTCGTTTTTGCACGAAGGTGCCCCACCCGGCGGCGCACGCAGTCAACGCTTTCTCCATTTCATGGACCGCGGAACACGGGTTTGCTTTCCCACCTCCTCAGTTGATTCCGGCTGTGCTGCACCACGCACAACAAACGCGAGCCAGAATCACCCTCGTCCTCCCCGAATGGCCCGGAGCTTTTTGGTGGCCCCAAGTTCACCCAACGGCTAACGGATGGGCACCAGAAGTCAAGACCCACATCCGACTCACCAGCGGCAGCCAGTGCCTTGGTGTAGGCACCCACACAACCGCATTCTCGGGCACTGGTCTCCCCAACAGCATTATGCACGCGCTCCTGTTTTCCTTCGAATAATTATTGAGCATGCTCTTGTTCTCATGGCACATGCACCATGGTCAGGCTCCATCACCGACTTCTGCTTATCACATCCCACGTTAGGGCGGATTCGACAATTCGCACGTACGACCCCTACTGGCTAAAGTTTCGCTCCTTCTCCGACCGGTTCCAGCTGTCATTCTTACCAACCACCGACACAACGCTTGCACTCTACTTGGTGCATGCAATCGAGAAAAAGGCAACAATCTCCACGGTACAGCTCACCTGCTCGGCAGTCACTTTCGCACACCGCATGATCGTAGCTCCTTGTCCCGGTCGCAGGCCCATTCACCAGCCAAGTTCGCGAGTACGCCAAACGGCACTGCCCGCGCCCATCTCGGATCAAGGAGCCCGTGTCTCTTCACCAAGTCCACGACATGGCGCAACACTACCTATCCGCCACAGATCCAGCAGAATTCCAAAAGGGACTCATTCCCCTGCTCATGTATGCTGCATTCCTGAGATATTCGGATCTCGTGGCAATTCGTTGGGAAGACATCCAATTCGAGGAGGAGGTTATGTGGATCCTCATCCCGCGTTCCGAAACCGACCAGGAGGGTCGTGGAATGTGGGTCCCAGTGGCGGCAACACCGGGCCCGTTCTGCCCAGTACGCTGCACCCATCGCTTCATACAGCTCGCGCAATACGGGCCTCTCACTCACGGGCCGTTGATCCGTGTCTTTGGTCGTCGTACATCGGCATCATCCACACCTACCCCCCCTTCATACACGACCATTCGCAATTGGTGCAAAGAAGCATTCGCTAAGATCGGCCTCAGCGACACCCACTTGGGAACCCATTCATTCCGCAAAGGCGCCGCCACCATGGCTGCGAGTGTAGGAGTCCCAGACCGCGTCTTCCAAAGGCTCGGTCGCTGGTGCAGCAGTACGGCCAGGGACCTTTACGTAACAATAGCAACCCAAGACTTGGTGTCCGCCTCCCAACGACTTCATCAGGCTGACGTCGCACCGGCTCCTCCGCAGCATGAGCACGCCATCATTCGCCAACGACAACCCTTGCTACACATGCTTCAGAAGACCCACAAGCAATGAAGACGATGCTTATTGCTAGTCAAGAAGCAAGCTTTCTCAATATGTATATTTTCCAAAGTGTTACACTTTCTAAAATGACTTATTGTGAAAGCGCAGCAGCTTGTACGCAGCACTTGAAGGCATCGTCGAAGCGCTATTCGCCCTTCTCCGACCACAAAAGAAGGGGTTTCGGCCATTTGGCCTCACCCACGGTTTCATTTTTGAACTTTCAAGTTCAGTTTCCCCCCCACCCCCCGCATGTTTAGACTTGATGTAATATCCTCTGGTTATATGACGGGCAATGCTGTACTTGAACCACAAGCAATGAAGACGATGCTTATTGCTAGTCAAGAAGCAAGCTTTATCAATTGATTGATACGTAGTATAATATGTACTAGCACTTTGTTTCCTAGCTTGAGAGGCATGTTGTAATCTGCCAGTTGAAATGAGAACGATGCCAAATCATAAGAAAGAGAAAGCAAGCTTTCTAAAATTTCAGGGTTCCTAAAAGTAAAAGCTGAATTCTCAATCACATTATGCCTTGAACAAGAGAACATACTTCACGAATGAATATGGCCGAGGGATTCGAACCGGGAACCTCACCATTCGTTATCAATTTCGCTAACCCCTGAAACAGTTGAAATACTCAATTCCTCGGGTGTTTTGCGGAAATTAAATATCTCAATTCAGTGTACACTAAGGGTACATTCCTGTGGGGACACTTGTGTCTCAATCCCCGTTTTCCCGAGTCGCGCCTGTTAATTTTCCCAATGTTGTGTCACAAACATCGAATGTACCGCGATGTAGGGCGACATATTGGCAGGTTCAGTTGGACACGTTTCACTGGCGGGGATCAAACAGAGATGTACAGGTGTGTGCATTTGACTGGGTGACAGTACACCCGTATTTTCAACCTCCGAGCAGGGGCGTGGTTTCGATGCGCGGGATCTTTTCCCTCGCAAAATTGGCATTTTCGGATGTCCAGGTGCATGTGGTCGTGTCGGGCATTTCGAGTCGCGTGCGATTCTTTAACAATGACGGGTCGTTTCACAATTCGACAGCGATGTCAGCGCGTTTCACGCTGACCAATAATAAATACAGTACAAGTCGCCGAAAGCCGATTCGCATTTGGGACACAACACAGTTTATGTTGTTTTTGGGTGTCACAAAGTGATTGAGACACAAGTGTCCCCACAGGAATGTACCCTAAAGGCTGGAAAATCAGTGTTAGCTATGAAATAAAGGCTACAAAAAATCAGTGTCACAAAAATCTCAACACTGGAAAAATCAGTGTAGGTACAAAAAACTAGGGTGAAAATCAGGAATTTCAGGAAAAAAATCCTGATATCGTAGGGCCTGGTGTTATGCCTCATTGAACCCCTCTTAGGTCACCTTCTGAGTTGATTTTCTTGGAGGAGGACGTGAAGGCAAGACATGAGGTCAGAATGTTGCCAAAATTTGCTCATCTCGTGGTGTAACAGCAGGCACTGTGTCACTACGGTACCTCGAAAGCTTTTCTAAGAAAACCCTGCGCATGGTACAAACCTTCTCTACAGCTCCCCGTCTGCCTGTTTACACAGGACAGCATACTCTCCCCCCATCAACTCCATCACCTCCCTCCACAGCCCTGTGTTCCCACTCACACCCACTGCTCCCTCTCTCCTCCCCCCCACACCACCTGTCTCACTGCTCTGACCATCCCTCTCTGCAGCCTCTATACTGTCAATCTCGCTATTGCCACCGTCACCTGCGCTCTCCACAGTGACAGTTTCTCTCAGGGAATGCCTGAGAATGAGGTCGGGCGAGCATGCTCCCAGGTACCACACCCCTGCTGCCACCTCCCGCTCCAACTGCCCTGGGGCCCACCCTGGGGGATAAAAGGGTGTGCAAGAGGGAAAGGAAATGCAAGAAAGAAAGGGACTTTGAGATGCCGCAGGATGGAATCTGGTGAGCATGCTCCCAGGTACCACACCCCTGCTGCCACCTCCCGCTCCAACTGCCCTGGGGCCCACCCTGGGGGAGGGAAAGGAAATTGGGAAGGGGAAAGGGGAGGGGAGTTGGTGGCACAGGGTCGGTGGTAGTCAAGACGGTCAGATTAGAGGAGGGAGAAAGGTAAGGTCTGGCGTGCATGCATGCATGCACCCACACCCCCTGCCCCCATGCTCCCATTACCCCATCCACCGATGCCCCCATGCTTCCATGCTCCCACTACCCCATCCGCCCATACCCCCCTGCGCCCATTCTCCTTCTCTCACTGGCATCTCTGCATATATGCACCCCCCCACTCACCGGCATATCTGGCGAACCATCGATACTCCATGCTGTTGCTCTTCCCGCTCCCCACATGCTCCCGTGCATGCATGCCCCCCATACCTGCATATGCCCCCATCCACCCAAGCAGCACCACTCACCAGCATATCTGGCGAACCATCGATAGTCCATGCTGTTGCTCTTCCCGCTCCCCACATGCTCCCGTGCATGCATGCCCCCCATACCTGCATATGCCCCCATCCACCCAAGCAGCACCACTCACCAGCATATCTGGCGAACCATCGATAGTCCATGCTGTTGCTCTTCCCGCTCCCCACATGCTCCCGTGCATGCATGCCCCCCATACCTGCATATGCCCCCATCCACCCAAGCAGCACCACTCACCAGCATATCTGGCGAACCATCGATAGTCCATGCTGTTGCTCTTCCCGCTCCCCACATGCTCCCGTGCATGCATGCCCCCCATACCTGCATATGCCCCCATCCACCCAAGCAGCACCACTCACCAGCATATCTGGCGAACCATCGATAGTCCATGCTGTTGCTCTTCCCGCTCCCCACATGCTCCCGTGCATGCATGCCCCCCATACCTGCATATGCCCCCATCCACCCAAGCAGCACCACTCACCAGCATATCTGGCGAACCATCGATAGTCCATGCTGTTGCTCTTCCCGCTCCCCACATGCTCCCGTGCATGCATGCCCCCCATACCTGCATATGCCCCCATCCACCCAAGCAGCACCACTCACCAGCATATCTGGCGAACCATCGATAGTCCATGCTGTTGCTCTTCCCGCTCCCCACATGCTCCCGTGCATGCATGCCCCCCATACCTGCATATGCCCCCATCCACCCAAGCAGCACCACTCACCAGCATATCTGGCGAACCATCGATAGTCCATGCTGTTGCTCTTCCCGCTCCCCACATGCTCCCGTGCATGCATGCCCCCCATACCTGCATATGCCCCCATCCACCCAAGCAGCACCACTCACCAGCATATCTGGCGAACCATCGATAGTCCATGCTGTTGCTCTTCCCGCTCCCCACATGCTCCCGTGCATGCATGCCCCCCATACCTGCATATGCCCCCATCCACCCAAGCAGCACCACTCACCAGCATATCTGGCGAACCATCGATAGTCCATGCTGTTGCTCTTCCCGCTCCCCACATGCTCCCGTGCATGCATGCCCCCCATACCTGCATATGCCCCCATCCACCCAAGCAGCACCACTCACCAGCATATCTGGCGAACCATCGATAGTCCATGCTGTTGCTCTTCCCGCTCCCCACATGCTCCTTGATCCGCGAGTACCCCCCCACATACACCCCCGGACACACCTCCCGCGCGCCCCCCTCCCCCCCCACCAGCTCCGCCACCCCGTGCAGGCAGTGCGTGGACGTAGAGCCGACATCGCCGCCCAGATATAACGGGCAAGCCGAAAATTCCGGCAGGAGCTCCTCGAAGCCTGCAAGCTGCCCGAGTGTGTACTGCGAGGGTCTGGGAGGTTTGGGTCGAAGAGAGAGGGTGGAGGGGCGCGTGAGAGAATGGAGGGCGACAGGGAAGCGGGTGGAATGAGGGACAAGCGGAAAGAGTGAGTGCACGGGGGGAAGAGTGGGTGGGGAGAAAGGGGAGGGGTGAGGGGGAGAGAGCAGATGCAAATGGATGGAGAGAAAATACACATGGAAAGACAGTGGGACGGCGAGTGGAGGGATAGTGGAATGGTGGGATGGTGAGAGGGTGGGATGGTGGGAGTGACAGGGTGGGTTTGTGGGAGGGTGGGACATACCTGTTCAGTATCACGCCTGCAGTCCCTTGTGGTCTGCAGTATGGCATGGTATGGGAGGGAGGAAGGAGAGAGGAAGGAAGGGATGATGGGCGAGAAGAGCAAGGAGGGGGAGGGGTGGGGTGCCAGAACTGTATGATATGCAATGGAAGCACGTGAACAACAGAAGGGGTGACTCGTTCCTTGCCCTTCACACACACTAACCCTTGATTACTCCCTCACTCCCTTCCTCCCTCACTCCCCCACTCCCGCCTTCAACCAATCCCTATTCACTCACTCCCTCACTCTCTCGCTCTCACCCGTGCATGAAAAGGAAGATGACAGCGCGGTTGAAGTACTGCTGAGATACGCCAAACGCACTGGGATGCGCCGGCAGCACACACCCAATCTCCCTCGCTCTCGCACTTTCTCCCGTGCTACCACGTCATTCACTCTCGCTCTCGCTCTCACCCGTGCATGAGCAGGAAGATGACAGCGCGGTTGAAGTACTGCTGAGACACGCCGAACGCCCTAGGGTGCGCCAGCAGCACACACCCCGTCTCGGGCACTGCTATGGGGTGAGCCCATGACTTGGGGGAGGAGGAAGGAGAGGTGGAGGAAGGGAGTGGGGAGGTTACATAGCTTCTTCTCTCCCCTGCTTCCTCGACCCCTGCTCCTCCTCCTGGTGCTGCTCCTGCTGCTAATTCTGCTGGTGGTGCTGCTGCTGCTGCGTCTGTGCCTGCTGCTGCTACATCTTCCAAGCCTGGCAGATCTCCAGCCGTCGATGTGCTACCTGTCAGCGCATCTGCACCGTCCGTTGCTCCAGATGCGCCAGGCTCTTCCCCCGCCACCCCAACCTCCCCGCGGATCAGGCGCGCGCGGAACTCCCGCCAATCCCCCAGGCTGCTCACAATGTCCGCGCTTTCATCCTCGCTAGTGACGTATCCGCTAGTAACATCTGCGGCTTTGTCCTTGCGCTCATCTGTCTTGTCAGGTTCTCCATTTCCCCCCCTCTCCTTCCCCGCCTCCTCTCCCCCCTCTCCCTCCCCTTTGTCATCATTCGACCCGGTTCCGTCCGCGTTACCAGCAGACGCGGTACAATGAACGCGACGGGTGGAGCTGGGGTGTAGAGACGACGGTATGAACCGCGCTGCGGCAAGCCTTTTGATACGAACAAACGGAGGGGAACGATGTGGATTGGGAAGAAGGGAGAATGAGTGAAGCGGGAGACAAACCGCTTGTGTTCTGGCTCTACCTAATATGGGTTATGACATAATATATAAAAGACTATCCAAAAGCCTGATTTGTGCGTGTGAATCCAAAGGCAGCTAGCGAAACGGAGCAAGATAACGAATAGCTGGCGAATCTGTGACCATTAACAGCACAGACGAACACTTACTGTCCAATGGGGACGCGGAGTTCACCCACGTGGCGACCTTGGGTTCGAATGGTCTGCACACGTGGCAGATGGGATTGGTGCCGATGGACGGCAGATACTGGACGAACGTTCCGCGAAGCAGCGCCGTCTCCGGCAGTAGATGCAAGAATAGGAGCCGATGCAGCAGCAGAAGCTGCACTGCACGGTAGCGCGCATGAGCTGATAACGACACGCTCCATAACGGGGATTCGAGAGCGGGTAGAAGTTACGGCGTTGCACCACGAGGAAAGTATTAGAGGAGCAGCAACAGCAGAATCACAATCAATAACACCAATGTACAGCCTGGAGTGATTCGCAGCCTTCACCAGCGGCGCGACGTGCCCGGTCTAGAACATTCTCCGCGGTATGAAAAATCAATGGCGAGACTGCTTTGTAGTCTAGACGGATTCTAGATTCTAGCCACGTCATATGTGAACTTGGATTGCTGCTTGGAGGGTGAAGTTGGTCTGTTGTGGAGATTCCCAACAATGAAGGAATCTGTGGTAACTCAGACGAACTTCGTGTACCCGTTCCGAACCCGCAGAATGCCCTAACATTTTTCGAGACGAGCGACGAGAGTGGCGAGACGATGCGAAACACGAACGCACAACGTGGCATCATATTACTGCCGCACCCACTCGCTAGGGCTGTGAATCTTGGCGTCGCCACGCCATACGCGTTTCTGACATCCGGGTCGGAGGTCGCATTCGAAAAATTTGTAGCTTATGGTAAAGTATCAATGGAACATCAAGATTCGACACACACACCCAAAACATTAACCAACTTTCTACATATCCATACATCTCAAGTCACAAATCAAAGAACCGCATGATACATAGGACAGTAGTAGGACAGTAGGACAGAAGTCCACACACCTGGCTCACCAGATTGTTTCCTAGCAATATGATATGGCCCTTTTTTTATGCCTTTCAAAGCAGTACCAGTGTTTCACTTGATCCACAAAGAAAGCTGATCAGACAAAGCCCTACGCCTGTCCGCATGGAACGACAATGAACCCGCTAGGGTCTTGTTCGGCTGCTCCACCTCCTTCACGTCTGGAAGCCTTGGCTTCCACGTGCCTCCCTTCTTCCCTCCACCCCCTCCTCCCGACCCTTGCGCACCAACATAAGCACCGTAAGTTAAGTGGCACGTGTCACTTAGCATCTCCACCCGCTTTCTGAAGGCCTCGAGTGCTGCTTTTAGCTCAGCGTCGTTCTCCTCTTTGCTGCTCTTGTGCTTGCTGCTGCTGCTGGTTCCTAGGCTGAGAATGGCACTGCTGCTGCGACTGTGGCTGTGACTGCTGCTGCTATTTCCACCCCCACCACCACCACTTCGTGCCTTGCTGCTGCTGCCACTACCACTGTTACCACTACCACCATCACCACCACCACCAGCAGAGCGACCAGCAGCAGCAGCACTGCCACTGCTATCCCCACCACTGCCACTGCCGCCACCACCAATACTGTTGCCGCTAATGCTAATGCTGCTCGTAAGTTTGGTGGTGAGGGATTGTGATCGTGGGTAGCGGTGGGACACGCAGGCAGCAGAGGGGGCGGAGGAGGCGAGAGGCACAGCGGCAGCAGTGGAGGACTGAAGAGCCGCAACCACCGCTGCAGCTTCCGTGGAAGCTTCTATGGAGAGAGCACGCAGGAGGCGTCGCATAGGGCTGCGGTTTCGACCTGCTCCTTCCTGCTGCTGCTCCTCCTTCTGCTGCTGTAGCTGCCCCCCCTGCTGCGCCTGCGGCTGCTGCTGCTGCTGCGGGTGCTGATGCTTGTGTTGCTGCTCCTCCTGAAACCTTCCCTGTCCCTTCACCTGCTCCTGACCCTCTCCCAGAATTGCCTGCTTGCGACCCTCTGCTTTTGAAACAATGCTAGTGGGTAAAGCGCTAGCAGCAGGGAATCCACTAGCATAAAGGCCGCCAAATGCGGCAGGGGCAGCAGCAACAACAGGCACGTCGGCAGCAGATATATCAAGAGACAAGGCGCCGAGAAACCTCCTCAGAGGGCTCCTGTTGCGATCCGCCTCCCCTCCCTTGCCCTGCACCCCAGCGTCACCCCCTGCACCCCCTCCAACCGCTCTAACTCCCTCTCTACCAGGACCTTCGCCCTTGCTTCCCCGCACGAGTTTCTCCTCTTCCTCCTGCTGCCGCTGCATGCTAAGAGACTCTCTTAAGCACCAAAGCGCCAGAGTGACATCAGCTGCAGCACTTACACCCGGCTCCTGCTCCTCCTGGGACTTAGCTAGCGCTGCGCTGCCTTCCATGCTCTTTCTCCGCACTCTCGCACTGTCTGCATAAGTCCCTGCTTTCCCCGTTTCTCTGGTACGGTTAGGTGCCTTTTCTCTGCTGCTTGGCCCCTCACTGTTCCTCCGTTCCTTAGCAGAACGCCTGCTGCTGTCACTTTCATCCTCCTGGTGCATTCCTCTGCCCTCATTATCATCACTGCCCCTGCTTCTGCTCCTGCTTCTACTATCACTCCTACTTCTGCTCCGTCTGCTTCTGCTCCTGCCTCTGCTGCGATCACTCCCGCTGCCTGTATCCGGACTTGTGGCTTCCGAACCTGAGCTACCCAACTCCGAGTCATCCTGCCGAACCTGCTGCCCAGCTTCGGAGAAACGCTCCTTTTTCTTCACCGGACCAAACCTGGGGCTCGCAAGGTCTGGGTCAGCAGGGCCGAGCCGGAAGCTGGAGAGAGGTTCGGAAGCAAGGTCCGACCGATCCCCGAAGCTGGAAGGATCGGCGGCATGAGAAGCGAGCATGCCGTCAAAGGAAGGATCGAAACAGGTGAAGCCAGAATCGGCACCATCACCATCGTCATCACCATCAGCAGCATCAGCAGAAGAAGCAGCAGCCTCAGCGGAGTGAGAAGCAGAGGCATGGGAAGGAGCTGGGTTGCTATGGGGGTTGCTAAGAGTATGGGCCAGGCTGATGCTGCGGGACCAGTCCTCGCAGGGTGCATCTGAGGAAGGCGCATTTGAGGGAGGCGCATCCTGCCCCTCCTCCTGTTCTTGATCACCACTCTTGACCTCAGCCTGCTGATGTCCCGACTGCTGCTGCTGATGAGTTTGAAGTTCATGCTCATGTGGAGGGACATGCTCGTGGGTATGGGCAGAACTCATCGGAGGTCGGTGCTTCTGCTTGGGATGTCCGGGTGACCCAACACCCTGCACGCCTCCTTTCTCCCTCTCTCTCTCTTTCTCCCTCCTCCTCTCCTTCGCCCTCTCAAAATTCTCATCCCTCCCCTCCGTTTGACTCCTCCCCCCCAGGCTCGCCTCACCGCCAAATCCACCCAAACCGTCAACATCACTCACACTCCCCCTCCTCTCTCTCATCCTCCCCTTCACCCTCTCACCCATCCCCTCCCTCCCTTCTGTATGGCTCCTTCTTCCCAGCTTCGCTTCAGGGCCGAATCCCCCCAAATCAGCACCCCCGCCTATACTCCCCCCCCTTCCCTTCTTCCTCTCTCTCATCATCCTCTCCTTCGTCTCCTCCCTGCCTTCCGTATGGCTCCTCCCCCCCAGCTTCGCTTCAGGACTGCTACAGCCCAGTCTCGCTCGGTCAATCTCCCTCCCCTGCGAGGCAGCTCGCAGAAGCGCCCGGGATTTATCACCTCTGGCTGACTCGCCTGATTCCTGTGGCCTATCTGCCTTGGTTGACTTGTCTGACTTCGTTGACTTGTCCAAATCCCCTGACTTTCCTGAAGAGCTCTTTGGTCTGTCTGACTTGTCTGTCTTATCTGCCTTCTCCACCTTCTCCGCCTTGTGTGAGGTCATGGGGGCATCAGCAACCCCACCGCCGCTGTTGCGGTTACCACCACTATTGGGTTGGTTACTGCCGCTGTTACGGTAACCACCAGTGCTGTTCGCGAAGCAAAGGTCCGGGCTGCCCCCATCCCCAGCCGACCCATCCAGCCCCACGCCTCCATAACTCACACTGCTCGCATGCACGCCCCTCCGAACCCTACCGCCTCTGCTGCTGCTACTGCTGCTGGTGCTGCTGATAGTGCTGGCTGTGCCAGTGGTGCTGGTGCTGCTGCCAGTGCCACAGAACGCGCCGCTGCTACAGGCAGTGCTGCTGCTGCTGATGGAGCAAGCAGCCGCGGCAGCAGCGGCTTCAGCCGCGCTCAGCAGGTTGTTGGGGTCGGAGGTAGATCTACCCTCTCGGGAAGACGGGCGGCTGTTTGGTCGGTGCGTGCTGCTGCTGGTGCTATAAGCACCGGTAGCAGTAGCACCCGCAGCAGCACTGCCAGCAGCAGCGGCGGCGGCGGCAGCAGCTTCAGACGCGCTTAGCAGGTTGCTGGGATCGGAGGTAGATCGACCCTCGCGGGAGGAAGGACGGTTTGTTCTAGACGTGGTGGTGGAATGGAGTGAGCGAGAGAGAGGCGAGGAGGCGGGGGAGGGGACGGGAGGCAACGAGGAGGAGGAGGAAGAGGAAGACGCGCCAGCAGCCGTTAATTTGTCTCGTCTCCTCACACCACCGCTTTCCCCAGAACCGCCTGTCCCAGTGCCGCCTCCCCCAGTAGTACCCCCCACTCCCCCAGCATTACCCCCCCCATCCCCTCCGTCCGCTCCGCCTCCCCCGCTGCTCGTGCGCGACAGCTTGCGGTGCAGTGAGCTGCTGGCGCGCGCGCGCTCGCGGGGGGACCCCGCGGACGCCTTGGCGGAGGGCTGCGCGGACGGCTGCGCGGATGGCTTGGCGGAGTCGGGTTTAGCGGACGGCTTTGATGCGTTTTTAGAAGATAATTTGGCTTTGATGGGAGAAGGGGAGCCGTGGGAAGGGGGGGATGTGGCGTGGGGGGAGGGATGGGCCGGGGAGAGGAATGGAGAGAGGGAGGCGGGGGAGGGGGAATCAGTGGCGGAATCGGAGGTGGCGGCGGGCATGGCTTCGGATGCGGAGGCGGAGCGGGGGAAGCGGAGGGCGGAGCCGCGGCGGGAGCGGAAGATCACGGGGACCAGCACGCGATGGGGGTGCGCCTGCTGCTGCTGCTGCTGCTCATCCTGATCCTGATCCTGATCCTGATCCTGATCCTGATTCTCCCTCTCGTTTTGGCTCTGATTCTGACTCTGCTGCTGCTGCAATTTCTGCAGCGATCTCTGCGGGGCCTCTGCAGCATCCTGACCGTTGGATTCCTCGCTGGTTCCTAGATCCTCTGACGGCGAGGCGGGGCGCACCACAAACACGTCAGTCTGCCCGGTAGGCGAGATCTGACCCCACGGCCGGCTCTGCATCTCACTCTGCTTCTGCCTCTCATTCTGGCTCTCATTGTGGCTCTCATTGTGGCTCTCATTTTGGCTCGAGTCAGAGCGATCAGAATCAATCGCGGCAAGCTCATTCCATGGCCCGAGCCCCCCCCCACCTGAGCTCTGATCCCACGGGTCCATCCGCGCGCCTGGGTTTTCACCTGAGCCGCCTGCTGCTTCTGCTGCTCGTAGGCCCTTTCCCGCAGTGGTAGCGACGTGGTGAGGGGGAGGCGGGGAGGAAGAGGTGGAGAGGTGGGAGGGAGGCGAGGTGGAGGTGTGGGGTTGGGAGGGGGAGCAGGAGAAGCTGTAGGAGGAGCGGTGGGTGGGAGGGGTGGGTGGGCGACCGGACAGGAGAGCCGCGGGCTTGAAGGCACGCGGGGCAGGCAAATCCTGGGGAGTAGACTGGGGAATGGGGGATGGGAAAGGGGAGATGAAACGAGGGAAAAGGGGAAATGAAACGAGGAAAAAGAGGGAACATTTCAGAATTCTCAAAAGGGAGAGGAGCGCCGCGGGCTTGAAGGCACGAGGGGCGGGCGGATCTTACGGAGTAGACTGCGGAGAGAGGGAGGGGGGAAGGGGAGATGAAAAAAGAACAAGAGGGGGGAAAGGGACACGAATGTGGGAGGCGGAAGGGGTAAGGGGGAACGGCTTAAGGAGATTAGGCGCAAAGCGGGCGGAAGAGCGTAAGGAGAGTCAGCTGGTTCAAGGCGGGCTTGATAAACCGGTGATTCCGCCTTATCTAAGTCGTTTCAGCAGTTTCTCTTCCTTCTAGCCTTACGTCTCGCAACCATCCGCGTCAATCCCAATGCAATCGTTATTGCGTGCCTGCGGTTACAGTATCGTCCTCCATTCGTGCGAGCTGAAATGCCGTGCATCAGTGTGACGCTTTCGCCTCCGTAACTTTGCGTGACCTCTTCTCCACCCCCCCTGTCTTCTCTAGCCTTCCACTTTTAAGGACTCACGGAAAAGTTTGAGAATTATCAGAACGCTGTGTGCCACTGCTTGCCACTCATCACTCGTTCTAGTCGCCTGTGTCTTTTATTCATCCAGGTATATCTCGCCCCATTGTCCATTTTCTCTTGCGCGATCCAGAAACGTATTATCCATTTTTTCCGTGCTTCGAACACAATACCATTTCATCGACCTGCCCTCTTTTGTGCGAATGACGTTGTAACCATATCCAGCCGTAAAAAGCCTGTGAACCCGCTTTCCGTATGTTTTTATATATATTTTTTCTAACTTGCTCCCTCACCTCCGTTGGGGAGCATATCGCCGGATCCATGTCGGACCGTTCCAAAGCCTGCGACCCCGCTTTCCGTAAAGCGCGCTGCATGCTGCTGTAACTCCCACCGCCTTCTCCGCCGGCTCTCGCGTCGCGAGCCGTCTCTCCCACGGCCACTGACGCGCTTTTCGGAAACCGCAATCCCGCAGTGCCAACGCCGCCGGTAGGTTTCGGCTTAACCTTTGGCAGGAGTAGGTAGGAGCGGCCCGGAATGAGTAGATGATCCGGGGGGAGGGGAGGAGGCGACTCGTCTCGTGCGTCGCGTGCGTTGCTGATGGCGACTATTTCGTGCTCCGGGTAGTATCGGAGGACTTTAGAGACTGGCTGCGCACCGGTGAACGCGTCTATGGCCGCGTCGCCCATGCGTATGGAAAGAGGCTTCTCACTGTAGATCGCCATTGGTAATGGTATAAATTATAATAAGGTAGTGAAGTCGACGTGGAAGGGGAAAAAACGAGCTCTAATATTCTAGAGCATCTGATTAGAAGGAAATAAGTGCTGAAATGAAAATGCTGGGACTGTCATGGACCGTCTCCAGGATAAGAATGGCTCAGCGTCTATAATAGCTGCATTTTCAGATCACAATACAAAACACCAACTGACACATCCTTCGCAAAATGCAGACAAACATGGCGGATGGTCGTTTTGGACTGGCTATAGCCCACGTCCTTCTCCTAAGCTACAGAGCTGAAACTCTCCATGATTAGGTGAAGCTCACTCGACCACTATTTTTGCACAGAGCTGCACAACGGCAAAAACCTCCATGGCTCTCGATTCTTGAACCAGACACACAACACCACACCACAGATATTCGCCGCCAGCGTTGGGATTGCCCTTCCGACACTCCGTCTCTTCAGAGTTGCATCAGTCAGTCATCTCTATGACCAACAACCACAGCACGGCCATGGCTCATGACATGATCCTCTGGCTCCAGCCCTCCGCACATGTCCCTCATCAAATATGACAATCCCGATGAACATCCATGGTAGCACCCACATCTTCCAACGGTACGGAGCGGTTCTTTACGTAGGCACAAGGGTTCTCAACGACAGATATGATTGTTACCATGCGAACCACCCATCCAAGGAGATTCGTTGGTCTAGGTTGGGGGAGGGAGGTTGGAGTGGAACCAGGAAAAGTCGTCGCAGAATGGTTCAGCTGTTCTGCGAAGCATTTCGTCAACCCTTGGTTTCGCTCAGATATGCTTTATTGTTCGAGTGTACCTGCATTTCCATGAGCTGGCGTGCAGAAAGACATGTTCTTGCGAAAGCTGAACACCCCCTTCACCAAACTTCGCTGGCGCAAGCATGCGCTTGCGCTCCTGGTCGCGGGATTTTTTTCGTTCCCTGCCTGGTCTTTCCCAGTAGTGCTTTCCCGCGCAGCACAACGAATTGCGCAGATGGGTTCTTCCGCGACCCGTCCGAGCCTCGCTTCCCGAGCCTCCTTGCCCTTTCGTTTCAGTAGTATCTCCTCCTCCCCAACCGTTCCGCCAACGCAGCAAATCTTGATGTCTTTTTGCCCCCTTCCCCCGCACCATTCTCCCCCAACCCCTCCTCCCGCGAAACCACCGAGGGTCGAGTCGAGGCGAGGTGCACCACGGCTGGGCTCCCTCCCGCACCATGCGCTCGGCACTGGCAGAGCAGTCTTCCACCTTTCCGCGGAGCCTCCCCCCTAAAAGCCAGGACTGTTGTGTGTGCATGCAAGCAGACAGACCGAACCGAACCAACCAGCAACAGGTGTGTGTCTGTGTGTGTGCGTACTGTACGTACGGCACAGGGTAGAGCCAATTTCTCCAGACCGACCAAACCAGGAAACTGTTTCGTGCTGATGTTTTGCTGGACCTTGGGAATGGATATTCTTGGGTGAGGAATGAGGATGGAGATTACCTCGTCAGTCGGTGCCAAACTAGGTTCCTAAAGCAGTTAGAAAGTGATAGATTAGGTTTTATTAACTCATTTTCTCCCATGAGCTTAGTAGTTGCTGGGACATGCGATGGCGAAGAACAGCGGGACATCGGTGTTACCGTTTGAGCTGCCATCGCCGTCATTCCTTCAGCACCAAGGCTCACCATCGCCGCACCAGACATCCCGACAGCAGCTAGCATCGCAGCACGAGGCGTCGCGCCGCGATGCGCCTAGAAAAAAATCGACAATGCCATCCAATACTGAGCTTGACAGAGCATACTCCGGCGGGCCTGTCAAAACCGGCCACGTGGCGTCGTCAAATACCTACCATGAGACAGTTTTAGTCCCACGCTCGGCAGTCCCGAGGTCTGTGACGTGGAACACGCAGCAGAATCAGCAGGGTGACGTCAGCAGGCCTCGTACAGCGAACCCTAACTCAACTGTAGGACCCGCAGCGCATCCGAAGTACATCCCGCAGTCTAGAACCGACCCGTGCGAGGAGATTAACTTCGAAGCGCGGATTGCAGCGGCACGGGTAGAAGGCAGGAGTCGCGCGTCGGGTGTAAAGGCTTCCACAAATTCCGGCAGGACGGTGATTACGACCTATGAAGAGGAGTCTTCGTATCGTGGGTCGAAAGGGACTAATTCACCTAATGATGTCATCAGCCATAGTTTCCTTCCTTCAGAGAGTAGTCTATCTACCACCGACTCTCACGGCGGGTCTGGCGGGCCTTATCCGGCAGATTTAGAAGCAGAAACCACGAGCTTAAATGTGGTTAAGAGTCCCGGTGGAAGGAGACGGAGAGCGTTGGTGAAGCAAGGCGATGACGGTGACGGAGGGTCTTTTAAGGAGGATAAAAAAGGCCGGACGTGGCGCATGCCGAGCCTCCGGAGGCGGCACAGCACCAATGGGAGGGACGACGGAGGCCCGGACGAGCCCGTTCCAGAGCCTCGGAAGGGCCAAGTTTCGGCAGGCTCGGATGCCGGCCCTGAGGTTCCGCATCGGCGGCCGTTCTATTCCGCATCGTTCGGGTATGTGAGCGAAAGGAGGAGGAGCTTCGAAGAGGAGGAGAGAAATATCCACCGCAGCGGCAGTAGCAGTAATGGCCCCGCCAGCGGCGGAAGCGGAAGCAGGAAAAACTCCGCGCATTCCGCGTCTCCGGATAATGACCACTGCGGAAGCACGGACCCGGAGCCCGCGCGCAGACCCAGCATGTTCCGCCACGCGCGCCCGAAAACTCCAGAGAAGCCGCAGTTCCCGGAGAGAAAGGCCATGTCTGAGTCGTTCTCTTCCGGCGGCTCCAGCCGCCAGGCAGACTTCTTTCCCCCGCCGTCGCGCGCGGCCGCCATCGCGGCGGAGAAGAAACGGCAGGCGAAGGCGCGCGGGGAGGGGGGGCTGGGGGGGATCAGGGGCGTGTTCTCCCGCAGCAGTAGCATCGCTTCTCGCAGCAGCAGCAGCGGCGGCGGCGGCGGTGGTGGCGGGAAGGTGGGTAGCAGCGGCGAGAGTAGCAGAAGCGGGGGGGCCGGGTTGGGTCAGAGCGGAGGGGGGGGCATGATGAGGCGCTCTAGTAGCAGCCTCACCTCGCGGAACAAGAGCAGCGGTTACGGCAGCAGCAGTAGCAGCAACAGCATCAGCATTAGCCACGCCAACGCCAACAGCGGCAGCAGCGGCAAGAAACCGGAGGGCTGTAACGAGGATAGCTCGTCTGATTCGTTACAGGTGTCAGAGGGAGGAGAGGATATGCACGAGGTTCTCCCCGTGCCTGCCCTGCCTCGGATCCGAACCAACGCCGCCTCGCCGAAGCGGGCGCTCAGCCGCAGGCTCGGGCTATCGCTGAAGCTCCCCCAGGGGCGGAACGGGGCGAGCGGGGAGGGGGAACGCGGGGGCGAAGGGGGAGCAATGGGGGGAGTAACCGGGGTAGATGGGGAATGGGAGAGGGAAGAGCTGGCGCGGGCGTATGGGAAAGGGGAGCTGGCGCAGCGGCTTAAGGCCCGAGGGGGGTCTTTGAAAGGGTGTTTTTTTCCGCCCCTGTCCCCGACAATGGCTGACGAGTTACAAGGAGAGGAGATTCGCGAGCGCGTTCACCGTCTGCACAGTCTGCAGCTGCGGCGGGAAGAGCGGAAGGCGCTGCGGAGCAGTGGCGGGGAAGGGGGCGTTGGGGCGGGCGGAGGGCGGAAGGGGGAGAGGGAGGCGGAAGGGGATGCGGAAAGGGGGATGGCGGAAGGTGAGGCAGACTGCGAGGGTAGGCTGGGCAGAGCAGAGAGAGCGGAGAGAGCGGAGAGGGCGGAGAGGGCGGAGAGGGCGGAGAGACCGGAGAGAGCAGAGAGGGCGGAGAGGGCGGTGGGGGCGGAGAGGGGGAGCGACTCGAGTGAGGAGTCGATAGCATTGAGTGAGGAGGCGCACGGGAGCGGGCAGGGAACGGGCGAGGCTAGGACAGTGATTCAGGCGATTCTTGAGAAGCGCCGGCAGATCAAGGAGCAGCGCAAGGCGGCTGCGCGGGCGGAAGGGACGCGGGGGGAAGGGCCGCGGGGAGGAGAGCCGGTTAGGGAAGGGCCGCGGGGGGAAGGGCCACGGGCGGAAGCGCCACGGGCGGAAGCGCCACGGGCGGAAGTGCCTCGGGGGGAAGAGTTACTGAGGAGGGGGGGCGGGGAAGAAGAGGGGTTCGGGGCGGAAGAAGCGGAGACGGGTGCCAGGGCGGAAGGTTGGGGGACGGATGTAGCAGTTCGAGGTTCGGGTGACAGTATGGAGAGTGATTTAAACGGTGGTGGCGCGGGTGGCGTCACGGAAGGTCGGATTGGCCGAATGGGCACTGATGCGGAACCTGCTGGTCCTATGGTGGGTGGTACGAGGGAGAGCATGAGGGATGGGGAGAAGAAGCAGGAAACTGAAGTGGAGGGGAATGGGGGGGAAGGGGAGAAGAAAGAGGAGAAGGAGAAGGAGAAGAAGGAGGAAGAGGAGGAGGAAGAAGAGGAGGACGGCTGGGAGAGCCCAGAGCCAATAGAGCGATCGAGCACGTGTGACGGGCGGATAGGGGGCAGTCGGGACGAGGACCAGTGGCTGCGAGTCCGAGAGGCAGCCGCCGCCGCTGCTGCTGCAAGAAGAGCCGCTGCGTTGGGGGGCGGAGGAGGGGTGAGGGCTGGGGGGTGGGGGGAGAGAGCGCTTGGGTCAGCGGGAGCAGGGCGGGTGGAGGGTAGTGGGACCCCCCCTCGAGCGCCACACCATGTGGCGGGTGTTATAGGCAGTTTAAGTATACCTCCCAGGAGTCACGTGCGGTCAGCTAGTCACGGGGCGGATAGTGCTGCTCTGGCTCTCTTCTCCTCCGCTGCTGGTAGGGCCCGCAGCCCTTCTTCTGGTACTGGCGGTCGTTCTAGTGCCGCTGCTGCTGCTGTGGCTGCGGCTGCTGCTGTTGCTAGTGAAACCGCTTTATCCCCCTCCTCACTCCATTATCAGCATCACCACCACCACCAGCAGCATCACCAGCACCAGCACCACCGACTGCAGCATCTGCACCAGCTCCCCTCCACCCTCTCGCCCCAGCAACCCCACTCCCTCTCTCACCTCTCCGCCTCTTCCTCCTCCGCCTCCGCCTCCTTCCGCCCATCCCTCCCCAAGAACTTCCCCCAGGTGCCCCCACGCCCGCCCAGCCGCGCGCAGGAGGAGGGTGGGGAGCGCAGGAGGCGGAGATTCGGGTCGTTTGGGTCGTCTGTGGCAGAGGATGATTCCAGTGGCAGTGACGCTTACTGCAGCCCTGTGCGTGCAGGCTCTTTGGGTTCTGTCCCTGCTGCTGCTGCAGTTGCAGGAGCCATTGCTGCTGCGGGTGCTACTGCCGCTGCAGGTGCCATAGCTGCTGCGGGTTCAGTCTCAGGTGGTGCTGCTGCTGTGATTGGTGGCAGCAGAGGCATAGGAGGAGCGAATTCCGCTCAATCTCCTCTGTTTCGGGACCTCTCCAGAACCTCCTCCGCCTCTCCTGTTAGCCGCGCTGCTCTGGAAGCTCTCGGGGCTGGTTCGGGGGGAGGCTCGGGCGGAGGCTTGGGGGCATTGGGAGTGGGAAGGTCCGGACTAGACAGCCCGCTTGTGCGGAAGAAGAGAGACCAGCAGCAGCAGAGGCAGCAGCAGCGGCGGCGGTCGTTTGGTAGCAACCCGGAGCAGGGCCAGGAAGGGACAGAGGAGGATGGCACCAGTGGCGCTGATACCAATGCGGGGGGGTTAGAGGCTAGAGAGGCTAGGGACCCGTGGGCCAACATGGGCGAGTGGGAGGGTAGAGTGGAGCTTGAAGAAGCAGAAAGGAGTGGAGAGGCGGAGGCAGGGGCGTGGAGGGAAGGGGAGGCGGAGGAGGAGGAGGGGCATTTGACGATAGTCCAGAGGGCTCGCTCCCCTGCCCCCATGAGGGGGGAACACCTCTCCTCCTCGCTTGACTCTTCCTCAGGGCTGTATAGCCCCTTCCCGCGTGCATCCTCGTCCTCCCCGCTCCAGTCGCCGCTGCTGCGGTCGCCGTCGTGTGGCGTGCAGTTTGACCACCAGCCGGTGATCCCGCTGCTGCTGCCCGCGAGGCTGAAATCGCCCATGCGGAGGAGCAAGCACGGGCGAGGGCGCGAGGCGCAGAGAGACGGGCAGAGGGAGGGGCTGAACCGAGGGCATGGACAGGGAGAGGCGCAGAGGGAGGGGCAGAACCGAGCACAGGAGCAGGGAGAGGGGCAGGGAGAGGGGCAGGGAGAGGATGGTGAGGAGAGGAGGGGAGAGTGTGGGGGTGCTGACATGCAGTTTGTCCCTCCCAGCAGCATGCGGGGCAAGGTGGGCGGAGTGGCGCGGACCAGCAGTGCGCCTGCGCGCAGCATGCACGTGCTCCCGCCACAGGCGCTTTCCAGAGTGCGGCAGGGGACAGAGGCAGACCTGAGCTTCGAAGTGATGCTGAGCGGTGGTGAGGGGGCGGGTGGTAGGCGGATAGAGGAGGAAGAAGGGGAGGAGAAGGAGCAGGAAGGGCGGGAGGAGGTGGAAGAGGAGGAGGAGGAGGAGAGAGGGAGCGGGAGAAGAGGGAAGGAGAGCAGAGAGTCAAGCAAAGAGGGGCGGAGTTTGAGACGAGAGGTGTATTCAAGCAGGGAGACTGGTCCAAGCAAGGTCACTGGTTCGGGTAGGGAGGATCGGAAGGTTGGGCCGGGCAAGAAGTTTGTCTGGGGTGGGAGAGATCTGGGCGGTGGAAGCAGCTCGATGGAACTCTCCTTTTCACGTATTCCCGTTGGGCGGTTGAATCTGAGCGATATTGATGAAGATATGGCGTCTGCTGCTTTGGAGAGAGAGGAGGGAGAAGAGGAGGGGAGAAGAGAGGGTGGAGGAGGGGGGGGTGCAGGCTCTGGTTCATCACAAACAGCAGCAGCAGCAGCATCTGCAGCAGCATCAGGAGCCCCAGCAGGATCCACACCAGCATCTGCCATCCGGCCGAGTCTCAATCTCAGCATTCTTCTCAATGACCCCCCCTCCCCTCAATCCCAGTCCCCCTTCCCACCCTTCGCCCCGCATTCCACCCTTGATGGGCCCAATGCTCCCTGCCCCTACAGGGAGTTCGGACCTATCGCGCAGGCTCGGTGCCGAGCCGAGGAGGCTCGGATGCACTGGTCGCTGCTGTTTTCTCAGTATATGGATGTTCTGATGGGTGCACTAGCAGGAGAAGGGGGGGAGGGAGAGGAGGTGGGGCGACGGAGGAGTGCAGAAGGGAGGGGGCGAGAGGAGGAAGAGGAAGAGGAGGAGGAGATGGAGGAAAGGTGGGGAACGGGTGAGGGGTCTGTTGTTAGCGAAGGAGGAGGTGGGGGAGGTGGGGGAGGTGGGGGAGGAGGAGTGGGTTGGGGAGGAAGAGTGGGAAGAACGAAGAGGGCTGGTGCAGGGTCGACCGTAGCTCGCCCTGCTACTGTCGGGGCAGGTCCCTGGGACGTAGACCGTGATTCTCTGGCAGGGGGGTTGGAAGGAATGGGGGGTACAGCAGGAGGGCGAAGGGCAAGCGGAGCAGCATCAGCAGCAGGAACAGCAGCAGGGGCAGGAGCAGGAGCAGCATCGGGAGCAGTGCATTCGTGGATGAAGGGTCGATCAGGGAGGTTAGGCCGAGCCTGGTCTTCTGTTTCAGCTTCCCACCGCGAGTTTGAGTGGATCTGCCGCAAGTTCCAGGCAACTTCCGAGACGTCGGATCACCTGCCCGCGGTCCACACCGGCGAAGTTTTCACGGCTGCCCTGGCCGTCTGGCTCAAGTTCTGGGACCAATGGGGCGACGGCCGGCCGTCCTGGGCAGCTGAAAATGACGACTTGTCGCCCGAAGGGGAAGGAGGAGCGGAGGGCGGAGGAGCAGGCGGGGGGGTGGATGGGGGTGTAGCGACAGGAAGAGAGGGGAGACGGGGCGGCACAGGAGTGGGAGCAGGAGCAGGAGCAGGGGCAGGAGAGTGTGCAGTGGCTTGGAGGGGATATGGGCAGGCGGATGTGTGGCAGAGGAGTGATAGTGGCAACAGCAGGTGCAGTGGCAGTTCCCTCCTCTCCCCCTGTGGGTGGAACGCAGATCTCGCTGCTGCTGCTGCTGCTGCTGTGGCAGGGGTACACGAGGACGGGGATGGGATGGGCGGGGGAATGGAAGGGGGAGAGGGGGCGGGGGACAGGGGCGGGGGAGGGGCAGGCGGAGGGGGAAAAAGGGGGAGAGGCAGGAGAGGAGCGGGGGGCGCGGAGCTGTTTGTGGGGGGAGCAGCGGTGTCTCAAGGAGAAGTGATTGATTCGCCAGGGAAGCACAAGGGGTCAAGACTGGCAGCAGGACAGTGGCATAGTATCACCTCCTCTGCTGTTGCTGCTGCTGCTGCTGCTCTCTCAGAGGGCGGCGAGTCTGGTGAAGCACGGGCGGAGGGGGTGCAAGAGGAGGGAGAGGAGAGAGGGGAGAGAGACAGGTCAGCTGAGAGGAGGGAGAGGGCTTCGAGCAGTCGGCTTGAGAGGGAAGAGAGAGGCGGTAGCAGCAGGAGGGTAAGAGACGACAGGGCAAGGGATGACAGGGTTCCTTGTAGAGAGGAGAGGGCACTAGCGTCCACAGGGGCAGAGCGGCCTTTCACTAGCGAGCAATCCCGGCCGTCGGTTTCTGATAGGCAGCAGCAGCAACCGCTCAGATCGCACCGTCCGTACACGGCGAATGTGCCCTCAGGGCTGGGCCGTGGGGCGAGTCAACAAGGGTCTATTAGCTCTCCAGCTGCTGCAGCGCCAGGGGCAGTAGGAACAGCAGGTGCAGCAGCAGGGGCAGCAGCAGCAAGGGCAACAGTATCAGCAGGGGGGTTAGAAGGGTCGCGTGGTTCTGATCTCTCCTCCCCTCCAACCCTAACCATCACTCCACACCGCAAGCAGCGCTGGCGCCCGCCGCCTGAGTTCGACGATGCTGGCCGAGCCGACGGGGGCAGGGCAGGCGTGGGAACAGCAGCAGCGGGAGGAGCAGCAGCAGGAGGAGCAGGGACAGGAGGAGGAGGAGGGGCAGCTGTGTCGATAATGTCTCGGCTGGTGAAGGACGCATTGGCAGGAGGGGAGAGCGACCGGTTCCTGTCGGCGCGGTGCCAGCACGACGACATTCTCCTGTTTGTGGGCGTGGCTGCGGCTATCAGCGCGTGGCGCCCTGCCACAGCCGCTGTGATCCTCCTGCGCGTGCTCGACCGCATTGCCTTCTTTGAACGGCTTCTGGAGCAGCAGCAGCAGCAGCGGGGAGGGGGAGGGGGGGGTGGTCTTACTCCCAGCAGAGGAAGCGGTGTGGTGACTCCGACGAGAGCGGGTGGGAGCACGCCGACGAGAGGAGGGGGTATGGGTGGGTTCAGCAGTACGCCTTTGAACAGCACGCCTTCCTCCCCCACCTATGGCATGCGTCCCTGGACCACCCCTATCCATGCTGCTGGTGCTGCTGGTGCAGGTGCTGGTGCTGATACCATGAATATTACCACCAGTATTAGCATCAGCATCAGCAGCACTGGTTCTCACCTGCCTCCAGGTGCAGCCTCCCCCCGTTCCACCTCCCCTCATAATGTTTCTGTTCTCCTGGGCGGCAAGCGGGCGGGCGCGAACCTGCCTGCGTGCCGCTCGTTTGTCGTGTCGTGCCTGCTGGCGATTTTGTCCTCTTGTGAGGACCGGGCGGCGACAGCCATGGCGGCCGCGACGCCAGCGGTGCAGCGGCTGCTGATGTGGCAGGAGGCTAGTGGGTGCGACGGGGAAGGAGGCAGGGAGGGTGGGGAAGTGTTAGAGGTGGTACTAGAGGAAAGAGATGATGGGGAGGAGATCTCTCTCACTCCTGCTCCCGCATCTGCCTCTGCCTCTGCCTCTGCTATTGCGGGTGGCAGCAGCAGCACCACTGGAAGCCTTCGGAAGCAGCCAAAGAAGCGTCGCGGCCTGCTCCCCAGCTTCTCCGCGCCCTCTCCCTCTGTCCCAGGCCCGTCCTTCCGAACCGCCTGGTCCCCCATGTCCCTCGCCTCTCTCTCCGAAGTTGCTCTAGCTGAAGGCCTAGCCGCTGCCAAGCACTCGAGCCTGGAGGAGCGATGCGAGGAGCAGGATCGGCTGTACCTTCAGCTCAGCCTCGGCCCGGGCCTGCTGGCTATGACGCTGTCGGCAGCCATGCGGGACCTGCCGAACCTGCACCCAGACGATACCATGGCTGTAGCTTCGGCGGTGGAAGGCATGGGGGTGGAGGAGGCGGCGTTTCATGCGGGGTTGCGGGCGGTGGCGAGTGGGAGGCTGGGTGCAGAGGGGTTTGATTCGGTTGTGAGGATGGTGTTTGTGGGGCGTGGGGTGCAATCTGTGGCCATGAGGTTCGCTAAGCTGACAGCTGCAGTGAAATCAGTGCGGTTCTTGGGCGGCGGGAGCGGGGCGGCCGGCGCACCGCCCGGAGGAGCTGCCGGGGCGGGGATGCTCGGACTGGGCGGCAGCGCAGGCGGCAGCGCGGCCGGCAGTGCGGGCGGCAGTGCAACCGGCAGCGTGTCTGTAGTAGGCACGTCGGAGAGAGCAGCAACGTCTTGGGGGAGAGCTGGGGTTTCCGCTTCAGCTAAAGAGACTGGCCCTGCCAGTGGTAAGGGTGGTGGAGGAGGGGGGGCGTTGGGAGGGGTCCTTTCTCTCTTCGGGTCACAAAAACAGCGTCCCAGCACCAGCTATGTCAGCACAGGCGCTTCTAGCTTTGGCGCCGGAGCTGCCGGCAGCCTCGCCGGGTACCAAACCTCCAGCCACGGCAACGGCGGCGCCGCCGGACCTCAGGCCAGTCCTAGGACACCTGGAGGAGGCCCATCGAGTGTGGTTTCCAGCCCGAGAAGCATCACCAGCGACCACCATCAGCACCGCTACAGCCACCGCTACAGCCAGAGCCACAGCCACAGCCAACAGCAGCACGGGCAGGATCACCAGGACCAGCACCACCAGCAGCACCAGCAAAGCAGTCCGAAATCTACTTCTTCCCACAGCCCCAACCCAGCCGCCCTCTCCTCGGTCTCTCTCCTCAGTTCGAACACTCCCAAGTGGGCGTCTGCTGCTCTTGCTGCTGCCTCTGCCTGGGGTTCTGCCATGCAAAGCCGCGGGGGGGTGGATGGGGAGAAAGCAGGGGCGGATAGTAAATCGGATACTAGGAGTATCGCTGGAAGCTGCCGGGAAGGTGCTGCTGCGGATGGTGGGAATCCTGCTGCGGTTGGGAGTGCAGGAGGGGGGAGTGGGAGTAGCAGCAAGAGGTGGGATTTTTTCATGGGCAGTTTCACGGGCAGCAGGGGCGGGGCTGGGGTAGTGGAGGACGACGTTTTGTCGCAGGAAGGAGGGCTCGGTCCGGGCAGTGAAATTTCTGTCAGCAGTGTTGGTGCCCGTAGCGCTTCTGCTTCTGCTGCTGGTGCTGCTGCTGCAGCTAGTGGTGGTGGCGGTTTTGCGGGTGCTATTGCTGCAGCCCTTACCAGCACTGCCAGCATCTACAGTGGTGGTGGCGGCGGCGGTAACCGCGGTAACAACGGTAACGGGTTCGGGTGGGGCGGCGGCAGTAACTGGGGCGGCGGCAGCAACTGGGGCGGCGGGACGAACGGCGCGCTGACACCTGGCAACGGGGGGTGCACGCCACGCGCTCTCACCCCGCGATCGGCCGCGCAGCACCAGCAGCAGCAGCAGCAGCAGCAGCAGCAGCAGCAGAAGAGCTCTTACGTGTCTGAATTTGTAGCAGCGGTGCTGAGGAGTGAGGAGATGAGGAAGCAGCACGCGTGGGCGTATGAGGTGCTGCTCAACTTCCTCCGCATCAACAGCCGTGGGGCTCCCATGGAAGAGCGGGAGCTGGACCTCTGTGCCCGGGTGAGTTGGGTGGGGGTATTTTGTGTCCAATGGTTTGGGTGTGCGTGTGTGTGTCTGATTTTGTGTGTGTGTGAGTAGCAGAGAGACGGGCTTGAGTGCAGGTGGGTGGCTGTCTGTGTGCGAGCATGCCACCTGCCCAGGCAGCACGCGTGGGCGTATGAGGTGCTGCTCAACTTCCTCCGCATCAACAGCCGGGGGGCTCCCATGGAAGAGCGGGAGCTGGACTTGTGTGCTCGGGTGAGTGGAGTGGGTGTGTGTGCTCGGGTGAGTGGAGTGGGTGTGTGTGCTCGGGTGAGTGGAGTGGGGGTGTGTGCTCGGGTGAGTGGAGTGGGGGTGTGTGCTCGGGTGAGTGGAGTGGGGGTGTGTGCTCGGGTGAGTGGAGTGGGTGTGTGTGCTCGGGTGAGTGGAGTGGGGGTGTGTGCTCGGGTGAGTGGAGTGGGGGTGTGTGCTCGGGTGAGTGGAGTGGGGGTGTGTGCTCGGGTGAGTGGAGTGGGTGTGTGTGCTCGGGTGAGTGGAGTGGGTGTGTGTGCTCGGGTGAGTGGAGTGGGTGTGTGCTCGGGTGAGTGGAGTGGGGGTGTGTGCTCGGGTGAGTGGAGTGGGGGTGTGTGCTCGGGTGAGTGGAGTGGGTGTGTGTGCTCGGGTGAGTGGAGTGGGTGTGTGCTCGGGTGAGTGGAGTGGGTGTGTGCTCGGGTGAGTGGAGTGGGTGTGTGTGCTCGGGTGAGTGGAGTGGGGGTGTGTGCTCGGGTGAGTAGGGTGGGGGTGTGTGCTCGGGTGAGTAGGGTGGGGGTGTGTGCGTGGGTGAGTTTGGCAAGAGTGTGTGTGCGAGTGTCACAGATTTCAGGCATTTCTGCCAGAGTGTCAGAGATTGCAGAGATTTCAGCACGCACTCTTCAACTCTCCATTCTCCTCCGCCCTCTCTTCACTCCCTGCCTGCTCCCTTCTTTCCTCCCTTCGTTTCCTCCCTCCCTCTCCACAGGTGGTGCTCAACAAGTGGCTCGGCGAAGGCTCCGAGGCTGACCGCGAGGCTCGGGCAGTGGCTCGGGTGGAGAGGATGGGCAATCCGGGGTCGGAGGTGGGGTGGCCCATGTGGCTGCGCATCGGACGGTTGGTGGAGAGCGAGATGAGCCACATGCCTCGCCTCATGGAGGCCATGCACGCCCTCTCCATCTGGCTCAACTACGATGTGAGTGTTCTTGCACCTTGTGGGTTGGCGCTAGTGTGACTCAGAGCTGGTGGCTGGTGGAGGTGGAGAGCGAGATGAGATGAGGCACATGCCGCGCCTGATGCAAGCCATGCACGCGTTATCCATCTGGCTCAACTACGATGTGAGTGTTCTTGCACCTTGTGAATTCTGAGGTGTCTAGTTACATATGGCTGTGCTTCAGACGGTTGGTGGAGAGCGAGATGAGCCACATGCCTCGCCTCATGGAGGCCATTCACGCCCTCTCCATCTGGCTCAACTACGATGTCAGTGCCTCTCTTAAACGGCCCTTGTCACTCTCACTCTCACCCTCACTGAACAGAGCAAGCGGCTGATGGAAAGATGCCTCACATGCCTCGCCTCATGGAGGCCATGCACGCACGCACTCTCCATATGCCTCAACCACGATGCGGGCTTGCTCTCCATCTGGCTCAACTACGATGTCAGTGCCTCTCTTAAACGGCCCTTGTCACTCTCACTCTCACCCTCACTGAACAGAGCAAGCGGCTGATGGAAAGATGCCTCACATGCCTCGCCTCATGGAGGCCATGCACGCACGCACTCTCCATATGCCTCAACCACGATGCGGGCTTGCTCTCGCTCTCACACTCTCAGGCAACGCACACTCTCGCTCGCACTTTCAGTGTGCACCTGCCTCTCCACTGCCCTCTCACCATCCCATCCCATCGCGACAGCAGGAGGTGCTGCTGGGGCATGCACGGGCATGCACGGGCTGCTGCACGTGCTGCCAGAGGGCTCCTCCGCGCAGACCCTGCTTGACTTGCTTGACCCGGTTGACCTTCCCCAGTGATCCCAACAGTACTCTCCCCCATCCCCATTCCCCACTTCAGCCTCTCCTCATTCCCCTCTCCCCATCCCCATTCCCCGCATTCCCAGAAACTTGAAGAAGACGGGTCGTGCGTGGACGCGACAGCAGGGGAGGTGTTGGACTGGGGCATGCACGGGCTGCTGCACGTGCTGCCCGAGGGCTCCTCCGCGCAGACCCTGCTTGACTTGCTTGACCCGGAGGACGATGACTGGGTTGACCTGTCGCTGGCTGTCGTGGCGCGCATCGCTGCCTGCCCCAGCGTGCTCTGGCCCGTCAAAGGAGGGTCCGCGCTGTTTGTTGCCAAGCTGCTCACCCTCGTGGAAGACTGTAAGTGCTAGACTCTGCTTGACTCTTGTTGACTCAGCCTGACACTCCTTGACTTGCGTGCATTCCCTGGTGTGCTCTGGCCCGTCAAAGGGGGTCCACTCTCTCCATTTGAGTCGACTCAAAAGCAGACTCAAAGGGGGTCCACTCTCTCCATTTGAGTCGACTCAAAAGCAGACTCAAAGGGGGTCCACTCTCTCCATTTGAGTCGACTCAAAAGCAGACTCAAAGGGGGTCCACTCTCTCCATTTGAGTCGACTCAAAAGCAGACTCAAAGGAGGTCCACTCTCTCCATTTGAGTCGACTCAAAAGCAGACTCAAAGGGGGTCCACTCTCTCCATTTGAGTCGACTCAAAAGCAGACTCAAAGGGGCTCCACTCTCTCCATTTGAGTCGACTCAAAAGCAGACTCAAAGGGGGTCCACTCTCTCCATTTGAGTCGACTCAAAAGCAGACTCAAAGGGGGTCCACTCTCTCCATTTGAGTCGACTCAAAAGCAGACTCAAAGGGGGTCCACTCTCTCCGTTGCCAAGCTGCTCACCCTAGTGGTGGGCGTGCGTTTCTCTCTGCTGCAGCTGTCTTGTCTTCCCAACTCGTCTGGCATGTTTTGAGACATCTCAAAACATTTCTCTCTCCTGCAGCTGTCTTGTCTTCCCAACTCGTCTGGCGTGTTTTGAGACGTCTCAAAACATTTCTCTCTGCTGCAGCTGTCTTGTCTTCCCAACTCGTCTGGCGTGTTTTGAGACGTCTCAAAACATTTCTCTCTGCTGCAGCTGTCTTGTCTTCCCAACTCGTCTGGCGTGTTTTGAGACGTCTCAAAACATTTCTCTCTGCTGCAGCTGTCTTGTCTTCCCAACTCGTCTGGCGTGTTTTGAGACGTCTCAAAACATTTCTCTCTGCTGCAGCTGTCTTGTCTTCCCAACTCGTCTGGCGTGTTTTGAGACGTCTCAAAACATTTCTCTCTGCTGCAGCTGTCTTGTCTTCCCAACTCGTCTGGCGTGTTTTGAGACGTCTCAAAACATTTCTCTCTGCTGCAGCTGTCTTGTCTTCCCAACTCGTCTGGCGTGTTTTGAGACGTCTCAAAACATTTCTCTCTGCTGCAGCTGTCTTGTCTTCCCAACTCGTCTGGCGTGTTTTGAGACGTCTCAAAACATTTCTCTCTGCTGCAGCTGTCTTGTCTTCCCAACTCGTCTGGCGTGTTTTGAGACGTCTCAAAACATTTCTCTCTGCTGCAGCTGTCTTGTCTTCCCAACTCGTCTGGCGTGTTTTGAGACGTCTCAAAACATTTCTCTCTGCTGCAGCTGTCTTGTCTTCCCAACTCGTCTGGCGTGACGTCTCAAAACATTTCTCTCTGCTGCAGCTGTCTTGTCTTCCCAACTCGTCTGGCGTGTTTTGAGACGTCTCAAAACATTTCTCTCTGCTGCAGCTGTCTTGTCTTCCCAACTCGTCTGGCGTGTTTTGAGACGTCTCAAAACATTTCTCTCTGCTGCAGCTGTCTTGTCTTCCCAACTCGTCTGGCGTGTTTTGAGACGTCTCAAAACATTTCTCTCTGCTGCAGCTGTCTTGTCTTCCCAACTCGTCTGGCGTGTTTTGAGACGTCTCAAAACATTTCTCTCTGCTGCAGCTGTCTTGTCTTCCCAACTCGTCTGGCGTGTTTTGAGACATCTCAAAACATTTCTCTCTCCTGCAGCTGTCTTGTCTTCCCAACTCGTCTGGCGTGTTTTGAGACGTCTCAAAACATTTCTCTCTGCTGCAGCTATCTTGTCTTCCCAACTCGTCTGGCGTGTTTTGAGACGTCTCAAAACATTTCTCTCTGCTGCAGCTGTCTTGTCTTCCCAACTCGTCTGGCGTGTTTTGAGACGTCTCAAAACATTTCTCTCTGCTGCAGCTGTCTTGTCTTCCCAACTCGTCTGGCGTGTTTTGAGACGTCTCAAAACATTTCTCTCTGCTGCAGCTGTCTTGTCTTCCCAACTCGTCTGGCGTGTTTTGAGACATCTCAAAACATTTCTCTCTGCTGCAGCTGTCTTGTCTTCCCAACTCGTCTGGCGTGTTTTGAGACATCTCAAAACATTTCTCTCTCCTGCAGCTGTCTTGTCTCCCCAACTCGTCTGGCGTGTTTTGAGACGTCTCAAAACATTTCTCTCTGCTGCAGCTATCTTGTCTTCCCAACTCGTCTGGCGTGTTTTGAGACGTCTCAAAACATTTCTCTCTGCTGCAGCTGTCTTGTCTTCCCAACTCGTCTGGCGTGTTTTGAGACGTCTCAAAACATTTCTCTCTGCTGCAGCTGTCTTGTCTTCCCAACTGGTCTGGTGCTGCGGGGATTCGTGACCAGCAGAGCATTTCGAGAACTCTGTTTTGAATCTTGTTGTGCTCCCTCTTTGGTAATTCACTCCCTGACCCCGCCTGACCCTCCCGCACTCCTCCCTCACCCCTCCCTGCAGGCGCCGAGATGACGCGTGACCAGCAGAGCCGCGCAGTGCAGGTGGCGGTACAGCTGTGGGGGTGGGCCATGCCCAAGCGCGAGCAGCTGCTGGAGCAGTGCGAGGTGAGCGGCAGGGGGGGGGGGGAGAAGAGAAGGGGAAACCAAGGGGGTGAGAACAAGAAAACGGAAGTGGTGGAGTGGGGAGGTTGACAGCTGTGGGGGTGGGCCATGCCCAAGCGAGAGCAGCTGCTGGAGCATTGCGAGGTGAGACACATGTGTAGCGAGGAGGAGGGGTGGGAATGGTGAGAGAGGGAGTGAGATGGTGAGAGGTGTATGGCGGTGCAGGTGTGGGGGTGGGAGTGAGAGCAAGGAAGGGATTGAGGGGGTTGGGAGGCTGAGAGCCGTGCAGTGCAGGTGGCGGTGCAGCTGTAGGGGTCTATGCCCAAACGAGAGCAGCTGCTAGAGCAGTGCGTTGTGAGAGGCAGGGGGGGGGGGGAAGAAGAGGAGGGGGAACCAAGAAGGATGTGAGAACAAGAAAAGGAAGGTGGTGGAGCGGGGAGGTTGACAGCTGTGGGGGTGGGCCATGCCCAATCGAGAGCAGCTGCTGGAGCACTGCGAGGTGAGAGACAGGGGAAAAATCAGGGGGAAGGGGAAGATTAATCCGATGGGGTGAGGGCGAGAAGGGTGGGGTGAAGGCATGCGGCAGCATGGCAAATGCAGCAGGGGGGGGGATGGGCCGTGTCAAACATGAGCAGTACCCCTGCATTTCACACCACGCCTTCTTATTTGACAGCACAGTTTACTCTGGTTGACTTTGTGAGACTTTTGTCCTGATCTGACTTCTGCTGGCCCCATCTCGCCCCTCCCTCCCTGTTCTTACCAGACCGAGGAGGAGGTCATGGAGGTTCTCGACCGCTCAGCTGCTGCCACGTGGCGCTCTGTTGCTCTGGGAGGTGCGCTCTGATTGGCCAGTACCTTCTCTGTGTGGGCTTGGCACAAGCTGGTGCTCATGCCAGTGACAGTACAGTTTTCCTTTCCAACATTCCTTCTATATAGCTTCTTAATGGGCTGTCGGCGACTCCTGAAAAGTATACCCTGTTTTGGCTGTTTTCAGTTGAATTCGCAATCACTCAGCCTATGTCAGTCCCCTGTCTAATTACCTCCTGCCCTCGCCCTCTCCACGCCGCCCTCACTCTACCCCTCTTTTTCTACAGCCACGGCTGCTGTGCTAGGCTGAAACTCATCTGAGGCGTCTAAGAAGCCGTTTTTGGGTCAATTAAAGTTCTTCCGAACAGGTTATTAATCTCTGCTGGTTTCACTTTCTTCAGCTGCCCTTTTAGTAAGCCCTCCGATCGTCCCTCACTGGCCAACGTTTCCGTCCAAGAGCGGTGCAACTTGTAAATTATTTTGCGGGCATGCGCTCTTCTGACCTGAAGGTTCCATTGGCTGCCTGCCTTCTGAATGGCTGCCCTGCCCACCTGCCCTGCCTGCGTGCCTATTCACGGCATTAGCAGCTTTGCTACAGTGCTTTGAGGGGACGTCAGTGGTACTGCTAAGTCGCAGCACACACAACCGCTAATTTTCCGATATATCTATAACTGACCTACTGTAGCTGTGTGTGCCGCGCGCACTGTATTTATTTCTTGCCTGTAACTAACACTAAAATAATTAGGTAGGACTTGTGCGAGGAAGGGTGCTTGTCCGGTTGTTGTATTGATTGATCAGCCTGTGTGCATGAGCATGAGCGTGAGTGTGAGCGTGAGCTGAGCGTGAGCGTGAGCGTGAGCGCGAGCGCGAGCTGAGTGTGGGCTTGACCTGAGAGAGCATGATCCTGCAAGTCATGGTCGGCCCATATACGACTTGGCAATACTGGCATAACGGGTTTTACGAAGCGTCGCCATGTGCATCCCTTTTGCCAATGCTCTTGTTTTTGCCGACTTGTTGGTTTGTTTGTTACTCCACTGTTCGTTATGGAGTTTCCCTGTTTAGTGTTGCCCTGTTTCATTGTGCTCATATTGTAGTAAGTACATGTCCACTTCACTAGTTTGGTGAATCTAGCAATTACCCGTCGTACTGAAGGTTGTGCAAACTTTGTCGAAGGTTAAGGAGTCTTTAACGCGTACGAAACAGTTCAAAACTCCAGCTGTAGGATGCAACATATCTCTCAGTCTGCGCGGCAAGATCGATGGCGGAGTCAAACGCGTGGCTCGCGGCGGTGAGCGCCTGCTACAGCGCCGCGGGCATCGTGCCGTACTGCTACGACGATGCCGGCCGCTTGTTTTTTCTGCTCCACACAGAAGGGTGCGGGCATTGCCCCCCCCGCGCTATCGCACCCGCGGGCAATCAAGCATCCGCGAGCGGGCGCACGCCTGGGTCTCCCCGCGCAATCGCATCCGCGTGCGACGCATCAAAGCAGAATAAGGATGAAGAGGAGAACAGGCAAGAGAGTAAAAATCCTTCGGATCAGCCACAAGAGATAGTAGTGAAGCAGGAACCGGATCAAGAGTATGAGGAGGAGCAAAAGCAAGCGAGTGCAAACCCCTCGGATCAGTCGCAAGAGACTGCAGCGGAGAGCGGTGCGGCGAAGCGGAAGAGGTTGAACGACCAGTTGCGGATGGAGTTGGCGCAGGAAGACCCGCGGAGTCGGAAGACGCGGCTGGAAGCGCTCAAGGCGGAGCACCGGCTGCGGGAAAGCGCGCGGAAGCGGGAGGAGAAGCGGATGCAGGATCAGGATCAAGAACGTGAGGGGGAGCGAATGCGAGAGAGTCAAAATCCCTCGGATCAATCGCAAGAGGCTGTAGCGGAGGGCGGAGCGGCGGAGCGGAAGAGATTCATCGAGCTTGCGCGGATGCAGTTGGCGCAGGAAGATCCGCGGAGTCGGAAGAAGCGGCTGGAAGCGCTCAAGGCGGAGCACCGGCTGCAGGAGAAGGGGCGGAAGCGGCAGGAGAAGCGGAGGCGGAAGATCCAGAAGAGCGGAGTGTTTCTGCTGGACTTCGGGGGGAAGAAGGAGGAGGCGGACTACAACTCCCCCGCCCGCACTGCTGCGCGGTAAGCGGAATCTGTTTTCTGAGAAGATGTAAACAGAGCGGGGTGTTTCTGCTGGACTTCGGGGGGAAGGAGGAGGCGGGCAACAAACTCCCCCGCCCGCACTGCTGCGCGGTATGCCGCTCCTCACTCCCCCGCTCCCCAGCTTCCCCGCTCCCCTGCTCCCCCGCCCTCCCCACTCCCCCGCCACCGTGTGTCGCCTCTTGCCCATGCGTTGAGGCTCCCACCCGTCTCCCGCCCTCCCCAATCCCTCTCGCCTGCGTGCCGAGGCTCCCCCCCGCCCCCCGCCCGCACTACCTGTCTCGGGGGGAACCAGGACGTGGCGGATAACCGCTCCCCCGCCGCACTGCTGCGTGGTATGCAGCGCATGCTGCCTTCCCCTCCCTGCCCGCCCTGCCCCGCCCTTCTCTCCCTGCCCCGCCCTTCTCTCCCTGCCCCGCCCTTCTCTCCCTGCCCCGCCCTTCTCTCCCTGCCCCGCCCTCCCCCTACCCGGCCCGCCCTCCCCTCCCTGACCCGCGCTTCCTCACCCCACCCCGCCCTGCCCGGCCCTGCCCTGCTCCACCCCATCTCTTTTGCCGAACCTGACCCCCCACGTGCCGCTGTGAGGTGCGTTGCAGGGAGTTTGTCAAGATACTCTCACCACCATGTGCTTCAGTGTGCTGCTGCTGCTGCTGCTGCTGCTGCTGCTGCTGCTGCTGCTGCTGCTGCTGCTGCTGCTGCTGCTGCTGCTGCTGCTGCTGCTGCTGCTGCTGCTGCTGCTGCTGCAGTGAAGGGAGTACAGGAAGATGATTGATTCTTGATGAACCCCTAATGAATCTCATATTACACCCCCCCATGTGCCTCTTTGTGCCTCTGTGCTGCTGCCACGTCGCAGGGAATACGTGGAGGAATATGAGGCCGGCTATTACAACCTCAAGGGCGCCACGTGGGAGAAGCGCATTGCTGACGTGGCAGCAGCACTCGCGGACCAATCAGAGGCCTTCTACAGCGGGAACAGCGGGCACGTGTTCTTCCTGTGCCACGAAGACAGGCTCAAAGACCCCGAGCAGGGCGGCGCCAGTGTGACAGACAACAGCGTGACAATCAACAGCGTGACAAACGACAGTGTGACTAAAACGAACGGAGCGAACGGCACCGCAGGTGGTGCTGTGACAGTAAAGAAAAAAGCTGCAGCTGCCACCACCCCAGTTGTGCCTGCTTCAGTTGTCACTCGGCTCAACGCCAGGTGGGTGGATGCTTCCAAAGTGGTGGATCATCTCTTGAATAAGAAGAGATTAAAGCCCGCACTGCACTATCGGCTGAACCCGTCCGGCCCTTCAGGCGGGGTTCTCGAACTCGTGGCCTGCATCGCAAGGCTTCAGGAGATTGGGAATGCGCGCGTGGATCCTCCTGCGAATCCTCCCGCTCCGTCTGATGCTCCAAAATCGCCTACTTGCAATGACACTGACTCCAGGGCAGGCTTAGGGTGTATTCCGGAGACGAGGCGTCAGAAAAGGAGGCACCGCAAACGCGTAAAAACCGAGCTCGTAGCCTGCATCTCAAGGCTTCAGGAGATTGGGAATGCTCGCGTGAATTCTCCTTGTGAGGCGCCTCAAAAGCCGTCCGGACCTTCAGGTGGCGTTCCTGAACTCGTGGCCTGCATCGCAAGGCTTCAGGAGATCGGGAATGCTCGCGTGAATCTTCCTGCTCCGTCTGAACCACAAGAACTGCCGCCTCCTTGCATTGGCAATGCCGCCGCAACAGGCTTAGAGTGCATTCCTTTGACGCGGCGTCAGATAAGGAGGCGCCGCAAACGCATGAGAGCCGAGTTGCGTGCTAATGCATGTTAAACCTCACGTTTCATTTTACTTGTCAGTCTTGTGTGCGTGTGGAGGATTTTGTTAGCACGTAGCATGTGTAGACTTGCTGCATGTTTGCCATGAGCTCTTTATGACCAGATCTGTGCATAGGACCAGATGCCAATATAGCCCAGCCCCGTATACGACCAGATGCCAAAATAGCCCAGTATACCAAGCTGACCAGTCAAGTTTACAATGCTGATCCATGTGTAAAGTGTCTGGCATAAGTTTACCTATGAAGACTCTAGAAGGATGCGGTACTCGGATTTTCCAGCCTTTGCTAGCTAACCTGCGAACTTATTATATGTACATGTGTCATATATTGTGTACCACCTACTGTATATACCTTTAAGCCTTGACTAACATTTGGAGCATACAAGCTTGGGAGCACCAACAGTGCAGCCCATGTACCCTAACCAGCCTGTGAACCCACCATCTCCCCGACTCCACGAGTGAACCACAGCTGCTTAGATAACCAGCAATGCACAACAATGGTAAGTAACGCACTTCTCCCCCCTTCCCCCCCTTTCCCCCCCTTCCCTCCCATTCCCCTCCCTTTCCCTCCCCTTCCTCCCACTTTTCTCCCCTTCCCCCCCTTCCCCCCTTCCCCCTCCCCGCCCCAACTGCAGCAGAATGCACACCTCACTATCACATAATACAAGCAGACACTATCACTATCTCAAGAAGCGACATTCGTCCCAAAATGCGTGTCAAGTTGTGAGGTGCCTCAGGACATGGGCACCGCTCCTCCCCCCCTCACACATCAAACACAACCGTGCAGTCCGGGGACTGAGGCGCCTCAAAAGTAATATCCACATCACACCTGGCGTTTCCCCCCTTCACACGTCAAACACGGCCATGCGGTCAGCAATGTGCCGCCTGCATATGGGGCACTGCCGGCACTTGTCTGCACAGGGACTGGTGGCGTGACGGGTGGGAGGAGGGAGAGAGGAGGGGGTGAGGGTCAAGGGAGTTACAGCATATGGGGCACTGCCGACGCTTGTCAGCTCAGGGACTGGTGGCGTGATGGGAGGGAGGAGGGAGAGAGGAGGGGGTGAGGGTCAAGGGAGTTACAGCATATGGGGCACTGCCGGCACTTGTCTGCACAGGGACTGGTTGCGTGATGGGGGGGAGGAGGGAGAGAGGAGGGGTTGAGGGTCAAGGGAGTTACAGCATATGGGGCACTGCCGACGCCTGTCTGAACAAGGGCTGGTGGTGTGATGGGGGGAGGGAGTGGGGGAGAGGGGTAGGGCATATGGGCACAAGAGGGGACGAGAGGAGGGGGTGAGGGTAAAGGATTTAGCATCATAAGGGGTTATGCCGACAGTTGTCCGCACAGGGACTGGTGGTGCCACGGGGAAAGCAGCAAGGGGGAAGGGGAAATAAGCACTCGCTAGCGCAGCAGAGGACTCACTTGCATATCATTCAATCCACTCGCACAAGGGAGGCAACTCACTGGCACAAGGGAGGCAACTCACTGGCACAAGGGAGGCAACTCACTGGCACAAGGTAGGTCACTCACTCGCATAAGGTAGGTCACTCACTCGCATAAGGTAGGTCACTCACTCGCATAAGGTAGGTCACTCACTCGCACAAGGTAGGCCACTCACTCGCACAAGGTAGGTCACTCACTCGCATAAGGTAGGTCACTCACTCGCATAAGGTAGGTCACTCACTCGCACAAGGTAGGTCACTCACTCGCATAAGGTAGGTCACTCACTCGCACAAGAGAGGCAACTCACTGGCAGAGCACGCGGTGGCGGCAGGGCAGCAGCACGAGGCTGATCTCGCGCTCGAAGCACATGCGGCACAGCACCTTCTCCTGCTGCACTCGCTCCAGCCAGCTCCCACCCTCACACCAGAGCCCTCCCTGCTCTCTCACCCTCTTGCAAGCCACCTATCAGCACAGTATTCGACCCATGACACAAATACGGGGACTGGGGGCATGAGGCACGGGGGCATGGGCATGGGGACTGGGGTGACTCACTGGCACAAGACGCGGTGGCGGCAGGGCAGCAGCACGAGGCTGATCTCGCGCTCAAAGCACACGCGGCACAGCACCTTCTCCTGCTGCACTCGCTCCAGCTCCTGCCGCTGCGCCTTGCCCGTCTCCACCTGCTCCGCCAAGGCCGCCTGCAGCCGCACCACCTCCTCTGCTAATTGCCCCTTGCGCATTCTCTTTATGTGGTCGGGGGGTACGGCCTCGAATGTATCATATGTGCTGTGGAGGGGAGGGTGGGTGGGAGAGCAGAGAGGAAGCCGTGGAGGTTGGGAAGAGAGAGAGCACAATCAGAGCTGCCAGCTGCTGCTGCTGCTGCTGCTGCTGCTGCTGCTGTTGCACCATGCTGCACGCGCTCCAGCTCCTGCCGCTGCGCCTTGCCCGTCTCCACTTGCTCTGCCAGTGCTGCCTGCAGCCACACCACCTCCTCTGCTAATTGGCCTTCTCTCATGCGCTTTATGTGGTCCGGGGGTAGCACAGGCTTCGAACGTATCATATGTGCTGTGGAGGGAAGGGGAGGGAGGGTAGCACAGGCTTCGAACGTATCATATGTGCTGTGGAGGGAAGGGGAGGGAGGGTAGCACAGGCTTCGAACGTATCATATGTGCTGTGGAGGGAAGGGGAGGGAGGGTAGCACAGGCGAAGGGGATAACGGGACGGGGGAAACAATGATTCCAGCTGAGCCTTGCCCGTCTCCACCTGCTCCGCCAGTGCTGCTTGCAGCCGCACCACCTCCTCTGCTAATTGGCCTTCTCTCATGCACTTACTGTGATCGGAACGTACTGCCTCGAAGGTATGGTATGTGCTGGTGCGGGGGGATGGTTACGAGGGGAGAGAGTAGGGGTGTTTTGGGAGGGTAGCAGTGCACTCACCCAGCCAAACGTGATAAAAGTGTACTGCTTTTGGGAGGGGTTGTTGTCTCAAAACAACACTTTTATCAGTAGGGGTGTTTTGGGAGGGTAGCAGTGCACTCACCCAGCCAAACGTGATAAAAGTGTACTGCTTTTGGGAGGGGTTGTTGTCTCAAAACAACACTTTTATCAGTAGGGGTGTTTTGGGAGGGTAGCAGTGCACTCACCCAGCCAAACACATCCCACTACTTAGGCAGCCGCCCATCCCACTCACTCGTTGTGCCTGCCTTTGGAGCACCAGAAAAATAGCTGCCCATCTCAGTCACTTAATGTGTCTGTGGCTTTCACCCATCTTTCGGCTGTCTTACTCACTCACTCTCTCGCCAGCCGCATACCACCCACATTCCATCTGCATACCCCTCCCACACTCACCCAGGGAAGAGAGACGCAGTAAGACTCTTCTGCTCCTCCCGCACTTCGTCATCTCGCCACCACCACCCCGCCAGCCGCATGCCACCCACATTCCACACGCATCCCATTCATATACCCCTTCTCACCACTCACCCAGGGAATAGAGAAGCAGTCAAACTCTTCTGCTCCTCTCTCACTTCGTCATCTCGCCACCACCACCCCGCCAGCCGCATGCCCCTCGTCACAAACATAAACGGGTCATGCTCCCGCACTACCGCCGAAAACCGCCGCCCGGACTCCGGCGCATACAACAACATCACGCCCTCCGCGAGCTGAGTCAGCGCTGACATCAGCGCCGCCAGCTGGACAGCAATGAGTGGCGAAAAGAGCATCCAATAGGACATGTGCGCCGCCCAGTTGGGTTGGCCTTCGAGTCTCATGCACAGGAGCACCTGGAAGACTATCACCCCGGCTTTGAGCAGATGTCCCCCCACCTCTGGGGCACCGCAGTGAAATTCAACCTCACTCTCACTGTCCTCGTCCCCCCCTTCCTCACTCCCTCTCGCCCCTCCTCCCACGGCTCCTGCCCCCCCTCCTCCTCCACCTCCTCCTCCACCTCCTCCCCCATCTCCTTCCCCTCCTCCTCCACCCCCACCTCTCTCCCCTCCTCCTTCCCCTACTCTTCCTCCTCCTCGTCTTATCTCTGCATCTTCATCCTCCTCCGCCTCCTCCCCATCTCCCCCTCCTCCCCCTCTTCTGGCCCCTCTCCCTGCCCTTCCTGCACCCGACCCTCCACTACCCACCCGCCTATCAGCCACCCTACCAGAAGCATAAACAGCAGCAGCAACAGTACCAGCGGCAGCAGCAGCAGCAGCAGCACTAGCATCAGCAGCACTACCACCAGCAGCAATAGTGCTCTCTGCCTCGCCCTCTGCCCCCGCTGCCCCTCCCCTGCTGCTGCTGCCACCCCTGCTGCCCCTCTGTGGGGATTGTGATGCGAGAAGAGGGGTGGTGATGGTGATGGCGGTAGCTTGAGGGGGCGAGGAAGTGGAGGAGGAGGAGGAGGAGGAGGAGGAGGAGGAAGAGGAGGAGGAGGGTGGTTGGGAGGAGGGGAGGAGGGAAGGGGAGGAGTAGGAGGGGCGGAGGAGAGGAGAGGGGGCTGGGGAGGGGCGGGGGGGAGGTTGATGCGGATTGGTCCACTGCATGCAGAGGAGGAACGCAAAGAACTCGCCAATGCTGACAGAGGGGGCAGGATGTGTGGGGAAACAGGAGGGGCAGGGGGGAAAGGGCACACATGTAGGTTTAACAGAGTTGTAAGGGGAGAGTTGGTCCATTGCATGCAGAGGAGGAACGCAAAGAACTCGCCAATGCACACATATGTGTACATAAAGAAGGGGGGAGCGCACATATGCGTACATAAAGAAGGGGGGAGCGCACATATGCGTTGGGGGAAAGAGACCAGTTGATGGACCAGAGGGAGCAGCTAGCACTCAGCAGAGGTCCACTGGGTGCGTTTGCATGACTTGGGAGAATTCTCACGAGTGATACAAGCAAGTGTGCTCACTGGTGATCACTGGTGGTTACCGTGCGGTTGAGTTAGCAGAGTGAGCAGTGAGCACGCAACACGGACTCACCAGAGGTCCACCAGCAATGACTCACCAGAGGTCCACCAGCAATGTCCACCAGTCGATGCCAATAACCTCCGTCACATCTGCACTCAACACAGGTGAGTGGGGCAGAGGCAGCATGGGTGGGCCAGTTTGGTGGCTTACCCATCATCATCATCATCATCATCATCATCATCATCATCATCATCATCATCATCATCATCATCATCATCATCATCATCATCATCATCATCATCATCATCATCATCATCATCATCATCATCATCATCATCATCATCATCATCATCATCATCATCATCATCTTGATAACTATAAAGAATAATTATAATACTAATAGCAACAACAACAACACTGATAATGGTAAGAATAATGATACAACTAAAAAAACAAAAACATATACGGTGGCTTACCATTGAGCTTAAGAACAGAAAACACAGTTGCTGCCATAAAGAATATCATTGACACTGCCACTGCAAAGTGCTTTGAATGCGGAGAGACGGGAAGGGGGGGAGGGAAAGAGGAGAAAGAAGGAGAAGAAAGGAGAGGCTGTAACCGCTTCCATGAACATCAACATCGATGACCAACACAACAGCTACAACCCATGCACGCACCGCAGCTCATGCATTCCAAGCTAGTGCCATGTATCAACATGCACCAGCATGCACCAGCATGCACCAGCATGCATACATACACCGTACTCCATGCATACCGGCAGTGTCTCCCATAAAGCCTCATCCGTCATGTTGTCATCTTCCCCCGGCATCAGCGCCATGCACATCCTGACGTGGCACACATTGATTGGGCGATGGGGGAATGGGAAAGGGATGCACACACTCCTCAGGTGACACACCTCTGTGACAGCTTGGGAGCAGAACAGGAGGGGCCCAATAAGGTCCGCATGAGTGCCCGGTGAGGGGCACTTGAGGATGCCAATCCGAACAAATGCCTCGTGTAAAACCTTATCTGCTCTTGCCTGGTACCTCAATTGAAGTCACCTAAGTCAACCTGAATGTACCCAATTCACCTGAATCCACCTGAAATCACCTGAAGTCTCACCTGAAGTTGTCAACGAGCACGAGCCCCTCGAGCAGAATGAGAGGCAGGAACACAATGGCCAGGTCCACTGGCGGCCGCGCCACACACACTGTCAGGGGGTGAGAGGGGAGGGAGGGGTGATGGGTCATGGATGGTGAAAGAGAGGCAGGAACACAATGGCCAGGTCCACTGGCGGCCGCGCCACACACACTGTCAGGGGGTGAGAGGGGAGGGAGGGGTGATGGGTCATGGATGGTGAAAGAGAGGCAGGAACACGATGGCCAGGTCCACTGGCGGCCGCGCCACACACACTGTCAGGGGGTGAGAGGGGAGGGAGGGGTGATGGGTCATGGATGGTGAAAGAGAGGCAGGAACACAATGGCCAGGTCCACTGGCGGCCGCGCCACACACACTGTCAGGGGGTGAGAGGGGAGGGAGGGGTGATGGGTCATGGATGGTGAAAGAGAGGCAGGAACACAATGGACAGGTCCACTGGCGGCCGCGCCACACACACTGTCAGGGGGTGAGAGGGGAGGGAGGGGTGATGGGTCATGGATGGTGAAAGAGAGGCAGGAACACAATGGACAGGTCCACTGGCGGCCGCGCCACACACACTGTCAGGGGGTGAGAGGGGAGTGGAGGGAGGGGTGATGGGTCATGGATGGTGAAAGAGAGGCAGGAACACAATGGACAGGTCCACTGGCGGCCGCGCCACACACACTGTCAGGGGGTGAGAGTGGAGTGGAGGGAGGGGTGATGGGTCATGGATGGTTGATGTGCAATGACTGAGAGGATGGGCCAAAGATGGTGAATAAGAAACACCATGGCCAGGTCCACTGGCGGCCGCGCCACACACACTGCAGGGTAGGGGTTGACGAGCAGCGGGTGATGGCAAGGGTGACAGGCAATAGGCGATGACTGTGTGGGTGGGTGATGGGCAACGTGCGATCATTGTGTGGGTGGGTTTTCGAGGCGCCTCAAAAATCATTGTGTGGGTGGGTGGTGGATGGTGAATGAGAGGGAGGAACACAATGGCCAGGTCCACTGGTGGTCGCGCCACACACACTGCAGGTGGTGAGGTGAGCGTGAGCAGATGGAAGAGCAATCGGTGATGTTTGATGGGTGATGACTAAGTGCATGGGTGGTGGATGGTGAATGAGCGGTAGAAACACAATGGCCAGGTCCACTGGTGGTCACGCCACACACACTGCAGGTGGTGAGGTGAGCGTGAGCAGATGGAAGAGCAATCGGTGATGTTTGATGGGTGATGACTAAGTGCATGGGTGGTGGATGGTGAATGAGCGGTAGAAACACAATGGCCAGGTCCACTGGTGGTCGCGCCACACACACTGCAGGGGAGGGGTGAGTGGAGGGAGGGGTGATGGGTCATGGATGGTTGAACAAGAGGCAGCGAGCGGCAGAGAGACAAAGGACGCACTCTCTCTTGCAGCGAGGTAGCAGCAGAGCAGCAGCTCAAAGGCAACGAGCAGCGGCAGCGAACCTAGACAGGGAACCTGGGGCGCGCTTACGATGACATATATATGAAACGAGATGTACGGGATGAGAGAGAGAGAGAGAGAGAGAGAGAGAGAGAGAGAGAGAGAGAGAGAGAGAGTGAGGGGGGGAGGACGCACTCTCTCTTGCAGCGAGGTAGCAGCAGAGCAGCAGCTCAAAGGCAACGAGCAGCGGCAGCGTGAGAAGCGAGTGGCAGGGGCGCCAGTGGCGGTCGTAGGGTGAGCTGGGCGCGGGCATGGAGCAGTTGCAGCGCGACAGCGCGCCGTGAAACACCCACAGCGGACAGAACACCCACCTGCAGGGGAAGGGAAAGAGTACCGGGGATGGTAGGGGGAGGAAATGGGAGGGATACACGGGAAGATTTGATGTGGAAACGACGAGAGGCTGCACTCGCCATTAGATTTCGCACTCACCACCAAATCCTGCACCCATCACCGGAGCACCGCACTCACCACCAGGACCATGTCCATCGGCCTTGCAGTTTCAGGATGAGGAGGCACGTGAAGAGCAGCAGGCACAGGTGCTAAAAAGAGACGCAGAAAGGATTCACACCTGAGACACTGCACTCACCACCAGAGCGCCGCACTCACCACCAAATCCTGCACCCATAACCGGAGTACCGCACTCACCACCAGGACCATGTCCATCTGCCTTGCAGTTTCAGGATGAGGAGGCACGTGAAGAGCAGCAGGCACAGGTGTTTAGAAGCAGGACAGGGAGAATTCACACCTAAGACACTGCACTCACCACCAGGACCATGTCATTCGGCCTTGGAGTTTCAGGATAAGGAGGCACGTGAAGAGCAGCAGGCACAGGTGCGCGATGGTCGGCAGCACCGTCGCCCAGCTCACGGGCGCGTGCCGGCCACGAGGCATGGCGAAGCCGACGCGAAACCCTTGAGGCGGTGTTCGTTGAAACAAACGACCTCGGGTGGTAACCTGGTAACCCTAGACCTCGTGCGATTGAGTCAAAAGCTTTGACCGAATCCGTGACCTAGGCATATGGTATGGCTGCAAATTGGTATAACCCTAAAGTCGCTGAGTTTTAACCAGCGGCTAATCTTTAAGTACCAAATAATCTGCTAGTACTCTGAGGAGCAGACACGTGGCATCTGGTGGTTCTCGCGGCTCGAGACGTCGGCTGCATCGTCCGTTAATGGACCCACACATGCCCTGACGATATAATCAGGGTAGATTCCTACCTCGTGTCCGCTCACTGTGTGTCCGCTCACTATCTGTACGCTCACTGCGTGTCAGCTCACTATGTGTCAGCTATTAAGCAGCTGCTATTTTCTTATGTTACTGATGTCTACATATCGCAGCGGTCACCAACCTAGTCTCAGGAAGCCTGAAACGAGGAAAAAAACGCACCCGAAGTTGCTGCTGTTACCGTTCACGTAGCTTCAGTCCTACTTCAACCTACTACAGCCACGAGCTCGAAAGGAAGCGGACCGCTATAAACGCAAACGATTTCTGCCATGTTAACGCGAATCGTGGAAAATAACGATCACTCCCTGCTGCTCACTAGCTGCTGCTCAGCTAGAACGTCGGGGCCAGTACATATTTAGGCTTCAGAGTGCGCGTAAGACTGCACAGGGAACTTTGTCTTGGGATTGTCGTCTTGAGAAACTTGTGAAAGCTACTGGTCGCACGATCTCCCCGCTGATTTCATCACATCCCGTGCCTCTCTGTGCCCCCACCAGGTTCGGTGAATTTGGCGATGAAAGGTCGTTGATGATTGGCTGCGACTGCCTTTTTACGTGCCGCATCAGCCTCGCACGGCAGCATCCGTCGGCTAACGAACCAAGCTGATGACTTATGGAGGATGAATTAGTGTAGAAAGGCAGTGTTTCATGGTGTGCGCTACAATCATGGTCATTCCCCACTCTCCCTCCCCTCGTTTTCAAAGTTTATAGCCAACCAGTTTCTTTCGTTTATCAATAACTGCATGATCCCGATCTGCCTCGCGTCCCCTCCCTTTCATCCGCGTTACAAATGGAGGATGAGGTTGAATCGCAAATGTGACGCATGTGGTGTGATTCAATTTCAACGCGATTCGCGGCGGCTCGTCCCTCACACCACACCACACCCAACCCAGGTGATGAGAGTGTCGTCCCAACTTGCACGGCGTCGCGAGTCGCTTCACGAGGCTGACGAAAATGGGTAACGCTCAGACGAGTTTCCACGAGCTCAATAATATCTTTCGCTGCCGGTGGTATCTCGTGTCGGTATGCATAAATTTGAACTCCCCCTCCGGTCACAACATGTATGCAAGCTCGCAGCCACCATTTTGGATGCGTAGAATTGAACAGAGAATTCCACAATTTTATGAACAGAACAGAGATAGTAGCTCGCTCCGCAAGAGGCCTACACGAGGTAATGTGTCCACAGCTCATCCTCGCGACGCCTCCACCGCGACTCGACGCAGGCGGGTCATCCGCATTAGAAAAAGCCTTGCGTCTTCCCTTCCTCACACCAATCGCCACCTGCTCCACTCCAATTTTTCCACTTTGCTCCACTCGGGTGAGCCACCTCGACTAAAGCCTGCCACTTGCTCCGCTCCACAACATCCCTCCTCTTGCTCTCTGTGGCCCTCTCAACTAATTGAATTTTTAAATTTCACGACAAGTCGGCCAATTACCCGCTCCGCGCGCCGCAACATGGCTTCGAGGCTCGCATCTGCTTGCGCGCTGCTTCTGCTCGCCACGGCCTTGGCGTGCATCGCGCGCGGCGCGACGGCCGCGACGATCTCGCAGATGTACGTGTTCGGCGACGAGTCGGCGGACGTGGGAAACGCGAATTACTTCATGCGCGCTTCCGTGAAGGCGAACAAGGCGCCGTACGGCCTCAGCTTCAAGCCCGCGTCGGGCCGCTTCTCCGACGGCAAGCTCGTCGTCGACTACCTTGGTACGAATCTGCGCGGGAGTTCCTTCAACTTGTTCACATCAAGCATCTAGCTGTGCTCCTTGTAGCTTTCTCCCTCGCCGAAAACGGCCTTGATTCTCCGACGGCAAGCTCGTCGTCGACTACCTCGGTACGAATCTGATAACTCAATTGAAACGTTCAAGCTCAATCTTTCTCCCTCGCCCGGAACGGCGTCTAAATTTTACTACTACTTCTTACCAACTTGGTCTCCTCAATCTCCACTCTATTTATCTTGTCCCATCTCCCTACTCTCCTTCACTCTTTCTTCCAACAGCCGACTTCCTCGGGATCGCCTCGCCGCGCGCCGATCTCGCGCCCCGCAATGCGTCGCTTCCCTTCACTGGCCTCGATTACGCCATAGTAGGCGCCGGCGCCAAATCCGGCACCAACGGCGGCAAGGTACTAGTATTGACCGAGAAAGCCTCTCACCTCTCGCCAGCTCCTCCCTTGGGAAGAGTCCGGCCTGGTTTTTTCATTTCTTTTCTTTTTTACCCCTTGCACTAAACATGTATTCCTAGTAGGTTCAGCCACCTCCTATCGACATCGTCCGCCTTCTCCTGGCCGTTTTTCTTTCTCACATCATCATCTTTCCTCCGCCTTCTCGTGGCTTCCCTTTCGGATGGCGGCAGACGCGCGGGCTGCAGCTGCAGTTGAACGAGTTCAAGAAGTGGTTCAACGAGGCCAAGCGCACCAAGAACCCCGACCTCGTACGCATTCCGATTGACACCTTACTCTCACCCCACGCCTTTCTCCCGCCCTTTTTCCATCCCCATTTCGTACGCCCTCCTTGCTTTCTCCCTCGTTTCCATCTTCCGCTCTTTCCCATCTTTCTATTGAATCTCCTTTTCATCTTTTTTTTTTTCACATCTCCCCCTCTCGTTGATTTGCTCTCCTTTCTTGCTTCACAGAAGCTGGACGAGGCCCTGTTTGTGGTGAGCATCGGAGCCAACGACTATCTCGCCGAGCTCAGCAGCGAGCAGCCCAACATGACGAATCTCGTCGCCATAGCCTCCTCGGTTTCCAACACCGTCATCAACGTCATCCAGTCTCTCTACAACCTCACCGGCTCTTCCAACATTGTTGTTATCGATCTGCCGAATCTCGGCTGCGTTCCTGCTGTGCGCCGTGCGGCAGGCAGTGGAATCAACTGCACCGAAGCTGGTAACCAGATTACCACTATCCACAATTTCGCGCTGCTGACGAAGACGGACAAGCTGAGGAACAACCCCGCCCTGCCCATGCCGAACCTGGTGCTCTTCAAGCAATCAGCCGTCTTCAAGACCATGATCCAAGTCCCCACCTCTGGTAAAACCCCCTTTACTTCCCCCTCCTCTCTCTCGGTTGTTCCCTCAAGTTAACCCCCTCCGCTCTCCCTCTCCTTTCCCCTTCCCCCAATCCTCACCTTGAATCGCTTCAGTTTCATACTTCCCCCTCCCTCCTCTAGTGCACGCCTCAACACCCTCTCACCATTGTTACCCTCCGCGCTTCTTCCTGCCACCAGGCCTGACGAATCAGACGCACCCGTGTTGCGAGGCGGTGACAAGCACGGGGGTGGTGGTGGCGTGTGCTCAGACCAGCGGCACCGGCAAGGCAGCGGTCACGGCGGGTCCGTGTGCGGCGCCGAGCAAGCCTGTGTGGTGGGATGCTGGTTGTTTTTTTCCAAAATTATCTCCATTTTTAGGTGGGATGAGTGTGGTTGTGGGTGGGGGAATGATTCCTCGAGCTGTGCTCCTCTGCACCTAGGTGGTGTAGGCCCGTGGGCCTTTTCGTCACTTAGCGTGAAATAAGGACCAGAGCATTCCTCTGGCAAGGGTGCAGGCTGCTTTCTTGAGGAGAATTCATTTATTAATGTTATGCTGAGTTTGATTACCGTATATTGGAATTGTTTTAACGGACGAGTAATCTGTTCGTGATTTGTGAGCCGCCTCAAGGCATATACTACCGTACCATCTAGGGATGAGTAGCAGATGTAATCAAGCCACGTTGGAGAAGGGTGGTGTCTGTGACGGTCATATCCTTTACCGCCGAAGCACCTGGCATACATTTTACCAGAATTGTTGACATGACAAGTGCTCTGATTTCCTGCAAAAAGCAGATGCCTGATATTGTAGTTCAGCAGAATGGTATTCGGTACATGCATTCACTACTTGATAAAACAGGCTGACTGGTCACAACAAAAGAATATATCTATAAGCACACATAGTACTTTTCATAATTGTGTATCGTAAAAGTGAAGCTGCCGATACCGAATGTTTGGCGTCGCCTAAACGCGCTTATTACGGTACCCTTCTCCAACTACAAAAATCGTATGTTGTTGTAGCTCATTTTCCTCCACCCACGTGTCTCCAATTCCATTGGCGCAGTCAACATTCCCATCCCACCACCCACCCCAAGACCAATTACCCTGCCACGGCCACTTGAACGGGTGACCCATATGTAGATTTTTTTTTTGCATGTACTAGCATGTGTCTGAAGCACTGTGCATATGATGTAAACAGAACAATGCCAATGCATACGGACAAGGAAGCAAGCTTCCTCAATCTATACTTCTATGAACCTGAGTGATACACTCTTCATGAAAAAATACCCTGATCAAACAAAAAGCGCCGTACAGTCTCTCTCAACGATACGGTACTCAACCCTAAGGAGCAGAGGATTCCGTGCCAGCCTTTTGAGCCGACCCAAAAGCCGACCCAAAAGCCGACCCAAAATATCATCCGAGTCGTCGCAAGGGCAATGAAGGCTGAAGCCCAATGTCACACACTTCCGCCCCTCAGTCCGAGGAACAGAGGGGCTGCACAGGCAACGTATGCCAGCATTTTCAACACGCCTCAAGCACAGCGTGTCACCTATCCTCTCTATACTCCCGACCCTCAGTCGGAGGCTCGGAGGGGCTGGGCAAGGCCATCAGCACCGGGCGTGGGAGCGTTGTGCAGGAAGATGTACCAGTTGAGGCTCGTGGCGATGGATGCCCTGTTGGGGGGGGTTAAGAGGGGTGGTGTGCGGTGAAGGATTGAGTGCATGCAGCATGGGGCGAGCCTTGTGCAGAAAGATGTTGGGGCTGGTTGCAATGGATGCCCTGTTGGGGAAAGAAAAGAGTATGCAGCGATTCAGTCCGAGGCAAGCCTACTACGGGAGAGAGAAAACAGATAACAGCGAGTGATTAACAGGTTTGGTGAACTCGAGAGAGGAGAACGTGGGAAGCAGCAGGCATGGTGCGGGTGGTTAGTTACCAGACGATGTAGGGCCAGAGGAGGATGGAGGCGAGCTTGATGAAGTTGCCTCAAAAGTAGGTCAAGCGGAAGGAGAACGAAGCAAGCAGAGAGGGTGCAGTGCGGGTGCGGGTGGTTACCAGACGATGTAGGGCCAGAGCAGGATGGAGGCGAGCTTGCTGACAGGCCAGAAGAGCACGATGGTGCTGAAGACTGACAGCCACAGCAGCACTATCTCCGCTAGCGCCCAGTCCTGCAGGGATGCGGTGGGGGAGGGGATGCGGGGTTTAGGAGAGTCGTTCAAAAAGGCAACGAACACTTGAGGCGCCTCAAAGGGCTGCTGACGGGCCAGAAGAGCACAATGGTGGAGAAGACTTCCAGCCACAGCAGCACTATCTCCATCAAAGCCCAGTCCTGGAGGCATAAGGTGGGGTAGCGGATTGAAGGTCTAGGAGAGGCACGCGGGAAAGGCATGACGGGCCAGAAGAGCACGATGGTGGAGAAGACTGCCAGCCACAGCAGCACTATCTCCACCAAAGCCCAGTCCTGCAGGGATGCGGTGGGGGAGGAAGAGGAAGGGGAGGAGGGGAGGAAAGGGAAGGGTATCATGACACAGGAAGGGCATCATGACACAGGAAGGGTATCATGACACAGGAAGGGCATCATGACACAGGAAGGGCATCATGACACAGGAAGGGTATCATGACACAGGAAGGGTATCATGACACAGGAAGGGCATCATGACACAGGAAGGGCATCATGACACAGGAAGGGCATCATGACACAGGAAGGGTATCATGACACAGGAAGGGTATCATGACACAGGAAGGGCATCATGACACAGGAAGGGCATCATGACACAGGAAGGGCATCATGACACAGGAAGGGTATCATGACACAGGAAGGGCATCATGACACAGGAAGGGCATCATGACACAGGAAGGGCATCATGACACAGGAAGGGTATCATGACACAGGAAGGGTATCATGACACAGGAAGGGCATCATGACACAGGAAGGGCATCATGACACAGGAAGGGCATCATGACACAGGAAGGGTATCATGACACAGGAAGGGCATCATGACACAGGAAGGGCATCATGACACAGGAAGGGCATCATGACACAGGAAGGGTATCATGACACAGGAAGGGTATCATGACACAGGAAGGGCATCATGACACAGGAAGGGCATCATGACACAGGAAGGGCATCATGACACAGGAAGGGTATCATGACACAGGAAGGGCATCATGACACAGGAAGGGCATCATGACACAGGAAGGGTGAGGTACTGTGTGTGGGAGTGTAGGTGGGGAAGAGGAGGGAAGAGGAGGAAAGGGAACGGTATCATAGAGAGATCTCACGGGAAGAACATGAAAAGGAATGCGGTCCCGGCAGGGCATGAATAAAGAGGGGAAAGTCTATCTGGCCTACACTCCCACACACAGTACCTCGCCCTTCCTCACACCCTCACTCACCTCACGTGCTGCTCACTCGTTCAAGGTCATGCCCCGCTTGCTCCCAAAGTCACCCATCGTGCTGACTCCTACCCTCCCACTCTGAGCCACCCAGTTTGCCGCCCCGCTAGCCACCCCACTAGCCGCCCCGCTAGCCGCCCCGCTAGCCGCCCAACCGTCCTCCCAGAGCCACGAACCGAGCTGAACCACTCACAATCTTGCGCATGCCAAAGAAGAGCGGCGTCCAGAGGAAGTTGAGCAGCAACTGGGCCGCATGGGGGAGGGGGTGGTGGGGGGGTGGGGGGAAGACACTAAAAAACAAACAGTGAGGTAGATTGTTGATAAAATGAAAAATCGCGAATGCGGGAGACAAGCAATCTTGCGCATGCCGAAGAAGAGCGGCGTCCAGAGGAAGTTGAGCAGCAACTGGACCGCACCGCAGGGACACGCAGAAACGGGGGGTGGGGTGGGGGGGCGAGGACGCAAGAAATCAAACAGTGTGGTGGATTGGATTGTAACAAAGAGGAATAAGCGTGAATGTGGGGGACAAGCAAGCTTGCGCTCATCTTCCTCTGGACGCCAAAGTAGAGTGGCGTCCAGAGGAAGTTGAGCAGCAACTGGCGCGCAGGGCCGCGCAGAACCGGGGGGCGGGGGGATGGGGTGGACTGGGGGGAAGATGCAGGAAGACTGACAGAGTAATAGATTGTCAGTCTCTTGACATGGGGGACAAAAAGGCTGGAGCTGCAGAAATTCTTACAAGAAGGGGGTAGAGAACGCGAAATGGGGGATGACCGGGGGAGGGAAGGGGGGGCCGTGGGGGGGGGGGGGAGGTGAGGTAGAGAGTAAGAGGTGAAAGTGAGAGTGAAGCAGCGAAGGTCACCTGAAACAGGTAGATGCCCAGTGGGAGAGCTTGCACGGAGAATCCTGCACGGTCAAAGCACAGAGAGACAGTATCACGATGCACAAAGGAGCACGCGAATTGAAGCAGGGCATTCAATGGATGTGACTCAATGGGTGTGACTCTATGGGTGTGACTCTATGGGGTGTGACACAAAGACAGCACAGCGTAGGCGATTCCGGGCAGGGACAGGAGAGGCAGGGTATGTGAGGAAGAAAAGCGTGACTAGTAAGTACCTCCTTGCAGCCACACGAGCCACGCAGCGACGCCCATCATGATGTAGAGGTTGATCCACACCACCGGGAACACCCACCCCTGCGCATGTTGCACGGGACAGACACGCAGAGGGCAGCAGAGAGAAAGCCTGGGACAGCGGTGGGTGGCAGAGACAGAACAGGGACAGCGGTGGGTGGCAGAGACAGAACAGGGACAGCGGTGGGTGGCAGAGACAGAACAGGGACAGCGGCAGAGGAAAGAGAGACAGGGAAATTCACAGACGGAGGTGCAAGGGAGATGGATTTTTCCGGAAGAACAGACTGAGCGCCAGTGAAACGACGATTCCTAGCTTAATTGTTTCCATGCTCGATCGGTCGGTGGCTACACTCGCTACCCCCTCTACTCTGTAATGCTCCCACACCGCCCTTCGCCGTTCCCCCCCACCCCCAACTCCTTCATCGTTTCAACCCAGACACACACCGGCGGGTATTCGAGGCACCTCAAAAATCAAACCGCCGCCATTACTTGAAACCACTCCCTGAACGTTTCAACCCATGCACTCACCGGGGGGGTCCACGAGGGCTTGTCGAGGCTCCTGTACCATGCTGGATTGGAAACAGCGATAAGGGGGGTGGAGATATAATAAGCATTGGATAAAACTTGTAAAGGCTTGTCCAGACTGCGGGACCGAGCTGTTACCGAACTTGGTAACGGTTTTGGATTTAATTGCGATAGCAAACTTGTTTGCGAGCAGTCATAAGAGCTACGCATGTGTGACCACTGAAAGAGCTGTAAGAAGAAGGGAGAGAGCATGAAATTAGAGGGAAGCTTCTTTGGAAACGCTCACAAGTGACCTTCTTTTCCGTCGCACTTTGCATAAAGGAGATCCAGAGGAGAGCAAAGAGCGAACGGCACAAGCAAGGGGAGGACGAAATGCGCGACGAAATTCTCCGTCCCTGACATGCGGAATTGGTATGATCCGATATTCGTGGAGGTATTAAGAAACGGTTTACGCCGAGTGCGAGGGAATTGTAACGGTAGCGACTCACGCGAATCGCCACCGCCGAAGAGCGTCGCGGAGAGGAAGCCCTGCCCGATGGGGAGGCCGATGGACGCTGCGAGCATCCCATAGTCGGACCACGTCATTGCGACTCGTAACGACGGTGTGCGACAACGGCGACAATCACTGATGACGGAAGATGCCCAAGCGATGTATCAACGCGCAACCAGTTCAGGGATTCCGGTGGACTGGCAGGCAGCGGCAGCAAGCAGCAGGTGGCAATCAGCAGGCAACAAGGATATAATTTATTCCCAACATTTGATGTGTACGTGGATTTTCTCACAGCTTTGTTTCCTCCCTCAGCTTCCTGTCCGTTTCTTGCTCACGGTTCTTGACCTCCCTCGATGTTGTCGCACTGGGCAAGCCCTCTCCCCTCAAGAAGCAAAATTCGCCCCCATGACAGGGAAGGGGGGACAGCGCTGCGAGCCACATGTTTTGACTGGCGGGTTGATTTGACACGCGGCAAACCGAGAGCCGCTGGTTGGTGTGCCCCTCGGATTGGCGCATGACAGCTGTAATCAAAGAGAAACTGTGAGAATGCTGCGAACTTCTTATACATGACATATCCTATTATGGATCTTGTGTTAGTCGCATCTGTTAGTACCGCGAATGGCATTTTGTGTCAGAAATGGATTTGCATCGAGATTTGTTCCCTGCAGTCACCACCACTCCCGATGCTCGACATTTTCTAGAAAAGGAAGTGTTTTCAACAAATCCGCAAATACGCTTCGCGCACAAGCAAGTGAGAGCATGGCTAGTACCAGAATCCGCGAATAATTACGGATGGTGTGAAATAGAGAGTACGCAGCACGTGATGGCGCTTTGTTGGAGCTTTTGCAATCACGTTAAACCCGTCTGAGCCCCAGTTTTTCCCTGTTTTAACGCGTTACGAGTCACACTCGTACTAGATCGTTCTAGGCTCTCATTCTCCCAGACGAGCCGTTGCCATGAATCGAGGCCGCAATAGACTCCCTCCCAGCAGGCGCGATGCGGTTACCAGTTCTAGAGACGTCGTTGTTCACGGAGGCTCTAGGCATGCATCGCGTAGTGAAAATTCACCAGCCATACAGCCCGCCGGGAATTGCAACGTTAGAAATGCGAACCATGGGAACAGCTGTGCTCTCAGCGATGCGAGGTGGAGTGCGAGCAGCATGGACGAGGAGATTCGCGCGAAGTGGAACACAGTCATGGCGGCCGTTGACGAGGAACGGCTGGTTACCAGCATGGAGCTGGAACTGCAGCTCAGGAAGGCACGTATCCCGCCAAGCTTTAACATCCCTAAAATCACGTCGGAACCTATTTGACTACTAGGACCGTAGGCTGTATGAAGCAGCACCCTACCCTGTCTGCTCCGATGTAGAAATTGGATGTCTCTTGGCTCGTCTAGGCCACCTCCCATACCCTATCTGCGCTGCTTCCCCGGTAACTCGATATCCTGGTTAATCGTATCTATGGTAATCCAGATTCATGGGATTCTATTTCCTGGTAACCCGGTTACCTGGTGCAGGAGCACGCGGCGCTGGGAAACGCGCTGGTGCTGAGCTCGTTGGAGCCCCTGACAGAGAATATCAACTCCGCCGCTGACATGCTGCTGCTCCTCAACGACAACTGGGTGCGTGTGGGCTTTTGCGGGACCCATAAGTAACCTCGTTCTTGCATCGACTGAAAAGTCACCTCTGCCACTGACATGCTGCTCCTCTTTAGCGACCACAGAACGGGTGTGGTAACACGCCGTTACTTTCTACTAGGTGACTTTTGAGTCGACTCAAAAGTCACCTTGAGAAGTCACCTCGGCCGCCGACATGCTGCTCATCTTCAGCGACCACAGAACGCGTGTGGTAACACGCCGTTGCTTTCTACTTTCACAAAACTCCCATGTTCGTTTACCCCATTCTCCCCGTCCTCGCATGTTATCTGTAAAGATATATATATATATATATATATATTTACCTGATCCGTTCTTTATCGTGTTCGTGACCCTCAGGATTGGCTGATGAGCTCTCTGGACCAATCAGGGACGGACGAGTGGCTGCCAGTGGAGGTGGAGCATCAGGACGACTTTGCCGCCCTCATGACCGCCGTCCACGCCGCCCGCACCAGCCGCCTCGTTGCCTCGGGATCGTCTCTCATGGAACAAGCTCAGGGCCTCACTGCCCCGCCTGCTGCCTGGGGGGTGAGTGAGAGGCGGTTTGGGATTTAGTGGGGAGATCGGGGGGTGAGTGGAGGGCTTGAGAGGCCGCCTCATTGCCTCGGGATCGTCTCTCATGGAACAAGCTCAGGGCCTCACTGCCTCGCCTGCTGCCTGGGGGGTGAGTGAGAATTGGTTTGGGTGGGAATTTTGCTGAGATGTCTAGAACTGTCTGCAATTTGTCTTGGAATATTTTGGGATGCCAAGTGGTGCTAGTGAACTTCGCCTACCAGGGCACCACCCTGTTTTTTCCACCCCCCTCCGCCTAACACCTCACCACCGGCACTATCAATTGCCGTTGCCCTGGTTGAGTGCCTTTTCCTGCCCCTAGGCCACATGTTTTCCTGCTGATGCTCTTAACTGCCTTCTCTCTCTGCCCTCGCCTTTCCAAATTGCTTTCTTTTCTTTTTTAGCAAGAGCTGCCCCGGCTGTCACGACTGCGGATACGACAGGCCAAGGAGCTGGAGCTGAGGATTGAGTCGACTGAAAGCACACGCCCTCTCGTGCCTCACACCTCACTACCTTCTCTCTCCCATTTGCCTTCCTCCCCTTACTGACAGCAAGAGCTGCCCCGGCTGTCACGACTGCGGGTACGACAGGCCAAGGAGCTGGAGCTGAGGATTGAGTCGACTGAAAGCACACGCCCTCTCGTGCCTCACACCTCACTACCTTCTCTCTCCCATTCGCCTTCCTCCCCTTCCTGACAGCAAGAGCTGCCCCGGCTGTCACGACTGCGGGTACGGCTGGCCGAGGAGCTGGAGCTGAGGAAGAGGCTGCAGCAGCTGGTGGTGGCGAGGAGGTGCGAAGATGAAGAGGAAGGATGAGGAGGAGGGAAGGAATAAGGAGGAGGTATGGAGAGAGGAACTGGATTAAGAAAAGGGTTGCGGCAGCTGGTGGTTGCGAGGAAAGGGGAGGTGGAAAAGGAGGGATGAAGATGAGAGAAGCAGTGATTCAACGTGAAAAAAGATGAGAGAAGCAGTGATTCAACGTGAAAAAAGATGAGAGAAGCAGTGATTCAACGTGAAAAAAGATGAGAGAAGCAGTGATTCAACGTGAAAAAAGATGAGAGAAGCAGTGATTCAACGTGAAAAAAGATGAGAGAAGCAGTGATTCAACGGAGAGGTATGGAGAGAGGAGCTGGAGCTGAGAAAAAGGCTGCAGCAGTGAGCTGAATTTTGAGGCGCCTCAAAATTCAACTCAAAGAAGCTGGTTGGTGGTGAGGTGGAGGGAGGATGAAGAGGAGGCAGGGAGGAAGGGTGGAGAGGAGGAAAGAGAAGGGGCATAGGAGCTTAGTAAGCGCCTGCAGCAGCTGGTGGTGATGAGGAGAGGGGAGAAGGAAGATGAAGCAGGGAGATTAGTTGCATAAGAGAAAGGGCAGAGAAGCTGGGGATGGTGGTGAAAGCGAGGGTTGATAGGAGAGGGTAGAGGGGAGCGGGTAGAGGGGAGAGAGTGGGAAAGTTGGAAAAGGGGGGGAAAAGGGAGAACAAAGATGTTGGGAAGCAGAGCAAGGGTTCATCTCCAAACGCTCACTAACTTTCTTGTCATGAGATATACCTAGCTCTGAATGAACCTCGATTCAAGTCTTCTGGTAGCACTTCCAGATGAGGGACTGTACATAGCTCGTGGATTTTTTCTTAGGTACTTGAGAAGGTTTTGTTACAGCAGCTCTTACAGAAGCCATTTATCCCACTTTTTAGTGCGACACTAGAAATGCTAAAACAGACATGGCAAAGGCAACAAGACTGCACATAACACCTACTCAGCACGTACGTACTCTAATGAATCATGCAGTAGCAAAGGCAAGCTAGTAAAGCGGATCACGATGCATGTGTGCGGGTGTGGGTGTGTCAGGCGGGGGGAGCAGCAGGTTTCTCCATCATGCGAATGCCAGCCCCCTTGTCCCACTCCTCCGCTGACAGTGTCTTCGCCATGGCCTCCTGGCCGCGCCACAGGATCTGCAGGGACACGAGCAGCACACAGAGTGAAGTGGGTATGGGGGAATGGGAGCAGCACACAGAGGCGAGTGGTTTGATGGGGGGAAAGGAGCACCAAATGTCTTGGCCAACGCCTCCTGGCCGCGCCATGGGAGATACACGCACACAGGACAGACAGGCTTTAAGAGAGGCAGGAGCAGCAGGCAGGGGGAAAAGAATGTGTTTATTTCTGAGGCGCCTCAAAAACTTCCGCTGACGGTGTCTTTGCCATCGCCCCCTGGGCCCGCCACAGGATCTGCACGCGAACACGTAGAACACAGAGAGGAGTTCAAGCCTCATCACCTCACCTTGGCTGACAGCATAAATGCCACCTCACTGTGTTAACCCCTCCACACGCAAGCGCACTAACGCACTAGAAACAGCTAATGCCATGTCACCCACTCACTGTGGACACACCCACTCACCTTGTCAATCACCCCGAACTCGAGAGCCCTCTGTGGGTTCATGTAGTACGGGCGCTCCATGGTCTTGGCAATCTTCTCAAACGACTGGCGGGAAGAGAGAGAAGAAAATGATGGGGGGCGGTGAGATGAGACGATCGTAGCTTTCAAAAAAGAGTTCATGTAGTACAGGCGCTCCATGGTATTGGCAATCTTCTCAAACGACTGGCGGGAAGAGAGAGAAGAAAATGATGGGGGGGCGGTGAGATGAGACGATCGTAGCTTTCAAAAAAGAGTTCATGTAGTACGGGCGCTCCATGGTCTTGGCAATCTTCTCAAACGACTGGCGGGGAAGAAAAGAGAAAGAAGAAAAGCGTAAGAGATAAGGGTGTAACTGAGATTGCGGTGCTGTGAGACAGGGTGCAGTGAGATGGAGTGCTGAGAGATGGGGTGTGGTGGGATGGGGTGAATGTAGGCTCCCACGATTGGGGCGCTTCATTGTCAGGCTTTTCTTTCAAATGACTGCCGGGAGGAGTGAGGTGGAGAGGCGTTGAGTGGAGTGGAGTGTAGTGCGGTGAATAGACATCAAGTTGAACAAGTGCGGAATCAAGAAGTAGAGACTGGAACGTACATTGCCTGTGTGGCGGGCGAGGAGCTTCACAAGAGTGTCTCTGTTGTTCACCACCTGAGATGGGGAAGGGGAGGGGCGGGGAGCGGAGGGGAGGGGAGGGGAGGGGAGGGGAGGGGAGAGGAGAGAAAAATGAACACATTTATATTGATACACTTGGAAACAATATTGATAACATGAACAACAACAGAATACCAAATGCAAAAATCGTTGACCATTACAACAGACTCTTGAATCAACGGACCTCCTTGGCTCAGATGCAAATCAACGGACCTCCTTGGCGCGGATGTGCACATCAATGGCTGACATCTGTCCCGTGGAGGGCAGGCGCGGCTGCTGGATCATGGCGGTGGCGTGTGGCAGCATGAATCGGCGCCCCTTCTCCCCCGCCGCCAGCAGCATGCACGCCTGGCCTATCGCCGCCCCCACGCCCACTGTTTGCATCTGGAGGAGTGGGAACCAGGGGGAGGGGGGGAGGGAGCACAGGAAGGGGCAGTAGGGGGCAGCAGGAGGCAGCAGGGGGTTTTAAGGGGGACAGCAGGGGGTGTAGGGAGGGGGGCAGAGGGACCAAAGGAAAGTAAAGGGCAGGCGCGGCTGCTGGATCATGGTGGTGGCGTGTGGACATGGAATGTTGAAATTCGCCCTACGATGAACGACGCGCGCTCCGGGCCTCTGCATATGGCGGCTGACTCTCCCTCACGCGCTTCGCTGCAAAAGCTTGCACAGGCTTTTGCAGCGAAGCGCGTGAGGGAGAGTCAGCCGCCATATGCAGAGGCCCGGAGCGCGCGTCGTTCATCGTAGCGCGGATTTCAAAATTCCATGTCAAGGCAGGTCAGACTTCCCCCGCAACTCTCTTCTGCACCATACCTCGTTCCTCTGCACCGCACCTCACTCCTCTGCACCGCGCCTCACTCCTTTGCACCACACCTCACTCCTCTGCATCGCACCTCACTCCTCTGCACCGTACCTCGTTCTTCATCTGCATCATGGTGTCGTATATAGCAAACCCCTCCGTCTCCATGCCCACCTGCGAGCAAAAATGACAACGGGCGGAGGGGGAAGGGGAAAGGAAGGGAAGCAAGGAGGGGGGAGGGGGGGGGAGAGGTGGAGTGAAGAGGGGCAGGGGGAAGACAAGGGGAAAGAGAGAGGGCGAGGGTGTTGGGCAGCGAGTTAGAGCCAAATGGCTAAGCAACTAGCTTGCTGTCTACGCATTTGCATTGGAGCGAGTGGATGTGATTTGCGGACGGCTCGAAGGGAAGGGACCACATGCAAGCAACTATGCATGCTTCAGACCGTCTCATTATGCCTCACCACTTCGTGTTGACTCATCCTTCAACCCAACCCACCAAATGGCCGTTGCCCAGAAATTCGAGCAGGAATTGATACAGGGGTAGCTGGCTTGACGGGCTCCTATACGCACCGCACCCCACGTGTGCCCAAAGCACCCTGCCACGTCACCTTGCCACGTCACCATGCCACGTCAGCCTGACTCACCGTTTCGCCATCAGCGCGGGAGGTGCCGGTGGAGTTGAGGTAGACGTAGGTAGGCTGACGTGGATCCAGCCACTGAAGGTACAGCAGCTGCGCTATCACCAGCTCCGTTACCGCTGGCACCAACTGCACGCAGGAAGGCGGGGTGGTAAAGGCCGCGCGGAAGGCAGGATGGGAGGGAGGAGGGCGGGGGGGAAGAAACGGGGAGAAGCAGATAGCGTAAACCACTGCAGGTACAGCAGCTGCGCTACCACCAGCTCCGTTACTGCCGCGCGTTGAGCAAAAAGGGAGGGAGGGGGCTGGCGAAGGGAAGTGCAATGCATTCACCCAGCTCCGTAACCGCCGGCAACAGCTCTGCGTTTTCTAACTTGCACATTCGAACACCCACCGGCATGCCGATGTGCACGATTCGGCTGCTCAGCAGCAGCGACTCGAAATTGCTGCTCCCTTGAAACTTTTTTCTCCCACGTTCCACCACCCACCGGCATGCCGACGTAGACAATTCGGCTGTTCAGCAGCAGCGACGGCAGATCGGGCGGCGGCCGACGCGGCCGGTGCTCGCCGTACCCTCCACCGCGCTCCACCTGCGCGGGGGCCGCCATTTGCGTCGCCGCCATTTTCGCCGCGGCGAGGTCCAGCAGCGGCGGCCCGTCGAACCGCCCGCTCGCCGCGTCGGAGATCTGCGCGCGCCCCTCGTCGGACCGGGCGGCGTCCGCCAGCCACGGGAGGAATTTGTCGTCTACCGGCGCGATCAGCCGCGGGTCGCGGCGAGCGCGCAACGCCATGGTCACTCTGCCGTGAGACCCGGCGGCGGACGCGCGGAGAGACGCGCCGAGGTGCTCCTTTCTCCCGCCGAGCGGGGATCCGGAGAGCGCGGCCGCGCTGAGCCCCGCAGGCGCCAACGACGCTCTAAGCGCGGAAGCCATGCCGGCGGAAAGCTCGGAACGCGAGGGGTTAGGCGGCAACGGAGAACGCGGGCTGCCGGAGCTGCTAGCAAGGCGCGGATTCAGCCGAGGCGAGAGCGACGGAGATACCTAGGAGAATGAGAAGACAACTGATGTGTTGCCTCCGCTAACAACGTGCAAACGTGGCGGGAAACGGAAAATTAGGGTTTCGATAAGCTTCGGAAAGAGAGTGACGTGGGGCGAGGAGAAACGGTGGAGGGTGCTGCTTTGGCAAGCGAATGCGTGTCCTTGGGAAAATACATGTTGATTAGCTACACCTACTACACATTTACTTCAACGTATACACAGAGCAACTTTAGGACCAAGTCACGAAAGGTTGCAGATATGGCATACGGTACACTTGCGCTGAATATATTTGGGTTGAAATACAAGAGGATTTTCTACAGCAAGCACACATTGTCGTGTACACTTAATCTAGTGAGAAGCTACAAGGGGGCAGCATCCAGCCCTATGGGCTGCCTTGCAACCTCCTCCTCTTCCTCATCACCCCCATAACCCTCGTTCCCTGTACCCCCCGTCCCCTGCCTCCCAAGCACCAAAAACCCTTCATCCTCCATCCTTGCCTTCCCTACATTAGAAGTGTTTTCTCGCTCAGCCTGCCGGGCCACCTGACCAATCACCTGTCCACCAGCAGCCCCACCAATTTCCCCTCCTAGCATTTTTTCCTCCACCACTCGATCAAAATCCGAGGCTGAAACTACAGCAGGCGCCGTCAAACCAGCAGCCGGCCCTGCCACAGCACCACTAGATCGTGCCCCAGCTGTTGCTCTTGTGACGGCTCCAGCTGCCTCTCCTACAGAGGCGCGAGCTACTGCCGAAGCTGCCATCCCAGCCACACCTGCATCCGAACCTCCTGTTGCTGACACCAGCCCCGGTGCCGAACCTAATAGCGGATCCAACGCTTGGGAGCGGTTTGGGGGAGATGTAGTGGTTGAAATGGCGGCTGGGAAGGAAGGGGAGGGTGAGAAAGCTGTTGCAGATGTGGAGTGAGGCACTGTTCGAGCAGGAGAGGGATGAATTGCGGTAGAAGCAGGTTGGGAGGGAGCGAAGGGAGTGTGTGCATGATGAGAGTGAGTGGGTACCGGATGGGCGGGAGAGAGGGGGGTGGGCATGGAGGAGAGAGGCAGGAGCGAGGGAGAGGAGTGTGAGGCATGGGGGAGATGAGAGCCGGTGGGTACTGGTGAGTGATGGGCAGACACTGCAGCAGTAGAAGAGGATAAGCTTCTAGCTGCTTCCCCAGAATGAAGAGGAGACGAGGAAAGAGTAGCACCAGGAGCGACAGCCGCAGCCGCAGCAGGAGCAGCAGCAGGAGCAGCAGCAGGCGCAGCAGCAGGAGTAGCGGTGGTGGGAGGGGCGGCGGGGGCAGGGAGGGCGAGGGCAGCAGAGCCAGCGCCCTGCAGCAAGCCAGCCACACCGGCACCGGATGACTGCACGTTGGTGGGCAGGAATAGGTCGTGCTTCTGGTCCTTGAACGCCCTCCACACCTGGTGTCGGGAGAGGGGGCGGGAGGAGGGTGAGGGGGAGTGGAGATGGGTTTGAGGCACCTCAAAACTCGCCTCATGGCACATGGACGAGTGCACGTTGGTGGGCAGGAATAGGTCGTGCTTCTGATCCTTGAACGCCCTCCACACCTGGTGTGGGGAGAGGGGGGAGAGGGGCAGGACGCAGTAAGGGACCCGGACCGGAGCATGGGAAGAGGCAGCACCAAACACGCAACTACCACCTCTTTGATATAGTTCACCAAAAAAAGGGTGGTATTTGCGTGTTTGTGAACCAATGAAAAGAGCCATGCGGTCGAGCATCTCACATCAAATCGCTTGTGACCTGGGCTTTAAAAAAGGCTCACCTCAGAGCCATTAAAAATGTCGAGCACACGGATGGAGTAGGCCCCATCTGCCCCCAGCAGATTTCAACACCTTTGAGGCGCATCAGAACTTGGCATTTGTAATGCCTCACCTCAGAGCTAACACAATCTCATCTCAGAGCCAACACAATCTCACCTCAGAGCCATTCAGGATCTCTTGCACACGGATGGAGTAGGCCCCATCTGCCCCCAGCAGCTTCAGAATTTCCACTGCCAGCACTCGCCCCACCGCTGCCTCTGATTCGCTCCACCGCATCCGGGCAGCCAGCGAAGCCTTTCCGCCTGCCCGCCAGTCCAGGATTGCAAGCAGGACCTGAACCAAGCCATTCCTGGGCAAGGCAGTAAAGAAACACACAGGACAGTGTATAAGAATCAGTGTGTGACTAAGCCAAGGTGCTGTTGCTTGCTTAAGAAGATGTGCGCTCATTCACCTGTTGCTCTGCTGGTTTCCCACACTCAAACACCTGACCCTTTGTTTACCTTCACTTAAGCACCTGCCGCCATGCTTACCGGAGCGCCTGAGCAACAACGACGCCTCGAGATCTGTTGGTCAGCGCTAGCAGCCTCTTCATTGTCTCCAGGGCCAGCACAGCTGCTTTTTGAGGTGCCTCAAAAACACCTGCCGCCATGCTTACCTGAGCGCCTGTGCAACAATGACGTCTCGAGATCTGTTGGTTGGAGCCAGCAATCTCTTCATTGTCTCCAGAGCCAGCACTGCCGCTCCCGCCCACCCGATTGCCCGCATCAGCAGGGCTATCACCTGGAAACATCGGTGTGGGGGAATCAACGAAAAAGGAGGGAACTTCCAGAGTAAACAAGATGCCATTTCAGAACAATGGCAGTGGGAGGGGGCAGCAAGGTCATCAGCTTAGCACACGGCGGCTAGATAGATCACACGTTGGTGCCGGGGAGTACAAGTCTCACCTGAGGGGCGTTGGTGCCGGGGATTACAAAAGCCTCAGGGGGCGCCTTAATCCGGGGGTGAACCTTCATTCGGGGGTGAACCTTCATCCGGGGTGAACCTTCATCCGGGGGCGAACCTTCATCCAGGGGTGAACCTTAATCCGGGGGTGAATTTCAATCCGGAGGTGAACCTTCATCCGGGGGTGAACCTTTATCCAGGGGTGAACCTTCATCCGGGGGTGAACCTTCAACCGGGGGTGAACCTTCATCCGGGGGTGAACCTTAATCCGGGGGTGAACCTTCATCCGGGGGTGAACCTTAATCCGGGGGTGAACCTTAATTTGGGGGTGAACCTTAATCCGGGGGTGAACCTAAATCGGGGGGTGAACCTAAATCCAGGGGTGAACCTTAATCCGGGGGTGAACCTTAATCCGGGGGTGAACCTTCATCCGGGGTTGAACCTTCATCCGGGGGTGAACATTAATCCGGGGGTGAACCTTAATCCGGGGGCGAACCTTAATCCGGGGGCGAACCTTAATCCGGGGGCGAACCTTAATCCGGGGCGAACCTCAATCCGGGGGGGAACCTTAATCCGGGGGCGAACCTTAATCCGGGGGCGAACCTTAATCCGTGGGCGAACCTTCATCCGGGGGTGAACCTTCAACCGGGGGTGAACCTTCATCCGGGGGTGAACCTTAATCCGGGGGTGAACCTTCATCCGGGGGTGAACCTTAATCCGGGGGTGAACCTTAATTTGGGGGTGAACCTTAATTTGGGGGTGAACCTAAATCGGGGGGTGAACCTAAATCGGGGGGTGAACCTTAATCCGGGGGTGAACCTTAATCCGGGGGTGAACCTTCATCCGGGGGTGAACCTTCATCCGGGGTTGAACCTTCATCCGGGGGTGAACATTAATCCGGGGGTGAACCTTAATCCGGGGGCGAACCTTAATCCGGGGGCGAACCTTAATCCGGGGGCGAACCTTAATCCGGGGCGAACCTCAATCCGGGGGGGAACCTTAATCCGGGGGCGAACCTTAATCCGGGGGCGAACCTTAATCCGTGGGCGAACCTTCATCCGGGGGTGAACCTTCATCCGGGGGTGAACCTTCATCCGGGGGTGAACCTTCATCCAGGGGTGAACCTTAATCCAGAGAAAATAATCAAGGGGGGCGCCTTAATCCAGAGGGGATAATCCAGAGGAGCCCATGGGCGGCAACTTCTGGAGGAGCTTCAACGAGCACATACTCGCCCTCTCCCCCGCCTGCCTCCTCGCCCCCGCGTCTGCCTCCGCAAATGCCCTTGCTTTTTGAGACGTCTCGAAGCATGAAAGTTCTACCTGAGGGGCATTCAAGTCTCACCTGGGGGGCGTTGGCACCGGGGACAGCAAGAGCCTCAGCACAGGGGCCATTGGCGGCTATCTGGTGGAGGATCTTCAAGGAGCACATGCGCGCCCTCTCCCCCGCCTGCCTCCTCGCCTCCGCATCTGCCTCCGCTGCAGTTACCCCTCCCTTCGTCCCACCCTGTGCCACCCCGCCCCCTGCACCCCCAGCTATTGCTGCCCCTGCTGCAGCAGCAGTTGCAGCGCCAGCAGCAGAGGGCGCAGAGGCGGTAAGCAGTTGCCCCTCGGCTGCAGTCAGCAGCAGCAGCTTCGGCACGTAACCCAGCAGTGCCACGTGTTCACTCAGGAGTGGCTGAACTCTCAGCAGGGAGATGAGCGCTGTTGCTAGAAGCTCCACTCTCTCTGCCGCCGCTGCCACTGCTGCTGCTCCTACCAGCCCCCTCCCTGCTACCGCCGCGGCCGTTGCTGTTCCCGATGCTGCTGCTGTGGGAGCAGGAGCAGGGGAAGCTGGGGCGAACAGTGCTGACGTGGCAAGCACGTATTGGTCGAGAAGGCCCTCGAGAAAGCGCTTGGGGTTGCGCAGCGGGTACTTGGGGTCCTTGAGGAAGAGACGAATGTACACGCCGCCCACCTGCCACTCGTCCCCTTCTTCAGGTGAATTCAACAGACTGTTGTCTGATGCGCCTGGCGCCCCACCTGGACCACCCGAACCAGCACCTGATGCAACACCTGGAGTGCCCCCACCGGTAGCCCCCACAAGATCAGGCGGATCCCATTCAAAAGAAGCCAGGTTTCCAAAAACGGAACTACCACCCTCGCCTCCTCCCTTCCCCCCACCACCAGACCTCCGTGCGATCTCCACCATCCGTACAACCTCAGCAGCCAGCACCGCTATCCGACGGCCGAGATTGAGCGCGAGGGCGGGGGACCAGACGAGCTCGGGGGTTTGCGTGGTCTGGGAGAGAGCAGCAATGGCGGCTTCCCCTGAACCGTCCCGCAGGAAGGAGAGGAGGCCTTGGGGCAGGAAGCGGGAGAGGGAGAGGAAGACCCGCGGGCCGTGCAGGGGCTGAGAGAGGAGCGCGGAGAGGAGGAGGGCTGTGGTGACCCGGATAGGGTGGGGTATGTCGTCTCCTGCAGGGGACGGGCGAAGGGAGAGGAGTGAATGTGGTTGGGGATACATGCTCATGGTTAAGTAGGCGCACATGTGGCTGGGCACACAATCATGGACCTGTGAGTGGCGCAAAGGAGGCACGGAGGAGGCACGGAGGAGGCACGGAGGAGGCACGGAGGAGGCACGGAGGAGGCAGACATCTGGACTGGAGCATCCAAAGGAGAGGTACGTGATTCACGGTCAAGAGGGTTGTGACTTCTTCCATGGAATTTTGAGTAAGGTGAATGCTCACCAGGGGCAGGGAGCAGGAGCGCGAGGAGGAAGACGACGCCGCCTTGCTTCGCCACCACCCACGCTAGCTCTGGCGTGCCCGCCAGCGACTGCAGCATGCCCAGAATGGACGGCCGAGATTGCGGCGATCGCACGAGCAGCAGCAGCAGCATCAGGAGAGAGCCTCGGTCTGATACCATCGCAGCCACACTAGGTGCGAAGCCGGTGAGTCTGGTCAGCACTGCCAGCGCGAGATGGCGGATTCTAGCCTCTATGTGTGCAGCGGAGAGAGCAGCGGGTGCAGAGACAGTAGAAGAGGAAGAGGAAGAGGAGGGTGGGGCAGGGAGTGTGGGGAGGGAGAGGGAGATGCAGGTGAAGAGAGGGGCGAGGGAGGCAGGGGAGGCGACGGCAGCGGCGGCAGAAGGCGAGGTGGAGAGCACGTTGTGGAGGGAGGTGAGGGCCGTGATGATATTCCCCAACACCCACCGCACATCCCTTGCCTTCCTCCTCCTCTTCCGCCTCCCTTTGCTATCCCTCCCACCCCCGTCCTGCTCCTCCCCGCCACCTCTCCCTCCTGCTCCTCCTCCCCCCCCATCAACCTCCCAATCGTCTGGAATCCTAAAACCACCGCCACCTCCCTCCCCACCTCCGCCGTTCTCCTCCTCTTCCCCTTCTCCTTTCCCGTCCTCTTCCTCCTCCTCCTCGCCCCCCTCCACACCCCGCCGGTCCCACTTGCGCAGCAGCAGGACAGCAGCAGGGTGCAGAGGCGTGTGGTGCGATTGGGAGTGGTGCATGGGCGGGAGCAGCGCGCACATGTCGAGCAGGAAAGGCACGAGGGCAGCGGAGAGTGACTCGGGGTCAGAGAGAGGAAAGTCTGGATGTTGGATGAAGAGACGGAGGTAGATGTCTCCCACCTGGTGGAGGGATGGGTGCGGGGGGGGACGGGGACGCGTGTTATTGATAGGGGCAGCAGAGGAGGACTCGGGGTCGGAGAGAGGGAAGTGTGGGTGCTGGATGAAGAGGCGCGGGTAGATGTCTCCCACCTGGTGGCGGGATGCGATGAGGAGTGCGAGGAAAGGGACGCGACGCATGAGATCTCTTTGATAGGAGCAGCAGAGACAGACCAAAGGTCAACGAGGGAAGTCAGAAATTGGGAAGTCAGGAAGTCGGGAAGTCTGGATGCACTTACCTGCAGCAGATAGACCACACATCCCAATGCCATGGCAGTACATGCACATGGCTCTCACTCTCACCCACATCACAGCCAAATCACGTTTCCTCTCTCGCTTTAAACCCACCTAATTCTCTTCACCTGGATATCGTCCTCGTTATAAGCTCACCTGGATCTCGTCCTCCAGTGCAGTGTACACAAACGTCTGGCATGCATCCACCGCATACGACCCATCTGCCTCCCTCTGCGCCCTCCTGTCCTCCAGAAACCGCAGCAGCTGTGCCCTAGTGCCACTGCTCCATATCACCTGTTGTAAATCCAACAAGGAATCATCACGAGTACAAGCTGAGTCCACACACTACGAAGTGACATGAAGAGAGCTCTCAGAATTGATTCACGGAGATTACAAGCTAATCTCAGCAGGGACCACCGCAACCTCAAGCAGCCTCCTTGCTGCTGCATCTGCCCAGAGGTCAGCAACCTGCGAACTCGGAAGCCAGCCTAATCTCCAACTGACTAAAACAATCAGCTTACCTGAGGGCTCTCCACATTGCTGGTGAGCGCCTTGAGCAGCCCCACAGGCGAGTTCTCTGCCAGTCTAGCAGCCAGCCGCGGCGTCAGCAGCACCTTCACAGCCGCCCGTGCTGCTGCATCCGCCGACCCCTCCTCCCCCTCGCCCTCCCCCCACCCTTCCTCCTCGCCTCCCCTCTCCGCAAACCCGCCTTTCTCCCTCAGGTACCCTGTCAGTCGAGCAATGGCTCGTGCTGCCAGTACTGCATGCAGGTTGCGCTCTGACTGGACGTTGGCGCCGATTGCTGATTGGCCCGTGACAGCGGTGACAGCAGAGGCAGAGGCTGAGGTGGAGGAGGAGAATGTGGTGCTGCTGGTGTTGATTCTGGTGCCATTCGTACCGGTGGAAGGGAGTGGGGTGGAGATAGTGTGTGATGTGGAGGGCAGGGCGAGGTACTGGGAAGAGGACTGATAGGATTGAGAGGCAGATAGAAGCAAGGCTCCGCCGCCGCTGCCGGCCTTTGCAGTCACTGCTGCACCTGCACTCAGGCTGCTGCTGCTGCCGCCTCCGCCTTTGGTATCACCACCAGCAGTATCCGCAGTGGAATCGAACTTAAAGAGCAGCGGAAGCAGATACCACAATGCACCAGCCCTTAGCAGCCTCTCTCTGAGCCCCTTAGACAGCGCCAGGTGGAAAATCCCCTCTAGTGCTGCTTCCACAGCCCCGGGCGTGCTCTCTAGCTCCGTCGCCACCACCAGGTCCGGCACCAAGGCTGCTGCGCAGGCTTGGTTGGTCCGAACCTCGGTGCGGGCGGAGGGGAAGGCGGAGAGAATGGCGAGCGTGCGGAGGATGTGGGTGGCGATGAGGGCAGGGGGGTCAGTGGGGGAGGAGGAGGGGGAGAGGAGGGAGAGGCAGCGGGAGAGGAGCGTGGTGAGGAGAGGCAGGCCCCCGTCTCGCAAGAGCTCTTCGCCGTTGAGGGAGGAGCAGGCACAGCTGGAGGGGAGGGGCGGGGGAAGGGAGGAAAAGGGAAACTCGTGTTACATCTGTTCTCCACAAAAACGAGTGGCCCCCGTCTCGCAAGAGCTCTTCGCCGTTAAGGGAGGAGCAGGCACAGCTGGAGGGGAGGGGCGGGGGAAGGGAGGGGGAAGGGAAACTCGTCTGGCCAATCATCTCCAGGAGAGAATGAATGAATACACAGGAGAGAAGCAACAGGAGAGGTGGGAGGTAAATGGAACACCAACGAAAAGCAAACCCCACGAGGGTGCCGCTACTCACATGAGCCACAGCAGATGCGTTGCTGCCTGCAGTAACTCCGAACGCTCTGGCGACAGAAAGCTAGATGCGCTCTCCTGCTGCCGCCACGCCTTCCCACCATCCTCCCCACCAACAGCACCAACACCAGCACCATCACCCGCACCATCCCCCGCATTCCCTGCACCTGCCTCGCCATCCCCATCCTCCAGCCGCAGCAGCTGCAGCAGCAGCGGGAACCCAGCATACTTGAACGGCTCCAAAACTCCCGGATACCTCCGAAACAGAATAATCTGCGCGCGCAGTAGCAGCAGCACGCGCCAGGTCTGCGGCCCCTGCAGGCCCTGCATGGCAGACTGCAGGTGCTCGTATGCCTTCTGCACTGCTAAGAACTTGTCGCGCCCTTCAGGGTTCTTGTCCGGGTGGTATCTCACCGCCATGCGCCGGTACTGCCTCTTCAGCACGTCCTCGTCCACTTGCACGCCTTGTCTTGTAGCGGGGAAGGCTGTACCTGCGGCGGCGGAGGCTGGCTGCTGCTTAACTGGGAAAGCAAATACGGTAAGGACGAGAATTGGGAGGGGGAAAGAATGGGGCGCGTAGGGGGAAGTTGGAAGGGTGAACAAAAAAATGTGGTGGATGGAAGAACGGTGGGCAAAAAGGAAGGAAAGACTGGTAGAAGTCAAGACTTCTGTGGAATCACGTAGTCTTGACTTCTACCAGTCCATACTTTTAAAAGTATGGACTTCTGCTGGTAGAAGTGCTGGTGAAGTCCATACTTTTTAAACCAGCAGGAACGGTGTTGCGGTGCCGACAGCTCGCCAGTGGGGATCTCGAGCATGGTGCACGCTTTCTCATCCGGGATCCCCACGGGCTCTTGATTCGACTCAGATGTCACAACGCTGTGGCAGTGAAGGCAGCTCACCAGCCGGATTCATTCTAGAATTCTCAAAATTCGCTCACCGGTGGGAATCTCGAGAATGGCGCATGCTTCCTCATCGGAGATCCCCATGGGCTTCCTTGCGAGCTCCTCTCGCCACATGGCGAGCAGCGACTGGAGGAACTCCACGTGCTCCACAATCGGCCAATCAGGGAAACGGATCTCATCGCACAAATTCCGGAGGTAGTAGCGGTGGCACCACATCTCGTCCTTGAGCTCGGGGTACGAGATGGGCGGCATGGGCGTGTGGTCATACAGCGCCCTGGAGAACTGGCTCAGGCGCTGGGGGAAATCGCCCAGGTGGGAGAGAATCTGCAGTGCGGTGTGGAGGAGTGCAGAGGGGTGAGGGTGGTAGGGGGAGAGAGGGGGTTGCAGGATATAGAATGGAAGAGAGGAGGGGGAAGAAGTGGTTCAAGAAGGTACTACTACTAGTACCACAGTGCAGGGAAGAGCTTTGAGAACAAGCAGTACTGATCAAAATAAAAAATCCCGCCTTCGGTTTTTGTCCTCACCTGCGGGATGAGCACGGAGCCCCGCATGGCATGCGTCCAGATGAGCTCCGGCGAATCAGAGTCCGCCACAACAGCAGCGGCAAACGCTGCTGCCCCACGCCTGTCAAGCACGTAGAGCAGGCTCTCTGGCAGCAGCACTCCCAGGATGCTGCGCTTGGCCAGCGGCTGTGACGCCATGTCCGCTGCCTCTATGCCGCTCACATACGCTTGCCTGCCAGGTGAAGGGGACGGTTAGAGGGGAAGGGGGGACCGGGGAAGGGGTGGGAGTGTGGAGATTCGGGGCATGGAATGGCAATGACACCTCATCTTCAGTACTCACCGAGTGTGTGTGGCGTGGCAGAGCGACGCTAGCGTCCCAAAGTTGGAGCCAGCGTAGGCGAACGCAAAGAAGTACACGCCCGTGGTGTACAGGCGGGTGGCGACTGTTGGATTGTGGCGCACGATCTCCTCCAATAGCAGCGCGGCCTTTTCCACTATAGCAGGCTCGTTGGTGAGAATGGCCTGCCAGTATTTCACAGGAGGGTGACAGGAGATGTTAGTGAAAGCGGTTTTCCCCAGCGCAGTAACAAAGTGGGATAGTGAAAGTTGATGGGTGTGGTGTGGGTGAAAGGGATGCTCTTATTAGAGGGAGGGTGGGGGGAAGAGGGGGGGAGAGAAAGCTGACAAGGGAGAGGAAGAATTAGGGGGGGGGAAGGAGGAGAAGGGGTTACGAATGTGGGGCTTTTCAAATGTAATGGAGGAGGACGGCACAGGGGAGGGAAGACGGGATGGAAGTCAGAGAGCATACCTGTGCGAGGTGCGGCAGGCATCTGGGGTCACAGAGAGCTCTCTTGACCCTGGGCATGGGCACCAGCACATCCCCTCCCCCTCTCTCCCGCCCCCTCCCCCCTCCACCTCCACCACCACCACCACCATCAACGGCATTCGCTCCCCCGCTTCCCACTAGCACTTCGGACGGGCCGTTGGTGGATGTGGTGTGTGATTGTAACGAGGGGAGGTGGAGGGAGGAGGTGGAGGAGGAGCAGGCGACGAGGGATAGGAGGATGTCCAGTGCTGCTTCTCCCACCTGGTTGGGCATGCGGGAGGAAGGAAGGAGGGAAGGAGGGAAATAAGATGCATGAAGGCCGGGTGTGTGCTGTCACTGAGAGACACATGAACCTGAGGATGGATGAACATAGCATAGCATAGCAGCACGAGAGAGCAGTAACCCAGGCAGCAAGTAGCTTTTAAAGCGCCTCAAAATACACCTCAATGCACGCGGGTGTGTGCTGTCACTGAGAGACACATGAACGTGAAAACGGAAGAGCATAGCAGCACGAGAGAGCAGTAACCCAGACAGCAAGTACGGCAACACGAACAGAACAACCCGAGCAAGATTCCAAACGAACCTGCGCAGGTGTGAGGATGGCAACGCCAGTGGCCATGGCCCAGCGCAGCTCCCGCACGTCACACACGCGGCGCCACTCGTCCCACCCCACCGCCCAGCAGCATGCTGCTACCCCAGTCCACCTCACAAACAAACCCGATCATATACCCAAACAAACCTGAGCAGGCGTGAGGATGGCAACGCCAGTGGCCATGGCCCAGCGCAGCTCCCGCACGTCACACACGCGGCGCCACTCGTCCCACCCGGCCGCCCAGCAGCGGGTGCTCCAGTGAACCTCCCCCCGCCACCGCGCCTGCTGCACTGCCGCCTTGAGCACCGGCCCCACGCGGCCCCCGTTGGGCAGCATGTAGAACCATTCTTTAGGAGGCTCTGTGTATGCCGTTGCCGCCAGCAGGTTCGACTGCAAGGGGGTGCGAGCAATGGGGTGAGGAGAATGTTTGTTCAGTTGACTCAGAATGCATCCTTGTGCACCGGCCCCACCGGCCCCACCGGCCCCACGCGCCCCCCGTTGGGCAGCATGTAGAACCACTCTTTAGGAGGCTCTGTGTATGCCGTTGCCGCCAGCAGGTTGGACTGCAAGGGGGTGCGAGCAATGGGGTGAGGAGAATGTTTGTTCAGTTGACTCAGAATGCATCCTTGTGCACCGGCCCCACCGGCCCCACCGGCCCCACGCGCCCCCCGTTGGGCAGCATGTAGAACCACTCTTTAGGAGGCTCTGTGTATGCCGTTGCCGCCAGCAGGTTGGACTGCAAGGGGGTGCGAGCAATGGGGTGAGGAGAATGTCTGTTCAGTTGACTCAGAATGCATCCTTGTGCACCGGCCCCACCGGCCCCACCGGCCCCACGCGCCCCCCGTTGGGCAGCATGTAGAACCACTCTTTAGGAGGCTCTGTGTATGCCGTTGCCGCCAGCAGGTTGGACTGCAAGGGGGTGCGAGCAATGGGGTGAGGAGAATGTTTGTTCAGTTGACTCAGAATGCATCCTTGTGCACCGGCCCCACCGGCCCCACCGGCCCCACGCGCCCCCCGTTGGGCAGCATGTAGAACCACTCTTTAGGAGGCTCTGTGTATTCCGTTGCCGCCAGCAGGTTGGACTGCAAGGGGGTGCGAGCAATGGGGTGAGGAGAATGTTTGTTCAGTTGACTCAGAATGCATCCTTGTGCACCGGCCCCACCGGCCCCACCGGCCCCACGCAGCCCCCGTTGGGCAGCATGTAGAACCACTCTTTAGGAGGCTCTGTGTATGCCGTTGCCGCCAGCAGGTTGGACTGCAAGGGGGTGCGAGCAATGGGGTGAGGAGAATGTTTGTTCAGTTGACTCAGAATGCATCCTTGTGCACCGGCCCCACCGGCCCCACCGGCCCCACGCGCCCCCCGTTGGGCAGCATGTAGAACCACTCTTTAGGAGGCTCTGTGTATGCCGTTGCCGCCAGCAGGTTGGACTGCAAGGGGGTGCGAGCAATGGGGTGAGGAGAATGTTTGTTCAGTTGACTCAGAATGCATCCTTGTGCACCGGCCCCACCGGCCCCACCGGCCCCACGCGCCCCCCGTTGGGCAGCATGTAGAACCATTCTTTAGGAGGCTCTGTGTATGCCGTTGCCGCCAGCAGGTTGGACTGCAAGGGGGTGCGAGCAATGGGGTGAGGAGAATGTTTGTTCAGTTGACTCAGAATGCATCCTTGTGCACCGGCCCCACCGGCCCCACCGGCCCCACGCGCCCCCCGTTGGGCAGCATGTAGAACCACTCCTTGGGGGGTTCTGTGTATGCTGTCGCTGCCAGCAGGTTCGACTGGACAGGGTTGGGGGCGGTGGGAGTATGGTGAGTGAGAATGATGTCTTAGTCGACAAGTATCCTTGTGCACGAGCCCCACCTGCCCCCCACACGGCCCCCGTTGGGCAGCATGTAGAACCATTCTTTAGGGGGTTCTGTGTATGCCGTCGCTGCCAGCAGGTTCGACTGGAAGAGGGCGACGGGGATGAGGATGGTGGGAATGAGAGTGATGAGAAGGATTCTTTAGTCGACTCAGAATGCTGCCTTGAGCACCGGCCCCACGCGCCCCCCGTTGGGCAGCATGTAGAACCACTCCTTGGTTGGTTCTGTATATGCCGTTGCTGCCAGTAGGTTTGACTGGAACGGTGGTAAGGGGAATGGGGGTGATGAGCATAAGGGTGATGAGGAAGGGAGGAGAGAGAGTGGAGGATGAGGGAGTGATGATCGGAGGGTGTGTGGACAGAAGTGGCGATAAAATAGGGGAAGGATGAGTAGGGAAAAGGGATGGGAGAGGTAGATGTGAAAGGAGGGCTGGTACATCTGGTGTGGGATGGTAAGGTGATGGCGCATGTGCATGTGCATGTGCATGTGCATGTGCATCCAGTGGATAGTGACCTGTTGGAGTAGGACGAGTCACCTGCTGGATCCAGGTCGAAACTTTATACGTGTGCATGCAGTGGATAGTGCACGCACCTGGAGAGGAATGGAGGTGCGTTCATGGGCGTCGTGTGCAGAGCAGAGGAGGTCGACTGCCAGCTCACACCCTCCCACCGCCACACACGCACTCGCATTCTCTTGCACTCGCACCAGCGCCTGCAGGTGACATGACACAGAGGCCAGGAAGGGGTGTGAGAGACGCAAGGAGTCAGGCAAAGGCCATACCGCCACATTCTGCTACACAGGCACTCGCAGCACGTGGACACGTGGACGTACCTTGAGGAGCAGCAGCAGGCGGTGGCGGAGGGTTCTATCCAGGGTGCGATCCAGCAGCAGAGTGACATCCTTGAGAATTCTCAGCACACTCACTGCTGAACACCTCGCACAACACATACCTTGAGCAGCAGCAGCAGGCGGTGGCGGAGGGTTCTATCCAAGGTGCGATCCAGCAGCAGAGTGACATGCGCCGTGCCGTCAAACGGCCCTATCACCGCCCCGTACTGCCCGTACACTATCGCCATGGCCCGCGCACAAAGCTCCCGCACCGCATTGCTCACCGCCCCTCCTCCCTTCCCTCCCTTTCCTCCCTTCCCACCCTGCCCTCCCTGCCCCTCTCCCTTGCTGGCTCCACCTTCCACTGCTCCTTCATCCCCTGCTGCTGCAGCAGGCTGCTGCAGCTGGGCTCCTCCGAAGCAGTCTTCGCCTGTGGGGTCGCACCACTCACTCAGCCTGCAATCAGATGGAGAGAGGGCAAAGAACATTCTCACCACTTGGTACGGAAAAATCACAATAGATTGATTTCGGCTGCTGACATTCAGAATAACCACTCACCTGGCACGATCCTGAGAGGCGTCAACCCCATCCACCACGAGCCCCATATCCGCCTCCCTCAAGAACCGGTGGTACAGCGACCGGAAAAACGCTGCAGGGTCCCGAATCGATCCCACTGCTGCTGCCCCTGCCTCCCCTGTACTGTCAGTGGGAGAATCCACAGCGCCGCCACCAGCTGCAGCAGCAGCAGCGACGGTGTCTGGTTGACCGTCAACGGCACCTGGGTGGAGGAAGAGGCGCAGGTAATAACCCCCTACGCACAGTTCACAGGCCAACGACCGATACCGCACTCGAAACTCGGCGAAATTCCAGCTAAGCACGACCCCTCTTCCTTCCTCCTCCCCATCACCCTCCCCACCAGAATCTCCCTTCTCCAATCCTTCCTTCTCCTCCCGCCTTTCCTCCTCCGCCCCTCCTCCCCCCAAGAACCTCTCCTGTTCCACGTCCAGCAGATGTACCTCCCCCTGAAGAGCCTCCCTCAGCTCCTGCCTCGTGCGCTCGTTCCAGATCAGATCCGCCCTGCAGTGGTCCCCCGCGAACTCGTGCCAGAACCGCTCCCAGTTGAGACCTCCCCCGGCTGTGCTTGCTTCCTGTGGTGCTGCTGGGGCACCTGGGGGGTTCAGCTGGGGGGGAGTTGCTGAGCCTGTATGCGGAGCTGTTGCTGGTGCTGGGAGTGGGCTTGGTGCTACTGCAGCTCCAGCTCCGTTCCCCTGCTGCTGCTGTTGCTGCTGATAATGCTGCTGTTGCTGCTGATAATGCTGCTGTTGCTGCTGATAATGCTGCTGTTGCTGCTGATACTGCTGTTGATGCTGATGCTGCGCCCGAAACTGTTGCTGCGGTTGTTGATGCTGCTGCTGCTGATGCTGCTGTTGCAGCTGAGAAGGGTGTGGCTGATGTGCTCCTGGCGCTCCTGCTGTGCTCCCTGCAACTGCTCCTCCTGCCACTGCAGCTCCTGCTACTGCTCCTGCCACTGCTGCTGCTCCACCTGCTCCTCCTGACACACGTGCGGCAGTAGCTAGTGGATCCATGGCAGCACCACCAGGCATACCCGGACCAACCCCACCTGCACCAGCACTACCTGCAATAGCAGCAGCAGCAGCAGGAGCAGAGGCAGCAGTAGTGCTACCAGCAGGTGTAGCAGTGGCAGTGGAAACGCCACCAGAGAGAGCATTTTCAACAGCAGCAACTGAAGCAGATGCAATCGCATCCCGAACCGAACTGGACACCGAGCCTATCACCGAGCTGGCTAGGGCCGAAGCTGAGGCAGCTCCGGCAGGCCAGAGGTCCGAAATGGACAGGTCTTGCGGGCGGGAGGAGGGCAGGAAAGGCGTTGACTGAGACAGAAAATCCGCTGCAGCCGCTGAGAACTGCCCATCCTCACCACTCCCTGCTCCTGCCATTTGCCCTCCTCCCAAACCAACCCCCAGATTACCGGTCATGCTCTCCCCCGCACTGCCCCAGCCCCCAGCGCCCACACCCCCTAGCCCGTGCCTTCTGCGGCCGATAGCAGCAGCTGCTGCTGATACCCTCCTCCTGCCCTTCCTCCCGACCTGCTGCTGACCTGGCAGTGCTGCTGACGTGTCACGACGCGAGTACAGATGAGCACAGAGACCAGGAGGGAAGCACCTTCGGATGAGATCCAGACTGGGGTCATGCCCTTCAGCCCAGAGGGCAATCAGCTGCCGGCTCAGATCTCTCCTCTCCCCTCCCGCTGCTGCAACACTGTTGCTCAGGTGCCGCAGGAAAGCGCCGTCTTTTAGGGCGGCATCGCGCATGGGCCGGGCGGCGGCCTCGTCTTCTTCTGCGATGGTGCACATGATGACTGCCACTGCCTCCCGTGTGCCCTCGGCTGGATGCGCGAACAGGGAGAAGAGACGGCGCTTTAGGTTTGCCACCTGGGATGCAGCCAGCCGGTGGGAAGCACGAAGGGTGTGGGGAGGGAGTGGGGGGAACAAACGGTTGGATAACGGGGTTAATGGGAAAAGGGAGGTGGAAGGGGATGTTTATGATCATATAAATGGACAAGGCAAGTGGCAATGCAAATAATTTCTATCCTCTAGTACGCTATGCACCAGCCTCACATAAATGATCTCTAGCAGTGTCCCTCCTCACCTGGCGCAGTGTCTCATGGAAGATTGCGTCCTGTGTGGTGTCACTGTCAGGCGAGCACACCAGCGCTTCCACCACCGCCACTGCTGCAGCTGACAGCAGTGGCGACACCGACCGTGGCTTCAGGCGATTCACCACTGCTGCCACCTGGGCAGGGTGCAAACAACGATGGACAGGGAGAGAAAGGAAACAAGACGAAAGAAACAAGGAATGTAAAGAGCTTTTTGCCCCACTGACGAAAGTGTCAAACGAAACGTACAGCGAGCGGGAGGGTGTGAGGAAGGAGCCTTACACGAAAGGTCGTGGGGAAGGGGGCTTTACCTGGACAGGCGTGGGGAAGAAAGCGGCTTTGGCAGCAGCGCGAGCAGCCATGGCCTTGTTGCATGCTGTGCTGGCAGCTGCTGTGCCCTGACTGGCTGCTCCAATCTGGCTGGCTGTATTCCGCAGAGAGACTGGCAGTGCTATGATGGCTCGCAGCAGACCTGGTGTGTAAGGGGCAGGGGGGAGATGTGGGGGGACGCGCACATGTGGAGCAGCAGGGTAGAAACAGGGTACGCGCGAGAAAGAAGTGGAAAAGAAGCAGGAACGGTACCGGAAAACCGGGACAAGGGTGAACACAGCAGCAGACACTATATGACATTTCTCCATCGCAGTTAACCCACTTCCCGATAACCTTTCCCACCCCACCCACTCTTTTGAACACTCCCTCCAGCAGCAACTCTCCCAAGACTCACCGAGTGCTTCAGCTGCTACTGCCTCCAACCCACTCCACACCAGCCCCATGATCCCACTGCTTTTTCGGGGCCTGATTATTGAGGCGCAAATCAAAGCAGACTCCCCAAGCCAAGACTCACCGAGTGCTTCAGCCGCCACTGCCTCTGACCCACTCCGCACAAGCCCCATAATTCTCCCCACTGCTCCCGGCATCCCCACCACCAATGAGAACGCGCCACTTGCCCCCACCAGGCGCCGCAGACACGCCAGCAGCCCAATGTGCGTCCCAGCAGCCCTCGGGGAAGGCGCAGGGAGAATTGCCGCTGCGCTATAAGCACCTGCTTCGTTATAAGCAGCCTCAGTACCCGCAGGAGGAGGAACAGGCGGGCTGGGCAGCATGCTAAGCACAGCCATGACCACCACATCAGGAACATCAACCCCTGCCGAGAGCCCTGAGTAAGGCACACAGGCGTTGAACTCTCTGACTCTTCGCCAGAGCCGAGTCTTCGAACCAGGGATGGTTCCCCCGTCGGCAACTGCATCCTTGGCTGCTGCTGCGAGGTGCTTCACCAGGAGTTGATCCCCCTCTACGTCACCAAATAGACCCTGGCCTAGGCGCGACATGGAGAGAGAGGATGCCTCTAGGCTTGCAGATGCTGCTGCTGCTGCCACTGCTGCTGCCGCCGCCGCTGCTCCTGATGATGAGGATGCTGCTGCTGCGGCTGGAGTTGTAGGGGGGTCTGAGGAGGAGGAGGTGGGTGCAGAGGTGGTAGCTGTGTGGGAAATGGAAGAGGAGGTGGAGGAGGTGGGGGTTGGAGGGGAGTAGGCATGGAAGGCGTCGCCGTAAGGGCCGTCTAGTCTGTGGCCGGTGGCAGTGGGACGAGCGAGAACAGGAACGGGCTTAGATGTCTGTGTGGGGGGAGGACATGGGGGCATGGGATGTGTGCTAGAGTATGAGCACTAGTGAACTGGGCAGAAACGGGGGATGATCGAGACATGGAAACCGTTCACTTGAGGTTTGATCAACTTTCACGTAATTTGCTTCAACATCTGAACCACAAAACCTAAACCCTATCCTCAACACTGGGACCTGATTTTCAGCATCGCAACCACGCATCTCACCTCGGTTTCAATAGCATCTTTGAGGGCGGACAGGAGAGAGTCACGTGCTGCACATCGGTACACCTGGCGGGTGGGTGGGTGGGTGGGTGACCGAATGCTCATGATTGGAAAATCTTGGAGCTTTGCTTGGCATGCAGGACGAATCTTGCTCACGCCTTATATGTAAGATGGACGAATCGCGTAGAGTGACTAAAACGGGCGCTGGCAGATGTGTGACCGAAGCGGGGCAAGCCAACACGTGTCTCACCAGGATTGGTGCCCCGTCAACGAACTCCAGAGCCAGCAGCTGAGGCTCCTCCACCCATCGCACCAGAGCCGACACGGTTGAGAGCTGCCGCATGTATGTGGCCTGCCATACACAGCAACGGGAGGGTTTCACAAGCAGCAGAAGGAAAGTGATGAGCCTGCCACCAGTGCCATGCCACCACTTACATATACAAACAAACTCACGATGCGGACAAACTCTCAATACGAAGAGATCAACAGACCATTTGTCCCCTCACCTCATAAGTGACTGGGTTGCGCTCCACAAAGTAGTGCTGCCGAATCACAACAAGATTCTGAGGCGATACTGAAGTTGTTTTCCCGAAAGCTCACCTCATAAGTGACTGGGTTGCGCTCCACAAAGTGGTGCCGAGTCACGGCAAATTGACGAGCCGAGCCACTCATCTCCACACCCAATCCGCCTTGCACTCCCCCCCCTGCCACGCTATTGCTGTTGGTGCTGCTGCTAGAGGTAGCGCCAGCACCACCGGCAGCAGCAGAGGAGGCGCGAGGGGAGGGGTCTGGGAGCAGAGCAGAGTGACGGACGAGGGTGACGGACCACTCCCCCAGCGGGGGCTCGTTGGGACCCACTCCTCCCACCGCTGTGATCAGCAAAGGGGTTAGGATGGGGCACATTGTTGGAGGAGAACGAACTTGGAATGAAGGAATGAAACCGCACTTGTGGAATACACGACTGAAACTGCTTTATGCGCTGCACTGCACTGTACTGTACAGCGTATTGCACGTACCAGTCTGTGAAACAAAGTCTGTGACACTCGGGCGAGAGGTGGTGTCCACTGTGAGCGCACGGCCTATGGAGCCCTTGGCTGTGTCAACCTGAGGGAAACAAAAAAAATGTTAGCAAACTCGCAGCAAGAACTTCTCACGTTGGAGAGTTGGACGTTGGAAAAACTGAATCACGTTGAAAACCGCATGCTCAGAAGGACTCTAAGAGAGCTCAAATCAGAGCAAGGTGAGTCACTGAAAGGGAAGGTGGACCTTTTTCGGGAACCTGAAGCTTACAATCTTTGACAGGATGGCCGAGTTGGAACACCCTCCAGTAGCTGTGATCGCCTTGGCCCGCCTCCCAAACCCCAGCCGCAGGATAAACCCCCCATCCTCCCTCCCCGCCACGCCCCTTCGCACACCAAAGAACCCTCCAGATGAGCCTCCACTGGAAGCACCTGCACTAGATGCGGCCTCCTCTGGGCTAGCGAGCACAGTGAGAGCAGGGGAGGAGAGACCCTGAAACTCCACACTCCAGCGCACTGCTGCTGCTATGGAGGCCACAGAGGAGGAGCGGGATGTTGTTGCGGGAGTGGAAGCAGCTGAAACTGCTTCCACGGGTGCTTGGATTACCTCGATTCCCACTGGTGAGATGCGCATAGCCTGGATAGATGGCAGTGAGAAAGAACATGAGGAGACATGAGTAAGGAAACATTTTGCAAAGTGATCAACAGTGAAAACAGCCAAAGAGGGGAGAGAACGGGCTAATTAACACCCAATTCAAGCACTGAGAACGCCTGGTTGTGGATAGACGTACTCTAGGCACCCAGGTTTGAGAGCGGCGGCGGAGGCAGAGAACAGGGAAGACTGTGGAGGGAGTGGTGAGGGGCCGAGGAGGGTGGGGATGCAGTGCCGCCACCACCCTGTGCAGTTCCGTCAGCAAAGATGCACGGTGCCTGGAATCAGAGGATCAAGGATAACTTGTATTGAGAGTTAGCGTTCGGGCAATTAAAGTGGAGCACCGATAATGGCATGTTGTAAGGCTTGATATTCCTGCGACGTTTCGACTCAGGAGCACGGACTACGAAACAAAGCTTAAGATGAATCATGTGGATGCACATAGAAGCGTTTTCAAGGAGGGCGTGGAGAGGTTACCGTGCAGAGAACTTGATGGGCTTGTACTTGCCACGTCCATCTGTGCGAACGTTGATTGTGAATTCCAGCTGCTGCGTGAGTGAAACGCGGCAGGAGAAGGCACAGAGTGATGAAGGCTTGATCAAGCACCAACTCCAAATAAAATGATATAGTGAGGATTCCAAGAGAGGAGACTACGACACTGAAATACGTCGAATCAATACAAGTATTTAGCAGCTGGTTATTCCAAATTCAACAGCAACAACCAACCACGCCATAATCTCTGGCCTTTGTACCCACCTGCCCATCTTCCTTCCCTCCAAGCGGAGGAGCCACCACAATCCCCTCATAATCCGCCGCGAGGGTGTAGTGGTTGGTAGACGAGAGCGAGTGGGGATCGAGTGTGATAATAGCGGAGGATGACACACAGAAGACCCGCTTGTAGCGTCCTCGCCATGAGTGCTTGGTTGCGTAGCAACGGATGGCGTAGTCTGGCTCCTCGGGAATCCCTTCCTGATGGAGCACCGTATACAGTACGAATACAATCAGTGAAGTAAAACGATACAATCAGTGAGGTGATAGAACCAGCAAGATTAGGGATATAATCAGGCATGAAACAAGGTGTCAGCAGTGCTCAGCATTGCAACTTTACCTGACCATGGTGATCGCTACTGGCTGTAGCTCGGCTGAGAAAGTCCATGATGACGTAAGGCTGCTTCTGTCGTTGTGTACGAGACTGATCCTGCCTGATTACATCACACGAAGGCCTCGACGCCTTCTAGACAGCTTTTGTTCTCCCTCTCTCCTTCACGTGTCTGGTAATCATGTTCAATCCTACTATCTCGACCAAGTGAAGTCGTCCTAGAGAGTTTCCTATGCCGTCGCTTTTACTCGACCACAGGTTTCCGATTCAGCGACTCGCAAGTAAGTCGCACTGACGGAGGTCGTCTAGATTCGATCAGATTGGAAATGAACGTTCTCTTGCGTCATCCGTCCATCATTTTCATCTACGGCACACGCAGATGCTTCTGATGCTAAAACAACCTTCAACTGACGGATTCCGTCTTTCGCGAATATGCACTTGTCGGAACCTTTGCTAGAGCTGAGGGCCCTCTAGCCGATATGACTAATCATTCAATCATACAACCCTACAGTCTGGTCAAACTGAACAGCCTTCCGGTCTTCGACCCCACCCTTTTCACGGTTTACGAATGCTGAACGCAGTGCAACATCAATCAATTTCCTAGGGATCCTAAGAAATGTGAGTAGAACTACAGCTGACGGCTGTGCATTTCTAAAGCAGATTCGAGACATGTGTCAGAAATGTGAGTGCAGCTGGTGCCGTGTGGGAGTTGGCTGCTGTGGGGTTGGACCTGCGAAGAAATGAAGCAAGCGAGATGACATTGTAGCTCCAAGGTACCCTGCGAAGTGCTGTGAGCGCACGAGTTCGTAACCAGCTTCAATCAGTTTGTTGGGAATCTGCTACTGATTGCAACTTTCGCGAATGACGTGTCTGCTGTGTTACACTTTCGTCGTGGTCAGTGGAGGTGAAGTGCTCCATCCAATCACTACTTACCGTTTCCTGCAGTTTCCAGGCGAGCCTGACCCCAAACCAGTGCTGCAACTTGTAACGACCGGCAAAATCGTAGCCGTCGCTCAGCAGAGATCAGTTCCATTCTGTTACCAAGCTCATTCTTCGTTATCACCATTCGATCCAAGCACACTTCTCCTCACTCCGTTGCCTGCCAACCCTTTACCCTTTCGCGCCATCTGCTCGGCCTAAGCTCGGTCAATCTCGATGACAGCCACCGCCAGTCACAAAGCGCGAAAAACTCGAGGGTGAAGATGGAAGGGGGGCACCCGAAGCAGCCTCAGTCGGGGGGGTTGAAAAGTGAACTGGGTCGCGGGGCGGCGGAGGAGGACTGACTGAGGTGTCGCGGTCGCAGTCGGAAAGCAACCTGACTTGCGGCGGAAGCGGCATTGGACTCGCGCGTGCCTTGAGATGTTTTCTCCTCCTTGATGATGCAGAAGATGTTTCCGGACTACTTGGTCATTGTTCCTTCTCTCCCATCCCACCTGTTTAGCGCCAATTATCTCCTTACTTATCCGCCATTTACCTTGAAACAGCTGTCGCAGCTTAATCACGAATGTCTCTTTTCTCGTAGGTTGACCATCCTACCCAGCCGCCGACGACGCTTATCAATGTCTCCGAGACCAAGCCTTTCGACGGCAAAAAGACAGCGCGCCTAAGAAATTCGACTCGCGTCTTCGTCGTGTCCGTCTTTGGTTGTCGTATACCTAACCGCCTGCTCAGACCTCCTCGTGCGGCCTTATCCTTCACAAACTGCAAAGCTGCCCCCACCTACTCATACTAATTACCTGCTGCACTAACACTTAATCATAAACTTGCCACAGCTCTTGGTTAAGTTAACTTCTATTTGACATAGCTCTTAGTCAAGCGTGGCCTCGTCACGACTTGGTTAACGGTGGCTTCCGGAGCAATGTCGTCGCCCGGTCGCATGTCGCCGGGTCGGATATGGGGGGAAATCAAGCGCAAAACCGAGCACGCCGGCAAAGGCATCGCCTCCCGTTTAGGGCACAACTTTCGTAGTCACTCGGCTAGTCACTCGGGTAGTCGCAGCGCTCGCCGCGCGCCGGCCGACGACTCCGCGAGCGACGGCAGAGATCCGCTCGGAGAAGACGACGACTGCCTGGCCATGAGCCCCGACCGTTTTGCGAACCCGAACCGCAGGAGCGTCTCAGGTTCCGTGGATTCCGGGGTTCGGCCGCCTACGGTCCGACACTCGTTCTCCGGACCTATCTCCGGCGATAAGGACGACGTCGCTGCGCCACGTGTCGCGGAACCGACTATCGCGGAACGAGAACCGCTGGGGGGTCTGGGGCTGCCTTATAACGAGTCTCTTGAGAAGAGCAAGGAGGGGATAGTCGATGAGCGCACAGACGCGGGTAGCGCTGCAGCGGATGGAAGGATAAAGGGTGGAGCAGCGGACGAGGTCCAGGGAGAGGGAGAGGGAGAGGAGAGAGGATTAGCGGTAGGAGCAGGGGGAGAGGCGAAGGGAGAGTGGGGAGGGTGGGAGATGTCTGAGGAGCGGTTGGGATGGTGCGAGGAGGCGTTGAAGCAGCTGAAGAAACGGATACGCGAGCTTGACGCTGTATCGAATGTGACTGGGAAGCAAAGATTCGTGGAGGAGTTCGAAGGGCTGCGGGTAAGCTTTGAGACCTCTCAAAAGTAGATTACTATAACGCTGATCTTGAGACGTCTCAAAGCTTGACGCTGTATCGAATATGACTGGGAAGCAAAGATTCGTGGAGGAGTTCGAAGGGCCGCAGGTGAGTGACGCTTCGTTGGATCACAGCCCGTTGCACCGCAATGCATCCCCTTGCATCGCGTTCCGTTGCATCGCAACGCGTTTCATCCCCCGCACCTCTACACTCTCAGACGCATGAATGGTCAGGCCCGGGCCAGAGCCTCTTGCGAGGCCAAGCAGCACTCAGTGCCACGCAACTGAGTCTTTGCTACAAAGAAAACTTAACAAACCCTTCACGCTACGTACCATCGCGCTGTGCGGATGTCCCTGCGTGTGCGTGCGTGCATGAATGACCAGGCGCAGGCGAGAGCCTCGGGGGAGAGCAGGCAGGAAGCGACCTCGGCGATGCTGCCAGTCAACCGCCCCAAGAACCGCTACATTGACGTGCTCCCTTGTGAGTCATGCCGAAATCTCTTTTGAGAAATCTCGAAAGTGCTTTCATCAGAGCAGACAGGAGCGACATCAGCGATGCTGCCAGTCAACCGCCCAAAGAACCGCGTGATTCACGTCCTGGTAGCGGAGTTGAAAGAGTCGCGTTGGTTTAAAAATCAACCCGAAAGAGAGCCACATTACGGGCATGCTGCCGTGTAACTCATGCTCTGGAGTTCAATCTTAAACAGCTTCTTTTTATAAAGTTTTCATAAAAGAGCTACCTTAGTGGCATGATGCCTTTTTACTCATGCTCTCGCGTGGACAGAGGCTACCTTAGTGACATTCCAGCGGCTCGCTTCCTTCCTTCAACACGCTCGCGCCCTTCTTTCTTTCCTTATGCCCGCCTGCCTGCCTGCCCCTCAGATGAAAACAGCCGGGTCCTTTTGGGGGGCCAGAGCGGAACACAATCGGACGGCTCAGATTACATCAACGCGTCGCATATAGTCACGGTATGACATAGTCACTCCCTGCCCAGCGGCTTATGATAGAACCCCCTGCGCTGACTCCTGTACTTCCTTGTTTCTTCTGAGTCAACGATTCTCTTCCCTTTTGACCCCCACCACGTGCCGGAACCACCACGTGCCGGAACCCCCCCGTGCGAGAACCACCACGTGCCGGAACCCCCTGTGCCAGGGTACTTAGCAGCTCAGGGCTGAAGCTGACTAAAGAATCACCTCGTTGCCACCCCACCCCACCCCACCCCACCCCACCCCACCCCACCCCACCACACCACACCACTCCACAGGACCCGTCGGACCCACAAATGCCGCGGTACATAGCAGCGCAGGGCCCACGCTGACTCAATCTTCACCTCCATAGCTGTGCACCCCTCCCACCCAACCCCACCCCACCCCACCTCACCACACCACACTGCACTGCACCACACCCCAGGACCCGTCGGAGGCACACATGCCGCGGTACATAGCGGCGCAGGGTCCGCTGGATGACACTGCAGCGGCCTTCTGGCACATGGTGTGGGAGCAAGCTGACTCAATCATCACCTAGGTAGCTTTGCACCCCACCCCACCCCACCCCACCACTCCCCACCGCACTGCACCACACCGCAGAACCCGTCGGAGGCACACATGCCACAGTACATAGCGGCCCAGGGCCCTCTGGACGACACTGCAGCAGCCTTCTGGCACATGGTGTGGGAGCAGCGCGCCGCTGCTGTCATCATGCTCACACGGGAGGTGGAGGGGTCAAGGGTGAGTGCACTGCACTGCGCTCTTTTAGGTGTGTGCACGAGGGTGAGGGGGTCTGTGATGTGACATGGGCTGTAGTTTTGACATGGGCTGCAGTTGTGACATGGGCTGCAGTTGTGACATGGGCTGCAGTTGTGACATGGGCTGCAGTTGTGACATGGGCTGCAGTTGTGACATGGGCTGCAGTTGTGACATGGGCTGCAGTTGTGACATGGGCTGCAGTTGTGACATGGCATGGTGTGGGAGCAGAGCAGTGTGCTGATGTGGCCATCGAGCGCACCAGAGAGGTGGAGGGGTCCCGACCCCCAAGTCAGTGAGTGAGTGCTCACATGCTCTCCTCCATGTGTGCATGTACACAAACACGCGTGCCATGAAGCCTGAGTTTGTCAATTTTCCCTCCCCTCCCTCTCCTCCCTCTCCTCCCTCTCCTCCCTCTCCTCCCTCTCCTCCCTCTCCTCCCTCTCCTCCCTCTCCTCCCTCTCCTCCCTCTCCTCCCTCTCCTCCCTCTCCTCCCTCTCCTCCCTCTCCTCCCTCTCCTCCCTCTCCTCCCTCTCCTCCCTCTCCTCCCTCTCCTCCCTCTCCTCCCTCTCCTCCCTCTCCTCCCTCTCCTCCCTCTCCTCCCTCTCCTCCCTCTCCTCCCTCTCCTCCCTCTCCTCCCGCACCCGCCACCGCTCCCTCCCCGGACCAGATCAAGTGTGCGCACTACTTCCCATCCAAGGGGGGTGCATGTGAGGCACACGGGCACATGCGCGTGAGCAACGAGGCCTTAGCCAGTCATGCCTCTCCTCCCTCTTTCTCCCCTTCGCGTCTTTCACCTCTCCTCGATCTCCTCCCTCTCCTCCCGCACCAGATCAAGTGTGCGCACTACTTCCCGTCCAAGGCGGGTGCAAGCGAGGCGTACGGGCACATGCGCGTGAGCAACGAGGGGACAGTGGAGATGAGTGATGGCGGCACACTGCAGCGCCAACTCACCGTCACCAACGAGTCGGTGAGTGAGGAATCATGGAATGAGATGGTGAGTGAGCAACCACCACACCAGCACGGTCAGGAGGGGTGAGTTTGATTCGAGCATGGCATCGGTTAATACATGAGCTCGTTCTCCTCCTGTCCTCCTCCTCCTCCTCCTCCTCCTCCTCCTCCTCCTCCTCCTCCTCCTCCTCCTCCTCCTCCTCCTCCTCCTCCTCCTCCTCCTCCTCCTCCTCCCCCCCCTCCTTGCCACGTATGAGTTTGATCCTTCCCATCCTCCTTGCCCTGCGTTTGCTGTGCTTCCCAGACACCAGGCGCGCCCCTCTCGCTGCTGCATCTGCACTACCTAGACTGGCCCGACCACGGGGTGCCCAGAAGCACGGAGTCCATTCGGGATCTCATCCGCTCCCTCAGAGACTCGCCCTCATCCAGTGGACCGTTCGTCATCCACTGCAGGTGAGCTGCCACCATTTCTTTTCTTTTTTTTTTCCATTGGCCCTCAAGAGCTACCTCACCCGCTCGCTGAATGACTCGCCCTTGTCCAGTGGGCCGTTCGACATCCACTGCATGTGAGCGGCAGGCACTGCAGGTAGTGTTGTGTTGTGTGTCAAAGTGTCATCCGCTTTTTCAGAGATTTGCCCTCGTCCACTTCACTTTGACAAGTCTGTCTTCCACTTCAAGTTGCACCTGCCTTGCTCTGTCTGTACCCTTGCTCTGTCTGTACCCTTGCTCTGTCTGTACCCTTGCTCTGTCTGTACCCTTGCTCTGTCTGTACCCTTGCTCTGTCTGTACCCTTGCTCTGTCTGTACCCTTCCTTTTGACGCTCCCTTTGATTGAGGCGCCTCAAAGGCTGCACCTGCTCTGCTACGCACCCTCCCTTCAACTGTTGAAGGGGCCTACTATGTGGTGGACCATGCATGCACGCATCTTCTCTGCCTCTCTCACTATCTCCGGCTCTCTTCCCCAAACTTTCTCACAATATTTCTCGCTCCTCGCTTGCAGTGCGGGCATCGGGCGCACAGGAGCCTACTGTGTGGTAGACCATGCAGTGCGGTGTGTGCTGCAGGGAGGTTCACATCACGCCCCCTTCAACTGCAAGCTTACCACACTGCCTCAAACCCCTTCTCCCTTCCCATCTCCTTCTCACTCCCACTCACTCCCTCTCTCACAGTGCGGGCATCGGGCGCACAGGAGCCTACTGTGTGGTGGACCATGCAGTGCGGCGTGTGCTGCAGGGGGACCTCTCAGCTCTCAACATGGCTGCAACGGTGCTGCTGCTGCGGCAGCAGCGGGCCGGCATGGTGCAGACCAAGGTACGCTGTTGGGATGTCAGGGAAGAGAAAGGTGTGATTCAAGTACAAGAAACCTAGGTGCTGCAGGGGGTCCTTCAGGCTCTCACCATTGCGGCCACGGTGACATTTTGAGCTCTCTTAGTCGACTCAAAGTTCTTTCGGCTCTCAACATGGCTGCCACGGTGCTGCTGCTCCGGCAGCAGCGGGCCGGCATGGTGCATGCAGACCAAGGTATGTGTGGTATTAGGGCCCCAGGCAAGGTGACATTTTGAGCTCTCTTAGTCGACTCAAAGGTCTCTCGGCGCTCGATATGGCTGCCACTGTGCTGCTGTGTTGCTGCGACAGCAGCGGGTGCAGACCAAGGTGCGGTTTTAGAGCAGACCAAGTTGGGTGTGTTATTGGGGCAAAGGAGGATGTGATACAAGTATCTCATCAGAACCTTCACCACCTCATTTCACCTCCCTTCACTCCTCTCCACATCTCTCTCATCGTCCAACAGGAGCAGTATCGCTTCTGCTACACCGCAGTGCGCGATGAACTCAAGCATCTCATCAAGACCTTCAACACGGGCCCTGACTCTGACGACTCCTGACTAACTTCCTCTTCACCTCTCTTCACCTCCCTTCACTCCTCTCCACCTCACTGGCCCTAACTCGGACGACTCCTGACTCCAACTTCCTCGTCACTCACAACTTTGAATCGTTCGCTAAGTCTCTTCGTCACAGCACTCCTTGGCACCGTTTGGTGCTCTTACACAATCCTGGTACTCCTTGAGGGGAAGAGGAGCATGATCAATGTAGGGTTCAGGGTGGTGCAGTGTAGTGCATCCACTCGAGCCGACTTAGCAATACCTTATGAGAATTCTCAGGAATGTACGGTGCTGTGCTAGGCGCCCAAAACTTGTGAGAGCAGTGTGCCTTTTTTCGACAACTCTTTAAGACTGGGAGAACATGTCTTAAGCAGTCCCAACAGATGGAATCTGCTTGCTTTGCAACACTGTGATAGGTGGTAGGAGAGCATGAAGAGGGGGAAAGGTGGCTGGTAGGGCAGCAATAGCAAGTATGCAGTGCCATTGCATAACCTGCAGTTATGGCTAACCACTGACTTGTAGTGTGTCAGTCAATGGTTAGAGACGGACTTGACTTGATCCCTCAAAATCAATGGCTTGCAATGCCAACAACGCCTAAATCCGCAAATCCTGGAGCAGAACAGTGTAGCTCAGTAGGGACGAGGATGAGATCCTTCACAAGGCCAGGGTCCTCTGCCCGGCAAGTGGAGCAGGGTGTTGTTGGGTCTCTCCTTGCTTCTTTTAGCCCTGGAGTACCGTATTATGGTTGATTCGTTTAGGAGATGGACAGATTCGTTGCACTAGAACAGGAGTTTGCTTGTTAGAACAAATCACTTCAGAACAAATTGATGTGGAATGAATAAACAAATCGTACCGGTACATGCCAGCGGCAGCCTGTGTCCTTGCCAGATAAATGCGGTACTCTGGTCCTTATTCACCAGGTGACAAAGAGGCCCACAGGCCCAGCCAGCCACCCAAGTGCAGAGGAGCACAGCTCTAGAAGATCCCATCTACACTCATCCCACAGCAAAAAAAGAAGAGTTCATACGGAAAGCACCCCCCCAGCTGCTCGGCCAAAGTCTGTCGAATCTGCATCCCTTAATCCTTTGAGTGAGAAGAACTTGCGGATACTCATCCCACCAAATACGGTAAAAGTAGCCTCCAAGCGGCGGCTCTAGAGCGAGAAGAACTTGCGGAGGCCGTTGGGGCGGACCATGGCAGGGTTGGTGGAGAAGAAGAGGGTGTTGGCGACCTTCTGGTTGACGGCCTGCGTGGGGTTGTGATCGTCCCACCACACGGCCTTGGCCGGCGCCGCACACGCCCCTCCTGTGACTGCTGCCTTGCCAGTCCCGCTGGTCTGCGCACACGCCACGACCACCCCCGTGCTTGTTATCGCCTGGCAGCACGGGTGCGTCTGATTCGTCAGCCCTGGAGGGGGAAACCGAAGGGGAAAGGATTGTGAGGTGGGGCTTTAGTGGAGAGGATTGGAAAAGCGAGGAGCGAGGGGGGAAGGGAGAGAGCTAGGGAGAGGGGAAGGGAAAGAGCAAGTGAGAGGAGGAAGGGGCAGGGAGAGCGGGAAAACTCTGGGGGGCTAGTACAGGAGGTGGGGAACGGGTAGGGAATGAGGTGCCTCACCAGAGGTAGGGAATTAGGGGTTTTACCAGAGGTGGGGACTTGGATCATGGTCTTGAAGACGGCTGATTGCTTGAAGAGCACCAGGTTCGGCATGGGCAGGGCAGGGTTGTTCCTCAGCTTGTCCGTCTTCGTCAGCAGCGCGAAATTGTGGATAATGGTAACCTGGTTACCAGCGTCCGTGCAGTTGATTCCGGATTTCGCCGCAAGGCGCACGACAGGAGCGCATCCGAGATTTGGCAGATCAATAATAAGAACGTTGGAGGAGCCGGTGAGGTTGTAGAGAGACTGAGTGATGTTGATAATGGTGTTGGATACCGAGGAGGCGAGGGCGACGAGGGTGGTCATGTTGGGCTGCGTACGGCTGAGCTCAGGAATGTAGTCGTTGGCACCGATGCTCACCACGAACAGAGCCTCGTCCAGCTTCTGTGGAGCAAAATAATGAAATGGGAGGGGCTCAGAAGGAATGAAGACTCGAAAAGAAACGGAAACGGAGAGTAAAAGGAAAAACGGCAAGGAGATTCCAAGTTGGAAAGGAAAATGGAAAAGGAAACAGACGGGAAGCTGGAAAAGAGAAGAAAGGCGAGGGCGTACGAGGTTGGGGTTGTTGGTGCGCTTGGCCTCGTTGAACCACTTCTTGAACTCGCTGAACTGGTGCTGCAGCCCGCGCGTCTGCAGTGAGGAGGCAGCGACAGCGAAGCCACACACAAGAGAGTCCAGCGTCATGACGCGAGAAGAGTATAAGTAGAGTGTGATTCACGATGCCGCGGGCTTACAATTGCAAGGTTACGAACTGTAGAGATGCGATACGGAAGAACGGTTTAAGAATGATGAAGTTACCTTTCCGCCGTTAGTGCCGGATTTCGCGCCAGCAGCAGCCATGGCGAAGTCGAGGCCACTGAAAGGAAGCGACGCATTGCGGGGCGCGAGATCGGCGCGCGGCGAGGGAATCGCGAGGAATTCGGCTGTTGGAAGGCAAGAGAGAGGGGGAGAGGAGAAAAACCATGTCGAAAATGCTTAAAAAACACGAAGATACAATACTCGACTCGCGGTTTACGGAGAAAATGATCGAGCACGGCCTTGTAGTTCCGAGTCGGTAGTACCGAGCACAACGGAATTTCTGCGCGGATTCATACCGAGGTAGTCGACGACGAGCTTGCCGTCGGAGAAAGATTGAGCATGACAGTTTCGCGCAGAGAAACAGAATCCTGGCGCAGCTAATAAGTTGGCGCTACTACCTCCGCGATTGTCGTACCGAGGTAATCGACGACGAGCTTGCCGTCGGAGAAGCGGCCCGACGCGGGCTTGAAGTTGACGCCGTACGGCAGCTTGTTGGCCTTCACGGCCGCGCGGGTGAAGTAATTCGCGTTGCCCACGTCCGCCGACTCGTCGCCGAAGACGTACATCTGCGAGATCTTCGCGGCCGTTGCGGCGCGAGAGACGCACGCCATGAGCGCGGCGAGCAGAATCAGAGCGATTCTTGCAGCCATGTTGGTGCTATCAGCGCGAAGACAAGTGGGATGGCCTGTATGCTATTCTGGGAGGAATGGGTTCGGAGGGCCACTCACACGTGAGCAAGTGATACTATAGTAGAGACGTGGAGATGCTTGGAGCGGAGCGAGCAAGTGATGAGAGAGTGGACACACACGTTGGTATTTGAACTTGGATAACCGGGTATTCGCGTCGCCCAGGTGGGGTCCCATGGAAGAACCCGGTCGGGTGCTTATCTCCCAATGGCTGCTGGCGGCTTGCGCTGTTCATACAAATTGTGGAATTTGGAATAGTTGTGTTCGAATGTCCGTGTGGGAAATCGTGGTGGTGAGCTAGATCAAGAGCTGTGGCGGGAGGAAGAATCAGATTTCATGCATAATATATCGGGATAACGTGAAGAACGAAGAATTCGTGTCTGTTCGTGAAACTCCTGCCAGCCCTTTGCTTTGTCGCCACAATCGATGAACAAGCTCGCGAAGCGGCTCTGGCAGACACAACACTTTCGCCACATGGACAAGTGTGGGACAGGGCCTCTGCGACTCGGCATGAAAGGGGATGGGTGCGAGCAAATGCGCGGTTCGAAAGGGTTATGCCTCTCGTACATCTCCCTTCTGTGCTGTGACCTGTCCCGCTTACCAACCATACATCTCCCTCACCTTCTCCTTGTGGCCGTTCTAGGTGCAATGCGGTTCTAATTGGATCGTAAGGCACACGGATTGGTGCCTGGACATATGACAGGTGTGAAGGAATGGAGCGTGACCTGTACCACTAACACCTGTAACGGGTATCGAACAGTGGATTCGCGTATAATCTGATCCGGACATTATAGATTCCATCGCTTTTACCCATTATCAAAAGAAGAAATATACAAACATTCTGGGTTCAAACCATACGCAGATTTACGGTGGAGGATTATGCCTGCTACCAATCGTAATGCTTAGCCGAATTGTGCAATTTGACAGGTGCTGAATCAGCCGTGCTTATTGACAGGTGCGAAATCAGCTGTGAGTGTTGACAGGTGTCACGGCGTCCAATCGTGAGTGGTCTAGAGTGGGAACGAGATCGGATGCGATGCGTATGAGGTCGAGGAACTCATAGTCCCACAGCACCTCGCCATCGTACGCATAGTACTCCTGCAGTGAACAACAGTGGGCAGGAGTGGAGTGGGGTGCAGGGGGCATAACGAATGGTTGAGAGGTAGATGACAAGTCGCACAGAGGAGGTGGAGGAACTCGTAGTCCCACAGCACCTCGTACGCAATAGTACTCCTGCAGTGCAGCAGCAGCGTGCAGAAAACAGCAGTGTGAAGAGCATGGAGTGAACAGGAGTGTAGAGGGGTGCAGGGGGCATAAAGAATGGTTGAGAGGCAGATGGCAAGGCGCACAGAGAAGGTGGAGGAACTTGTAGTCCCACAGCACCTCACCATCGTAGGCGTAGTACTCCTGCAGGAAAAAGCAGAGTGCAGAAAGCAGCAATTCGCAGAGAACAGGAGTGAAGAGGGATGCAGGGAGCATGAAGAATGGTTGAGTGGCAGATGGCAAGGCCCAGAGGCTCCTAGTCCCACAGCACCTCGCCATCGTAGGCGTAGTACTCCTGCAAGAAACAGCAGAGGAGAGGGGTGACTCACCTTGACCACGTTGACTCACCTTGACTGCATTGACTCACCTTGAATGTGTTGACTCACCTTGACTGCATTGACTCACCTTGACTCACCTTGACCACAAACACTGGCTGCATGGAGGAGCGTTCAAGACCTGAGATGGTGAGAGAGAAAGAAGCATCTGCTGCCAGCAGGTCGCTGGGAGAGAGGCTGTGCAAGGGACTCGCCTTGACTCCCATTGACTCACGTTGACTGCGTTGACTCACCTTCACCACGAATACAGGTTGCATGGTGGTGCGTTCAAGGCCGGAGATGGTGAGAGAGAAAGACGCATCTGCTGCCAGCAGGTTGCTGAGAGAGAGGCCATGCAGGGGACTCGATTCGTCCACTATGTGGCGCAGATTGAAGCCAAAGCGCATGTAGGGCAGCTGGGAGGGAGGAACGGGATGGTAAGGGGCGTGATTGTAACAAGTGAGTGAGTGCAGCAGGTGTGACAGCAGGTCGCTGAGAGAGAGGCCGTGCAGGGGACTGGAATCACCCACTATGTGGCGCAGATTGAAGCCAAAACGCACGTAGGGAAGCTGGGAGGGAGGACCGGAATGGTAATGGGCGTGATTGTAACAAGTGAGTGAGTGCAGCAGGTGTGACAGCAGGTCGCTGAGAGAGAGGCCGTGCAGGGGACTGGAATCACCCACTATGTGGCGCAGATTGAAGCCAAAACGCACGTAGGGAAGCTGGGAGGGAGGGCCGGAATGGTAATGGGCGTGATTGTAACAAGTGAGTGAGTGCAGCAGGTGTGACAGCAGGTCGCTGAGAGAGGGGCCATGCAGGGGACTGGAATCATCCGCTATGTGCCGCATATTGAAGCCAAAACGCATGTAGGGCAGCTGGGAGAGATGGGGCAAGGGTGGGACCATATGTTAGTCACCAGAGTGAGGCAGAGCACCTCTCAGGAGGGGTTGAGAGGGTGGAACGGAGAAGGTCAAGAAAGTGAGGCAGAGGCAGGGCCAGTTACAAAAAAACTCCTGGCAGGGCCAGTTACAAAAAAACTCCTGGCAGGGCCAGTTACAAAAAAACTCCTGGCAGGGCCAGTTACAAAAAAACTCCTGGCAGGGCCAGTTACAAAAAAACTCCTGGCAGGGCCAGTTACAAAAAAACTCCTGGCAGGGCCAGTTACAAAAAAACTCCTGGCAGGGCCAGTTACAAAAAAACTCCTGGCAGGGCCAGTTACAAAAAAACTCCTGGCAGGGCCAGTTACAAAAAAACTCCTGGCAGGGCCAGTTACAGAAAAACTCCTGGCAGGGCCAGTTACAAAAAAACTCCTGGCAGGGCCAGTTACAAAAAAACTCCTGGCAGGTCCAGTTACAAAAAAACTCCTGGCAGGGCCAGTTACAAAAAAACTCCTGGCAGGGCCAGTTACAAAAAAACTCCTGGCAGGGCCAGTTACAAAAAAACTCCTGGCAGGTCCAGTTACAAAAAAACTCCTGGCAGGGCCAGTGGCAGCAACACTACTCACATCGGATTTCACAAGCTGCAGGTCATGCAGGGAGCAATGCACCTCCCCGGAGGGCGTGAGAGGGTGGAAGAGCGGGTAGAGAGAGTGAGGCAGAGGCAGAGGCAGGGGCAATGACATGGGATGACATGATGAGCAACACTACTCACATCGGATTTCACAAGCTCGAGATCATGCAAGGAGCAGTGCACAACCCCTGAGGGGGAGGGGAGGAAGAGGCGCAGCGAGAGGGCGACCTTCACGTTCACCAGCTCGTGCGAGTTCAGCCCCACCAGGGCAAACCGCGCCGTGAGTATCCTGCATGAGCAGCGGAGAGTTAAGGTTTTTTTTTTTAAGGATTTTTTTGAAGGATTATTTTAGTATCCTGGATAGTTTGAAGGATTTTTTTGAATCGAGTTAAGAATGGACGTTCACCAGCTCGTGCGAGTTCAGCCCCACCAGGGCAAAGCATGCTGTGAGAATCCTGTGATCCGTGTGTGATGTGAGCAAGAGAGTAGATAGAGAAGACACGTTCACCAGCTGGTGTGTGTTTAGCCCAACCAGGGCAGGCTGTGAGAACCTTCAGTTCGTGCGTGAGAGGCGGGGAGTGGTGAGGGAGGGAGTCTATGCAAGGAAGCAGCGAGGGTGTGGCGGATTGGATGGTCGAGGGAGGGGCTCCTGAGAAGAGGGCTCCTCCTCCTCTCCTCACCTTCTCTTCTCAGGAGGCCCTCTTTCCTCACCTTCTCTTCTCAGGAGGCCCTCTTTCCTCCCCTTCTCTTCTCAGGAGGCCCTCTTTCCTCACCTTCTCTTCTCAGGAGGCCCTCTTTCCTCACCTTCTCTTCTCAGGAGGCCCTCTTTCCTCACCTTCTCTTCTCAGGAGGCCCTCTTTCCTCACCTTCTCTTCTCAGGAGGCCCTCTTTCCTCACCTTCTCTTCTCAGGAGGCCCTCTTTCCTCACCTTCTCTTCTCAGGAGGCCCTCTTTCCTCACCTTCTCTTCTCAGGAGGCCCTCTTTCCTCACCTTCTCTTCTCAGGAGGCCCTCTTTCCTCACCTTCTCTTCTCAGGAGGCCCTCTTTCCTCACCTTCTCTTCTCAGGAGGCCCTCTTTCCTCACCTTCTCTTCTCAGGAGGCCCTCTTTCCTCACCTTCTCTTCTCAGGAGGCCCTCTTTCCTCACCTTCTCTTCTCAGGAGGCCCTCTTTCCTCACCTTCTCTTCTCAGGAGGCCCTCTTTCCTCACCTTCTCTTCTCAGGAGGCCCTCTTTCCTCACCTTCTCTTCTCAGGAGGCCCTCTTTCCTCACCTTCTCTTCTCAGGAGGCCCTCTTTCCTCACCTTCTCTTCTCAGGAGGCCCTCTTTCCTCACCTTCTCTTCTCAGGAGGCCCTCTTTCCTCACCTTCTCTCCTCAGGAGGCCCTCTTTCCTCACCTTCTCTTCTCAGGAGGCCCTCTTTCCTCACCTTCTCTTCTCAGGAGGCCCTCTTTCCTCACCTTCTCTTCTCAGGAGGCCCTCTTTCCTCACCTTCTCTTCTCAGGAGGCCCTCTTTCCTCACCTTCTCTTCTCAGGAGGCCCTCTTTCCTCACCTTCTCTTCTCAGGAGGCCCTCTTTCCTCACCTTCTCTTCTCAGGAGGCCCTCTTTCCTCCCCTTCTCTTCTCAGGAGGCCCTCTTTCCTCACCTTCTCTTCTCAGGAGGCCCTCTTTCCTCACCTTCTCTTCTCAGGAGGCCCTCTTTCCTCCCCTTCTCTTCTCAGGAGGCCCTCTTTCCTCACCTTCTCTTCTCAGGAGGCCCTCTTTCCTCACCTTCTCTCCTCAGGAGGCCCTCTTTCCTCACCTTCTCTTCTCCGTGCCATGGCCAGTCAAGGTCTGAGTGGCAAGCGTGATGAAGCGAGAGCACCGCACCGTCTCTGCTGGGCGGCCGATGCGTGCAAAGACTGGCCATGGGAGAGGAGAGTAAAAGACACAGAAGAAAGGAAGAAGGGGGTGCTAAGCAGTGAACGGGAGTTGAAGCGAGAAGAGTGACAGAGTGAGAAAGTGCAGAGACAAGCTCTACTGAGGAAGATGCAGCTGAGCTGTGAGAGCAGCGTGAAGAGGTCAGAGTGAGGAGGTCAGAGTGAGGAGGTCAGAGTGAGGAGGTCAGAGCAAGCAGAGTGCAGAGACGAAACCACCGGCAAGCACCCACCTGCACCGCTGAGGAAGACGAAGTTGAGCTGTGCGAGCAGCGTGAGGAGGTTGGCGAGCATGAGTGCCGAGGGCGAGAGCACCTGCAGGGGCGAACCTCCGAAGGTGGTGCAGAGGGAGAGGCTGGGGGGACGTGGGAGAAGAGGGGAATAGAAATGGAAGACAGGGTGGGGGAAGGGAGGAAGGGGATGAGCAAGGAGAGAGCACCTGCAGGGGCGAGCCTCCACACGTGGTGCAGAGGGAAAGGCTGGGGGGGTGGGGGGAAGGGGAGAAGGAGAGAAGGGGATGCGAAGCGAAGGGGGAGGAAGAAACGGGGCAAGGGAGGAAGAGGAAGAAATGCAGAACCCCATACAGCTGCTGCCCCACACGCACAAGCGCAGCACACACCCACCCAGCGATAAACAGAGATAGAAGCAAGCACCCTATCACGCACGCACACTAAGAGAGAGCACTCACGCGAAGAGGAAGAAGTGCAGAACCACATAGAGCTGCTGCCCCGCACGCACGAGCGCAGCACACACCCAGCACAGCGCCACCGCCGCCGGTCCCGCCCTGCTGGCGCGCTCCCATTGGTCGAGAGGCGGGGCGAGCGGGCCGGAGAGGATAGTGTGGATGTCGAGGGATTCGAACTCGGGGCTGTCGGCGGGAAAGGCGAAGCCGGAGGCGACTGTGAGGAAGAGCGGCGTGAAGATGAGCGCGAGGAGGACTGGTGCTGCCATTATGAGCAGCACGAATGCCACGTTGTTCAGCTGGTGGGGTGGGGGTTGGGGGAGTAAGGGGGAGGAAGGGGGAGGAAGGGGGAGGAAAGGGGAGGAAGGGGGGGCGGGGGGGGGGGGGAGGCGAAGCTGGGGGCGAGGGCGAGGGAGAGTGGCGTGAAGAGCAGCGCGAGCACGACAGGAGATGCCATTATGAACAGCACGAATGCCATGTTGTTGAGCTGGGAGAAAGAGGTGGGGTTGAGGGACAGGGGAACGGAGGAATGGGTCAGGACGGGTCAGTTGAGACGCGACACGACACAAAAGGAGGAAGACAGGAAGTGTCATTAATCAACCAATCAGGATCAATCATGGGTCCACGTGGCTCACCCTGAGCAGCCAGTTGTACCCGTGGCTGAGCCTCGTCAGCACTGACGCCTGCTGCTTCACCGCCAGCTTGGACCGCCCCCGCCCGCATGGGACGAAGAGAGGCGCTGAGGAGAGTGAGCCTTGTTGCTGCTGCTGTGGTATCAGCGGTGACTCTTCTTCCTCTCTCTGCTCTTCATGCTGCTGCTGCTGCCCATGCTGCTCCTGCTTCTCCTCCCCCTGTTGACCTTTCCTGCATTGCTGCTGCTGCTGCTGCTCCTCTCCCTCCTCTCTCGCACACCCCTTCCCCTCCTGCCTCCTCTCTCCAGCTCCACAGCTTCCCGGGACCTCCCCACAGGCACCATCCAAGAAGCTTCCTCGGATGTACCGATGCGCAATTTGTCCCATGTAGGCACAGATGGGCGGCACGGGGAGCTCCTCAGGCACCTCTGAGGGCGGCGGCGGGCAGCGAGGAAGAAAGAATTTCCTGCATGGGCTGGCGTTGCTTGTCCTACTCTGAACGTTGTTCCCATGCTTCTGTGTAGGGTCGGCAGCGCTTGTCTGTTTCTGGGAATCTGACGTTGTCAAGTGAGGGAGAATCAGATCCTGGGGGAACACAGAGAGCTGGGGGGCAGGGGGGGGAGTGGGGCGGGGGAAAGATGGGGGGAATGGAGGGGTGGGGCGGGGGGAGAATTTTTGAGACGTCTGACAAACCAAGTGAGGAAGAATCGGGTCCTAGGGGAAGGCGGAGAGCTGAGGGGAAGGGGGAATGAGGGGGTTGGGGCGGGGGAAGAAGGGGGGGAAGAGGGGGAGAGAGGGGAAGGGGAACCGGATTATGGCAACTGAATCCTGAGGTGGCCATAACACGCCGCTAGCTACCATCCCTGCCGTGCGTACCTCGCGAGGGAGATTCAAGGGTGGTCACGACACAAGTAGTGACTGGAATGGGTAATGCATAATGCGCTAGTGCTTCAGAAGAAGCCATGACAGGTTGCTGCCTTCCATGCCGTCCCGCCGTCCGTACCTCGCGCGCGAGATCCAAAAGTGGCCATGAAACACGTAGTGACTGAAGTGAATAATGTGTTAGTGCTTGCAAAATTAGTCGTGACACGCCGCTGCCGTCCCTGCCGACCTGCCGTCCGTCGTACCTCGCGCGCGAGATCCGCGGCTGACGGCGAAGCGCGAAGCGACGGTACCGCGTCTTCGCGGTGCTCGCCCTCCCTCCCCGCGCCCATGGCTCTCCCCCCGCGCGCGCGACCAAGAAAGCTACGCGGACTGCTGGTATTGCCGGCGGAATGCCGCACTCGCTTCCGATGGTTCGCCCTACTTCGAAAAAATTGCGACAGAAATATTACTGAGAATGAGGAAAGGTGAGGACTGAGGAGTCCGCAACCTGCTTACCCACCCATGATAAGGCAGGAAAATAACGTGTGGAGTGGAGAAAGAATGCTGAGGGCGAGTGAACATGGGAGTCATGTGCATTCAGGTTTTTTGTGTTCGGATGCGGTGCCTAGCGATGTTCACAAACCGTGACGCAAGAGCAAGTTCCATGAGGTTTCGGCAAAGCCTGGAATGTCGTCATCCACGATGCCAATGCGAGGGCGTAACTTCATGTCTGGCGAAAAGAGTATGTGGTTCGCAAATGCGGTCATCATAGCAAAATAGGTGGCTGCGAAACTAAGAAACCATCGCTCACCTCATACGCAAAATGCAATTTCGTAGTGTAGGCTTCGTTCTGCAGGCACATCAGCCCGCATCAATACCATGGCTCCAGGAATTTACCACGATAACCTACCGACAAGGTTATCAAGGTTTGCGATAAGCGCATGGCTGCCGAAGCAAAACAAACCCGAATGCCTGCAGAACGGCCTTTTTGGCTTACGAAATTTGTAATGTGTCCGCTTTCCAAGAAGCTTGCTCTCCTAGCAAGCTGGCGCATTATTGATGTGCGCATCGGCGTTGTTCTGCAGGCGTTTAGGGTTCCGCACCAATTTGACCGCGGTAGCCTTCCGTGCATTTTCTAGGCGCATTCATGCTGGTTGCGTTGCGTGGATGTTGCTGCCTCGCATAACATGTACGGAGGCTGATGCTAGCTCCCGAGGTAGAATTAGCACCGCACTAGTTGTGCGACCATTTGCCCGGCGAAGCAACAACTTCGAACCTGCAGACGGTTAAATTCGTGCGCCCCAAAAGTGGCGTTCTGCAGGCTGATGCGTTAAATTTGGCGCAAACAGGTTCGGCATGACCTTTCTTATCACCAAACCTTGATAGGCAGGAGACCACTTATCAACGAAGATTCTGCAGACCCAATTTTTGGTAATTTAACGCCTACAGAACAGCGCCATCATGCGACTTCGAAAACTCGGATCATGCGCGCATCAGCTGATGCGCTGCAACCTCATTGGCCAATCAGTTTGGCCAAACCGAAGTTCGGCGACGAAGAAGCTTTTAAGAAACCAGTAATATTCGCAATTTTTTTATTCGTCAAGAAATCGAATGTCCAATTTCCTGACCTCAATTCAATTTCGTCAGATTCTCCAAACCTCAATTTCAAATGTCCGAACCTCAATTTCTCAATCTCCAAATTGCAATTTCCGAACCTCAATTTCTCAATGTGCGGATCAGGCCGAGCCTCAGACGCATCAGAGCTGATGCGCCTGCAGAACGCAGCCATAGTTCATTCAAGTCAGTCACGTGTTCTTATTGTGCTTGCATCGAAAAGGCCGACTTGTTTTGAGGACGCGTCACCTCTTTCGTTTTTGCACGATCGATCCTGCGCATGATCGAATGTTTACGGAGTTGAAAACGTTTCAAAAACTTGATAATATATCAACCAGGTTTTAAGTGCGGTGGGCGATTGGTTTTTTACGATCGATGGCACATTACTCTCATCAGGCAGAGCAATGCGCAGCCTGCATAGGTCAAAACAGAGTTACCACAAATTTCGTGACCTGGGCGCTGACACTTGGTCTGCCGTTTCGCAAATCGTCATCTGGCCGCTTGCCTAGAATCTGTATCCATGGCTAGGATTCACTTCGCTCCTAGTGGCTGGAAAACAGCTTCAAATTCAAGCCATTGGGCTTGCCGCGTTCCAAACAGGCCTGTCGATTCAAGGGCATATGCCCTTAATGCACTGAACATTCCGGGCTACTTTCGCTCCAGCTCGACTTCCAAAAGTGTTAGATTCGCACTGCACCCGTGCCACTAAGTGCATCGCTCGACCCTTCCCCGGATGCGTTAAGGGCCCAAACCAGGCCTTCCCCTGTCTCGAAGTTTTGGCTTCTGGTTGTAGGACCCACCCTCCCCCCCTCCGATTCTGCCTGACCCCACCCCCCCTTTCTCCTTAGGTTGCACGAGAGGAGTGGATTTTTCCCTTGGCGTTTTCTAGCCAATCTGTGTTTGTAAAGCGTCTAAGTTAGCTTGGAGCACCCGAATTTTCCCTTAAGTGCCCCCCCCCCCCCCCCCTTTCCTCCTTAGGTTGCACGAGAGGAGTGGATTTTCCCTTAGCGTTTTCTAGCCAATCCTGTGTTTGTAAAGTGTCTAAGCCAGCTTGGAGCACCCGAATTTCCCCTTAGCGTCTGAGTGTCCCCCCCCCCCCCTTTCTCCTTAGGTTGCACGAGAGGAGTGGATTTTTCCCTTAACGTTTTCTAGCCCTCCTGTGTTTGTAAAGTGTCGAAGTCAGCTTGGAGCACCCGAATTTTCCCTTAGCGTCTTTAAGTGCCCCCCCCCCCCCCCCTGAGAAGAAACGAGGAATGAGAATGACTAAGGGAAAGTTGGGTACAAAATGCAAACCCTAGGAAAACTGTACCCCATATGTGCTACCCCACTATAGCCTACAGTAGCTATGTCATATAAACCTGACACACCCCCATAGGCAAAGTGGGGGAGAACAAGGGGTCACAAGACCAGTCAAGCAAAGCAAAACAAGCTCAGGGTGGATCACAAAGTCACCACACATTCCGAGCACAAGTTCAAGGCCACAAGGCCAGTTCACATGCAGGATTACATATATATATAAGGCTAGACAAGCAAGAGCAGGTGTATATATATATGCAACAGTACAAACAAGGTCAAGGGGTGAGCAAGTGAAGCAAGGTAGGCACAAGACCCAGCTGAGTACAGAAGCGCTGATGATCACAAGGCGCAAGTGCCTTGGTGAAGATATCAGCAGTGTTGGCCTCAGAGGCCACGTACGCAAGCCGCAGCTGACCACGCTGCTGTAGCTCACGAGCAAGGAAGTAGCGGAGAGCAATGTGCTTCGTTCTGTGCTCCAGTCTCTGCTCTCGACACAAGGCCAGCATGGCCTTGTTGTCTACGTACAGTACTGGAGGAGAACGAGGCGGCTCTCCGAGGTCAGTCAGCAGGTAGGTGAGCCAGCGAAGCTCCTGTGCAGCCATGGCCCCGGCGTAGATCTCAGCCTCACAACTGGAGCCGAGAACAGAAGACGAGCGGGTAGCCCGCCACGAAACAGAGCCGGAACCAAGGCTGAAGGTGTAACCCTGTGACGACCGCTGCGTAGCCTGGTCGTCAGCCCAAGAAGCGTCTGCGTGCCCAGTGAGGACCACTGGACTCTGCCCTCCAAGCACAAGCCCCATGCCCGACGTACTGCACAAGTAGCGCAACACCCTCTTCGCTGCAGCCATGTGCTCCGGTCTGTGTCTCCCAGGAGCAACATAGCGTGCAAGAATGCTAAGAGGGTATGCAAGGTCAGGTCGAGTGCAGGTCATCAGGTACATGAGGCAGCCAACAAGCTCTGGCCACTCGACTCGACGGACTCATCCGAAGGCAGAGCTGAGAGCGAGTGACGAGTAGGCAGAGGAGTGGCCTGAGGCGAGGAGTACGTGAAGCCGAAGCGCTGAAGGACCTGCTGCACCATGTGTGACTGAGTCAGGGTAATGGTGCGGCGTGCTCTGTCCCGGGTGATCTGCAAGCCAAGGTAGCTGCGCAGTTCACCCAGGTCTGTGCACGTGTGTCTCTTCTGCAGCTCGGACTTCACGTGGGCGAGTCCAGCAGTGTCAGCTGTGGCGAAGACCAAGTCGTCGACGTACACGAGGATGTAGAACGGCGGCAGAGAAGTGTCGGTGCGCAGAAACAGCGACGGGTCGGCAGTAGAGGGAGCAAACCCAAGAGCCGCAAGTGTAGTCCTCAGTGTGTCGTGCCACTCACGCGGTGCCTGGCGGAGACCGTAGACTGGCCGCCGGAGGCTCCACTGGGCGCCAGGAGGAAAGGACCCAGTGAAGCCAGGTGGGCGACGCAGCCAGATCTCTTCGTGCATGCTGCCCTGCAAGAAAGCAGTGCTGAAGTCAAGAGAGTGCAGCTCGTAGTCGCGGTGAGCAGCAATGTGCAGCAGTACCCGAAGAGTGGTCATCTTCGGGGTGGGAGAGAAGGTCTGAAAGTAGTCAACTCCCTGCCGCTGACTGAAGCCACGAGCCACGTAACGCGCCTTGAAGACAGGCGGAGAACCCGGCGGCCGCTTCACCCTGAAAATCCACATGCCACTGACGATGTTCGCCCCAGGCGGGGGAACCTCGTCAACGTAGGTGCCTGTGGACTTCCAGGAAGCCATCTCTGTGTCCATAGCTGCCTGCCACTGAGAGGAGTAGGGACCCTCTATCGCCTCCGCGTAAGAGCGCGGAGTCGGGATGTCAAGTGCATCCGGGTCTCCCTCAGGGGTAAGCAGTACGGACACGAGATGAGGTGAAGCAGCAGCCAAACACTGGAACTCCTCCTGCCTGTCCTCAGGGACGTCCGTGCCAAGGGCACACTCACCCCCGACGGACGGAGGACAGACAGACTCAGACTCAGCAACAAGACTAGCAGCGTAGTCTAGACGACAGCGAGCAGCAAAGTCGACGAGCTCAGTAACTAGGGCAGACGCAGCAGTGGACTCAAAGGAAGGGTCAATGACAACAGTAGCAAGGAGACGCGTGACAGTAGGACTGGCAGCACGAAGAGAGTCCGACTCTGGGTCAGGAAGAGCAGGAAGAGAGGACTCAGGAGGAGAAGGCAAAGGGGCACGCAGAGGAGCAGTGGACGGACGCAGAGACATCCGGTGCGTGCCAGGGACAGGAGGAGGACGCTGACGCGAACCACGACCACTAGTGCGAGCAGCACGGACAGGCGACGCAGGGCGAGACGCAGGCTCACGACGCTCAGCAAGACCTCCAGTAGGACCAGTGTAGGGAGAAGGAGCGGGCAGTGGGGAGGCCGGCTGTAACTGTAACTGTGACGGGAC